GAAATTTGCACGAAGCGCGTTTTTTTTAATATTTTTTTAGAATCTCAAAACAAGGCTATAATAACTTTTTTGTGGATCTCCCGAGCTCCCCAATCAAAATTTGAGGCAAATTAGTCAAGTGGTTCTTAAGTTATGATCGTACAGATAAACAGACAAACAGAAATTACAACTTTATATATAACGATAATCTCTTGGGACAAGGTTACTTAAAGTTACTCGCGCCGTTTACCTGCACTTGAACGATTTTACCGGGGAACTAAAGGAATTGACTCTTTGCCACTAACTTAAATTTTCTAATCTATATATCCTTTCAACGTGATATTTCAAATTTGATCTAACAGAATTCATAGTTTTGAATATCTAAGGTCTGCGACATTGGGTTCCAAAGATAAAGTGATTACAAAATCTGAGTTTGTGGCACAGACTCAATTCCTTTGCGCTATTGAAGTCCACGTCCACTCAATTTAGAATCTCAAAACCAAGTTTACCGTGGTTCTCCTGAGTTCCCCAATCAATATCAATATTTTAGGTAAATCGGTCATGGGGTTTCTGAGTTATGATCGGACAAATAAAGAGACAGACAGACAAACAGAGATTACATCTTTATATATATATATATATATAGATAAAGATATTGATGCTAAGATGTGAGAGAAGATCTGAGAGAAAAGTATAAATATCCGGTTCCTAGCTCCGATCCTACCAGAGATACAGAGGTATGCACGGAACAGAGATCTTGACTCTGGTTGTAACTACACTTCTAATCTTTACAGAGGCTAGGTAAGAGTTACAGCAGGGTAAAAAAATATGAAAAATCCCCAAAAACACCAAGAAAAACCCCTAAATAAAAATTAAAAATACCCAAATTTAGACAAATTTCTAAGATAGAAATAGTCAATTCAAGCAAAAATTACCACAAATAAAATAGGATTTTTGTAAAAATAGGGATAATTGATAATTTTTAGACAAATAAAATATATTTATTAGAATCAATTTGTTGTTTTTAGACACATTCTTTTTCTCAACTAAGTTACAAATTAAAAAAAAAAAAATTTTCATGATGGCTTATGAACACTTTTTTGCCAGTCCTTGATTTTATAATTTTCTTCTCATTTTTATATGTTAACACTGGTTAGGTCAATGTTACAGGGACACTAAAATTCTTTATTTATTTTTCCAAATTTTCAAAGTTTAATCACCTGGAGAATAAAAAAAAATTGAAATTGTCAAAAATTCAAAGTTTTGAGCTGCAGTGTATACTGTATAGTGTGAAATAGTCAACCTAGTCTGGTGACCTGGAAAAGACTGCAAAGATATTTTTATGCTAGCATTAGCAATACTTCGTTTTTGTTTTGTTTATAAGGAACTTTCAAGTAAAATTCTAACTAAAAATTTGGAAACTAAAAATCCCCAACGACTTTCAAAATCCCTAAATCTTCAGTTTCAGGAAGTTACAGAATTTATGAGGCTATTTATGGTTTAATACGAATGTTCGGGGGCGGGGGTATGATTTTCCCATACAGTTAAGATAGGGAAGTGTAAAAAATAAACTAAGAGACTAAAAAATCTGAGGTACTTCGGAAAACTGTTGATGAATACTTATATTTTGGCATGATATTTACATTTCAGGTCTGTAATTCAAATAATAAAAAAGTTATGGAATTGTTTAAATTGGTAGATATTTAAAAATAATAAATTTCAACATTTTGTCAATTTCTATCAGCCATATAATTCTACCCAGGGGTGATGTGAATTGCCACAAATAATTTGGGCCCGACCAGTTCAGCCGTTTTGACGTTTATTGGACACAAACAGACAGTCTGACAGACAGACAAAAAGACAAGCAACATAATATATAGACTTTTAAACGCTTTGAGTTCCTTTTCATGTAACAATTTTAGCTATAAACAGTTATTTTCGTTATTCAAAAAACACTCTTTCAAAACTGTATGTACGTTTCTGTTTGAATCGGTAGATATTGAAAAAAAATTCTAATTGTTTTCCAGATAATTCTTTAAAAACTTATTCAGGGGTGATATGAGTTTCCTTTAAATAAGCGGGCCTGATTGGTTCAGCCGTTTTGTCGTTTATTGGATGTAAACAGACAGACTGACAAAAATGCGATCATCATTTATACTGACTAGTTTTTTAGGCGCTTCTCCTTTTCTTAGAAACAGTTTTAACTGTATTCCCTCCATTTCGTTATCCAAAAACACTTTTTCATGAACTTTTCTGTTTAAATTTGGAAATATTAAAAAATACCAAATTTCGATATTTTTCCAGGCAACATTTTTTTATTAATATGTGACTATGTAAATACATAAAAATTTCAAAAATAAATAATTAATGAAGGTATAAGAGCAAATAGAAAATTGGCTACCGTCACGCTTTACTTCATCCCAAATGTTGTGCATGACACTACTGCAAGAAAGCAGATGAGACAAAATATGGAAAATATGGTTAGAAAGATCCCCAAATTTTTAAAAAATTATAGTTTTCGATTTGTATTTTATATTTATACAACATGACAAATGAACAACAATGTAAAATGGACAATTGTCAGACCTTTGAAATTTAAAAAATATTATCGCTTTTTATGTCAATACAATGATGACTACTAAATAAGTCGTCTTCATTGTGTTGATATAAACGCCGACCACTGTAGCTCAATTGTAATTTCCAAAATATAAAAATATCTGTTGTCGTTTTTCCCAAAATTTTCAATTCAGTGCATTAAAAAATTTATTTGATGTTCTACATTTTTTTATATTTTAAGTTTTATGTCAAATGTCCCTAAACTTTTAAAAGTTAATCCTATGGCTAAGTAGTGATGAGAATAGTATGAATACACTTGGTTAAAATTGTAAATCTGCTCTAAGCCAGCTTTTCTTCTTTAAGATTCCCTATTTTGATGAACTAACTAAAAATGTGTGAAAATAAGGTTTTTGAAAAACCATGAATCAATGCTACAACATTTGCTTTATTACCATGACGTACATAAGTACATATTTATCTTCTTCTCATTTTTGTTCTTTTTGACATTTGCTCTACAATCTACATGCCATTTTCTCTGAAATGGTATTTACAGTTAGAACAATGAGAAAATTAAATTATTTTTGAAAAGTTTAATAACTCTAAAACAGAACTTAGTTATAATATTTTATCTAAATTTAAATCTAATGATTATATAATTTGGTCTAGTTACAGAGAAATAATTATTTAGATGATGTTATAAACAGAGAGAATAGAATATATATTAGAGGGGAATTTAAGGAATCTCTCGGTATGAATTTTTTTCAGTCCCTTTCAGCCTGAAAGTTTACAAATCATGTAAATGTTCACAAATTATATGCAGTAGAGTACATTAATACAGTATGTTCCCTAGACTATTCATTTCAATTTCGAATTTTTTAAACTGTTAAATAAACTTTATAAAATGAATTAGGTGAATAAAAAACATCATTTGATTTATAGTTATAACGGACAAACATCGTTTGTAAAGTGGAAGGCATAGAGTCTATGTGAAATGATCATTGGTCAATTATGAAACCAGCCTATTTCATAATTTGGTTTTCTTTTAACAATAATTTTAGATTTTCTATAAAATGATATTCCAGGGCCCAAAAGGTTATATAGCATAAATATGTGAAGTACACCTGCAGTATGGAAACAGTACAACAAAAGGGCCGTTTTACACTTTTTTCTACAGTAAAACCCTTAATAACGAATACATCGGAAGAATTTATCAAATGTCGTCTTGACAATTTTTCAACGAGTTTTATACTATATTACGTAAATTTCAGTATTTGCGAAATTAAATAAATAGTCATGAATATGCGGGAACAGTTTTAAAGAGTTCCGTATAATCATTTAATTAAACAACTAAATATCTGCAAAATTCCATTATCAGAAAGTGAAGAATACGACATTTGATCAATTCTTTCGATGTATTCGTTATTAAGGGTTTCACTGTAGTAAATTCCCCTCTAATATATATTCTATTCTCTATGGTTATAAAAGGGGCCTAAAAAACTAAACCTTTAATTTTCAAAAAATGTCCAATGAATGCTTGCATTCATGGAAAACTTATGACTGCTCTATGATAAGGATAAACTTGCAATAATCGAAGAAAAGAAAACTTTATTAATATGAACAAAACAAAGAATATATTTATATTGTAAAGAACAAAGTTCATAAAAACCAAACATGAGCAATAATAATCTTTGCTCAGAGGTTGAAACTTTTGAAGTGCCAGTATCGTCATTCAATTCTTTAATGTTTGATCTCAATATCCAATGTGGGCACTTTAAAACTTGAGAATCACTAAAGTTATCATGCAGGGTATGACCACCATGGTATATCTAAGAGGAAAAGTTTCAACTTTTGACTTTTTCAGTTTTCTTAGTCTTAAAGAATTCTCTTAATTAACCCTGCTTAAGAAATTTTAAGATTTAATCACATTTCACGCTTGATTTCCAACAAGGAACTGAGTCGTTGCCACAAAATCTGATTTTCTATCCTCCTAATTCTTTGCAACCCAACAAAATAGATCTATGATATTTTAAATAATGAATTCTGTTAGATTAATAAATCTAACTTTGAAATATGACAAGTTTATACCATCAGGTTTCATAGATATAGAGATTAGAAAATTTGAGTTTGTGGCAAATACTCAGTTCCTTTAATTACCGAAATATCTCTAGGAATGAAGTCGATGACCATGACAGCAACCAAATGGAAGACATTCGGCACCAAGGGATAATGTTAGCTCCATATGAGGTGGCCCAAATCTTCAGGAATAGGTTCCCATTCTATGGATTTCTTCAACATCTTCATTCCAAGAGGGGAGAAGATGATAATGATCATTTTGAGGAAGCTTCCAAGCCTGTTGTTCTCTCCAAGAAGCTGAACAAATATGCAGACTATCGAAGAATATCTGGTAAAAGAAATGTACCTGCAGCTCCTGTGGATGCTACAGCAGGCAAAGGGTGCAAACACTCAGCTAATTGTAAAACAAGTTTAGTAGAACACAACAGAATTTCTCTCATTCTAAAGGAAGATGCGAAGCGTAATGAATATTCAGATTATAGAAGAATTGCTGGAAAACGTGATGTTCATTCTGAATACATAAAAATCGCAGGAAATCCCGATGTTTACTCTGAATACAGAAAACGAAACATTTACTCCGACTACAGAAGAATCGCTGGAAAGCGAAGTGCCACTGCTATGGATGCCCCAACAGAAGAGAATATAAAAAGCATTGATCAAGATCTGCCTGTATACAATATTGTTGGTCAAAGAGTTGGTGTTAAAGAGAGTGACAGGATAGTAAATGATGAAGACTGGACTGTAAAATTCACCTCATAAAATCTTTAGGTAAACAGGCCTACCACTTCGAAAATCAGGAGTACGTCAAAAAAGTGCATGCTAGGAGTTAAGGCTACACGTTAGTTTAACATGCTTGTTTACCAATTTAGCTCTTCTTTCTTTCTCCTTCTTTCTCTCTCTGTCCTGTTTTCTTCCTTTGTCTCCTTCTTTTACACTCTTCAATATTTTTTTTCTCTTTCTTTAAATTAACATCTTTCTTCTTCTTTCTCCTTCTTTACCTTAACATCTTTCTCCTTCTTTCTCCTTCTTTAACTTAACATCTTTCTTCTTCTTTCTCCTTCTTTAACTTAACATCTTTCTTCTTCTTTTTCCTTCTTTAACTTAACATCTTTCTTCTTCTTTTAACTTAACATCTTTCTTCTTCTTTTTCCTTCTTTAACTTAACATCTTTCTTCTTCTTTCTCCTTCTTTAACTTAACATCTTTCTTCTTCTTTAACTTAACATCTTTCTTCTTCTTTCTCCTTCTTTAACTTAACATCTTTCTTTTTCTTTCTCCTTCTTTAACTTAACATCTTCCTTCTTCTTTCTCCTTCTTTAACCTAACATCTTTCTTCTTCTTTCTTCTTCTTTAACTTAACATCTTCCTTCTTCTTTCTCCTTCTTTAACTTAACATCTTTCTTCTTCTTTCTTCTTCTTTAACTTAACATCTTTCTTCTTCTTTAACTTAACATCTTCTTCTTTAACTTAACATCTTTCTTCTACTTTCCCCCTTTTTTTTCTTCATTTTCTCTGTTCCCTCTTACTTTTTATTCTTTTCTTCAACTTTTCATGTTTTTCATTTTTTTTTGATTTTTTAGACTTTTGTATTTTTTCTTTTTTCGTATTTTTTTGACTGAAGCAATGAACCCCGCATTCCTCTGTTCGGATAAATAGTGTATAGTGCAGTTTGTGAACTACTCTTACAAGGATTATTTATTTTCTTCCAAGAAATTGTAGTATCACTTTTTTGATATCAAATATATTGGGATTCCTGCTAAATCTTCCTTGGACTAAAGTATGTTACCTTTGTTTCCAGTTAAAACAGTAGCACTGCATCTCACTACAATATTATATATTTGCTTATTTTGAACAAATTGCTCTGAGACTGCATATATGTACACAATTTACACAGGGTTTTGATAAACTCATAAATTTGGATCAAGGGGGTTTCAACCATCTGGTATTCTTCCGGTAAACAGATTAAATTATAAACTGTACTGTTATACAATGATATAAGATATAGAGATGGGTATAGTTTTTTTTTAATGAACTAACATTTTTAACGAAGGATTTTTTTGTTAAAAAGGGAGTCGTTCAGAAAGAAAACGAATTATATGGACGAACTAAACGGATCATTCAGAGAAATGAAAAAGTATCCTTTATTAAACTAAAAAAACGATATAAAAAAATATGAACGACTTTGTGCGTTTTTTTACTGAAGGAAATATTTATAAAACAAATTGTTTTTTACTGAACGATTGATTTTTGCGTACACTTTTTTAAAAACAATTGTTTTTTAAAAACTCTAATGTTTTTTTTTCGAAAAAAAATAAGAAAGAAAGGATCTTTTTATACGAACTATTTTATAGAAAGAACGTTTTTTCTTAACAAACGATTTTACTGAACAATTGTTTAGTGAAAAAAAGAACGAAATAGATGGAAATGAATGATAATTTAGAGCGAACAAAATCATTTATTTTTTGAACCAAAAAAAGCCAAACGCGTCCATCTCTATAAACTAGAAATGGATTAATCTAAGAAAATGTAAATAACTTTACAAAAGTTGAGTAAACAATATCTCATGTTGAAGCTAACTTAATTGAAATGAATGAATATGCTAGATCAATCCAAACCTCCGGGTCCTAATTCTACCCATTTCCAAAAGTTATATCACATCCTATCAAAGGAATTAAGTTTTTGCCACATACAAATTTTCTGATTGTTTTATCTTTGCTTACAATTGGTGAAAATATTTAATATTTCAAACTTAGATTATCTGATTTAGCATAATTCATAGTTTGAAATATCAAAGATCTACGACAGCTAGTTGCAATACTAGTAGATATCTGATATCTAGTTGCAAAGTTATCAGGATTAGAAAATCAAAGTTTGTGGCAAAGACTCAATTCCTTTGACTGAGATTAATATTATTCTCTAATTGGTTGGATTTTTTCTTTTCCGATTAAAATTTAACACCATACACTTTAATCTATTTATTTACAACATATCATTAATCCACAAAAGATAGCATTACATAATTGAAGAGGAACCCAATTTAACAAATTGTGAGAAGTATTTGAACCACGTACCACCAGTTTAACCACGTACCATCAGTTTAACCAGATCTCTTTTGGGCCAGGAACCGAATTTAATTAATTTGAGTTAGGTCACTGAGCATCCTTATAATGTCGATTCAAATATGTATCTTTAGTCTTGCAGTGATATTTATCATCTTATAGTATAAATCTTGAATCACAGCGTCAAGATACGCGGATGAACCATCTCTAGACCTTGCTAAATATCGTTAATTCCTGTCCCTGGTCAAGCTGAAGTCAGCTTGTTCCAATTAATCTACGAAGTTCAACTAATTCTTAAATTTATTAAACCTGTGTCTGAATTTAATGAATTTGAGCCGCGTCTCAAATCCGCCCAAAACCGGTTTTAAGTGAGCGCTGGCTTAAATTTTGAAAACTTTAATACAATTTTTAGTGAAACCATCCATATTTGAGCTGCGGCTTAAATTTAAGCCTGGGCTCAAATTCTTTAAATTCTGCCTCTGGTCCTAGAAAAACTAAACCACATTCCTTTTCCGCTTTAGTGAATGAATAGATAAAAGTACATACAATAGATGGTAACGTAGAATTTGTATACTCTCAGTACAGCTGCAATTCTTAGTGTCAACAGTTTTATGTGCCAGACAAAACTATTAAAAATAGTGATAATTTTAGAATGAAGTGCTTCTCTTACAGTAAAATAAGTGACATTTTGTGTTCTTTATTTCCTGTTTTTGCACTTTTTTATTTAATCTTGGAAAACATGTCAACTAATGGGAGAAAATTTCGTTTTCCTTTTTTATTTGACACTTGTGACATCGTGGTACATTTCTCGGTTGCCACCTTTTATACTTGATAATTTATTTGAGTGAATGTACAGGGTGTCCCACATCAAATTAGACCGCGTCAATGGTTCTAAAATACGATTTGGGGGACATATCTGAATATTTAAAACAATGAATCATTTTGATAAATTAGATAAGACTAATAGAATTTTTTTTTGCAGAGAATGCTAGATTTTTCGAGTATTATGTGCGTATTTTGGCGTTAAAGATTGGAGATAATCTAATATGATACGGGACGCTCTGTAAGTTTAAAGGAAGCAGTCTGAAGTTAGACCGTCTGACCATGTGGGACAGTCCAAACCAATGCCGCAAAGGTTGGCCCTGCTCGGATATTTAAATGTACACCGATTGTACGTAAAAGTATTGTTTGATATTAAAATAATATTTGTTTAAGATGCATGCTCCCAGGAATGTCATCTGAACAAGTGGATCTGGAAGAAAGAAAATTATCTTGTAATATCTAGAATTTGAAATTAGAAAATTAGTTTTTGACATTTTTTAGTTTAGTTTTTTCCCTGAAATTAGAATGCCAAAGCAGTTTCGGGTAAAAAGGGGTGTACATAGAAATTTGTCCAAGGGGTTGCTTAACCTTTTTTATCTTTCCAGTTATGGGTGAAACAGTATTTTTTTCAGTTAACCTTTTTTTAGCTTTCCCAGTCACAGTTCTGGGCTTGATAAAAAACCTCTAAGAACCATATTTTTCTTTTATGTTGGGAGGTTCAGTCCACTTAACCCCCCCCCCCCCCCCGTATTACATACCCCTGCAAAAGCGTGTATTATTTTTTTACATTTTCATTTAACAAAGAAATCCAAAATCTAAAATTGTTTTACGACAACTAGCATGAGACACATAAAAAATGTGTTTTATTGAGGCTGGGTTTTTAATTATATGATTGTAAATAAAATATATATGATATTTAGTCTGTGTTTATCTAAACAATAAAAAATTTCTAAATGTTGTAATTATATTATTACCCCCCCCCCCCCAGCATATATAAGACAAAAAAGCCCATGCAGCTGGGATACGGTTAATATATGGTAATTTCAGAAACAGGTGTAAAACCTTGAAAATAGGCCTTGTGTAATAATGTTGGAATTGAGCCAACAGCCCACCGGAGGTAGCTGCGTTTTTACTTAAAAAAATATTGCAATATAAAAATTTTAAATCGTCCATAGGGTTGCGATTTGACGATTTAGTATCAAAGAATTCACCGTAAGGCAACAAAAATTTTTGGAAATTTAATGCTGAATTCAAATCTGAAAAGCGTTTTTGAAAATTTTAAAATTCAGTGAGTTAGAGCTAAAAATCTCATCAAAAACATTAAAAAGTAAAGAAACCAGAATTCAATACTGTTATTTGGTCATAACTTCTTTAGATTTTAATTTTATGAAAAATGGTTTTCGAATCTGAATTCAGCATGAAAGTTCCAAGAAAATTATGTATCATATTTAGTTTTTTGAAATATTTTTTTAGGCCTTACGGCGATTTTTCTAATATTAAATCGTCAATTTGCAATCCTATGGACGATTTTGAAATTTTTTTTATTAAAATATTCGGCTGGCTGATTTCTAAAAAAAATCACTAACCAATCAGCCTTAGTGTGTAGTAAACATAACGCCTTTAATATTTAGCATAGCTTATATCCTGTGTTTGTAAAGAGTTCAACGATAATGAGGTAAAGAAATTAGGAGAAAATTGCATTGAAAATTTTCAAAAACCTTTTTCTACAGTCTTTCGGAAACTCTAGAAGGATGTACAGATTTCTTTATAATTTTGTTATTTTTATTTAGACTGAAATCTTAGAACTTTAAATCTTTCCTAAACAAAATTGCATAAATTCATGGAGACCATTTACTAGGGATTTCATTTTCACTGTAGGATGCATCCAGTAGTTATTATTAAGTATAAGAAATGTTTACAGATTGGAATAGAGAAAACTTTGTAATCAATGAGCTAAAAATGATCGAAATTCGTCATTCTCAAATTTTCACGAAAATGTCAAAATAGTTTCGACAACAATTTTCGATTGAAAAAATTAGGTCTTTTCAGGTAATTATGCAGCAAAGATATTTACCATGAGCAGGCTGAATTGTGTATAAGGGTTTCCGTAAAGGCAAACATTAAACGTAAACGTAGACGTAAAGGCAGTTTAGGAAATGTTATGAAACAAAACATAAAAGAACAAAATTGGATTTAGATTGGCTTAACATTTTGATTAGTTCAAAGCACAAAAACTCTTCATTTTACTCTAAACATCAACAAACGACAAACACCTAAATAAAATTTGATTTCAAGTGATAAAATGTATTATTTCAAAGAGATGAGGAAATATTTTTTAATTTTTCCATCTTATACTGCGAAGTGCGGGATGCTTTGGGACCCAACACACTGTGATTTAAAGGTCTCCAGCTTTTAAGCAAAAAAGATGAGAATTTTGTCCAATTACTTCTTAAATACCAAAGCTAACAACAAGTGCTTTATAATGATAACATAAGGTGTAAAGGGCTACATAAAAACATATATGAGTTAGAGTGGCAAAATCAAAGCCCATGGCGTTCCGACACTTCAAAGTCGACCCTGTCTTAGAAATTAATGGGACTTTTTATAAGCAAAGTCAAGGGAAGCCAAGGCAATGTACTATTTCATCCTATATTTATTGCATCCTTGTTGCCTCACGTGAATGAAAAGATAAAAAGTTAACTATGGAAAAAAGATCACTATAACTCAGATTGTGACATAAAAAGATAATTTGCAAATATTCACTGTCTACAGGATGTTTTAAGATAACTATCATTCCTGGAGATTGTTTCTGTCATGAAGGTTCAAAACTAACTGTTCTGATGGAAATATAGGATACCTTTAGCAAATATCGTGTAAACATAATATTCTGTAAACTTGTTGTACGTTGTATTATACATTATAACAATTTATGTTGTAGACCTATACATAATGATATTATTCATTAAACTGTGATTCAATTGAAAACGTAGCATGATTAGCTTAAATCATGTGATATACTTAAATTACACTTTAAACATTTGTGGAGATAGCTTAACTACGTTATTCATATTCTCGCTAATCTTATGAGTACATACTTTAAACTTTAACTGTGTGGTTGGTAAATATATAACATGATTGCCTTAATCATGTGATAAAGTTAACGATTTAGAAATTGTAATTACGTCAATCCATGTTAAAGGGACCGTTCACTTATTTGGGTAATTTCAGGGTAAACTAAACAGCCTATTTGCTGTTGATTAGTATTAGGCTTACTTTTCAAAGACAACTGTGGCTGGAGAAAAAGCCGATTTTTCGTTAAAAGGACTTCCCTGCAGTCTGTTTTCCAGGTTGGTCAGCTGTAAAATTCTAAACTATCGTTTGGTTTGGTTGTTTATGGCGGGTTCATCATTCAAAATTTCATCACAGACATTCCAAATTTCTAAAGGAAACATCGGGGGTTTTCTGAAGCTTTTGGTTTCCTTTCCAATGTAAGTGTTCTCAATCAGTTTTCCTGATTTTCCTTGATGAAACTTGTCTTATTTCCAGAAGGGAGCTAACGGATTCATGAACTTGTATTGTTAAAATACCCCACCGTGGGGTAGGGGGGAGGCGACTTTTTTCAACTTTTAAACTTGTCCACTACTTAGCAAAATATAACATTTTAATTTACATCAAAATCTACCTTTTTCAGGTTTTAAAAATTGTAAAATCTATTTTGACCCGCAACTTCTTGGCAGAAAAATTGCGACACTGGTTTCAAGGTTGCAATATAAATATCAGGGATTCGAGAGGTTTGATCCATCATTATTTATCACCGAATTTCAAATTTCAATGTATATATTTATTGGAATTTTACAAAAAAAAAAACAGTTATAAATGTTTTGATGTTTGGATATATTGTATAAAAAAGAAAAACATGACAACCAAGAAGGTCTTCTTCCATTTCTCAAATATTAAAAAAAGATATGTCAAAAAATACAAAAATGGTCTTTGCATTTGTCAGCATTCAGCAACGAAAATGGTTGTTGATCAAAATTTTTTGCTTGTTAGCTTTTATTGAATGAAAAACCAAAATAAAGAATATCGTCTAATTGATATAATTAAAGCAAAACTTCAAAATATTTTCTTTTCTCATAAAATTGATTATAAATTTTGGTTAAATGTTACTGTTATAAAATACCTCCTATTCTTATTTCTATAAAATACCTCCTATTCCTATTTCTATAAAATACCTCCTATTTCTATTTCTATAAAATACCTCCTTTACCACTGGTTCTGTCACTGTTCATTGCTAATTATATTAACAGTAATCCTTTAATTAAGGCCTGGAAGACAGTAATTTATAAAAGACTAGTTATATAAAGAGAACATAAGACAAAGTAATTATGTAGTGTTATCAGGGATGGAACCAATCCACTGTAATGTATTGTAAGTGTTATTTTAAGTGGCCCTCCTCGCAAAAATGGAGATTTCCGAATCACAACGGTACCCTTTAAACCTTCGACTTCGACCTTATTGTACGGTGGTAGGTGATTGTATTAATATAATGAAGACTTTTTTTTTCAATTTAAATTTATAAAAAGCTTTTAAACAACGTGAATAGACAAAAAAGGAAACAAAGAGAAGCTGTAAAATTAAAAGCTTCTCTTCAATAACTTGTAAACTTGTAATTCGAAAAATCTTGTTAACAATTATAGCTTATATAAAATGTCGTCTTCATTATATTAACATGATCGCCTACCACCGTAAAAAAAACGCGTTTAATTGTTGAACACTTTGTTTGCAAGCTGTTGTAAGTATTACAAATGTTAATATTTGTTTGTTTTTAATCTTTGTGACAGAAACAATCCTTGCAAGAACTGACGAGGGTCAACCCAGACTGAAATATATTTTCAATAAATTTATAACTAAAATCTACTTTTTTAGTCTACAGAGGTTTGGTCCATCACCATCACCGAATTTAAAATATTTACTTTCTTTGTAGAATTGATAAAAATAAATATGTTCTTTTGAATTTCTATAAAATTTTTATGTAAAATATTCGGTAGTTTCAAGTTACACAGTGGGGCATCAGCTGTGTTGCGGTCAAACAAGTCAGTGTACATCACGATTTAGAGGGATTCAATTTTCAATATATCTAAACAAACAGATGTCTTTACTCGATGAACAATCATAGGCTTAAAGGGTTAAAGGTTTTGTTGTATTTCGGGCATTGACCTCTTTGCATGGAGATTCACTCGACATTACGCGTACAGTCCCTTTACGAAGTAAATTTCAAAGCTCCAAGTAAACTGTTTGTTTTATAAACATATCAATTATCTAATACTTATAGATTTTTTTATTGTCGTCTTCTTAATACATTTTCACTTTACTTTTACTTTACACTAAAATTGTGAACACTTCTTCAGAAAGAATGAACAATCTTCAATATTGAATAAATGAACTACGTTTGTGCCACGCTCGCAAAGACCATCGAATGTCTGTAGCATCTCCTTGTTACAACTACGGGATTGTGAAGAAGACGACATCAGAGTTAAAGTTGTTGTGTCACAACTTTGTATAAATTAAATTCTAGCCATGTCTAATCTCTAATCTATTATCTGAACAAACTTTATCATTTATGTGTTCTCCGAAAAATTCATAATATCTTTTTAGTCCAATGTAATGGACCTTCAATATTTCAAACTTTGAATTCTGCTAAATTAAATCAAGTTTGAAATATAAAAGGTTTATACAATGTTTAGTTGTCAAATTACTCTTAAAACTGTTTAAGTTCCGTTGCCAAGGTTTATTAATAATTCTAGAATACATTGATGTCCGTCTTGAAACTGTATAAAAAAAAACATTTTATTTATAAATCACTTTTCTTATTTTACTAACAAACATGCATCTAATGAAGTAAATCATAAAATGATGCAAGACTTAAAATTATCTTACAAAATTCGTAGATTTCTTCATTATAACATTTTGATCGATAACAAAAAAGTAAGAAACAAAAGTTTACGCCTATAACCGCTAAAGTTACCAAAATAGCTATATTCAAAGCACATACACAGTTGGCCTAAGTAGTTTTCCTAGAATTCTTCGATAGTCTGAATAACCTTCTCGTTTGTCTGAAAATCTTTGAAGGTTTGTGGTGGCTAAAAGATTTTTTATTATTGAATGATTTATCGGTTTCATGTTTTCCATCGGACTAGCTGCTGTTTCACTCCTTTTCCCTGTTACTCTACGGTAAGTTGTGTATTGGTTTAATTTTCTAACTTTTTCTCGAATCATTCTATTAAATGCTTTTCTTTTGGCTTGCATTCTGTTGAGATCTTCAATTATAGTAGATGATCTTTTCTGGATTATAAAGGCCTTTGGAGTAGAGATTTCAAAACCTTTCTGCATATTTTTTTCCGTGTTTAACAGCAACACATTTCTGCACCTAAAACAGTTTAAACTTATAAATTTTTAAGTTAAATGTTTTCAATGTTTCTATGATTCCTTCGCCTCTGCATTTGCACCTCCCATGTGCCATCTTTCTCCTCAAATTCTTACAGTTCGATTTTTTCTTATCAATTTAAAAGTTTTGTTTACCAGGGAGCCCTATGCTATTGAATCCGCCTGTCATATTACATTCCAGTTAATTTCATATACTTTGCTGAATTTGAACTTGCCAGAGCAAGCAGTGCAGTACAAATACAGACTCTATGAGGCAAAACGGGACTGTACACCAAATGAATGATCCCCTTCAAGTGAAATTTATGTGCTGCTTTCTTTACATCTTATTTTTCTCGTAATTTTAAATTGTAAAATTGTTTCCGCAGACATAAATTATTTGATTCGACTTGAAACATCAAATAGATATTTATTATTTATTTCCATATGCAGAGATGTATTTTAAATCTTGTTTCACATATGAAAACTCATTACATATCAAAAACCGAAACCCCTTAAAAGGAATTGAGTTTTTGTCACAAACTCTGATTATCTAATCCCTATATCTTTGCATTTCAATGTCAAAGACCTTAGATATTTCAAACTATGAATTATTTTAGATCAAATAATAATAGTTTGAAATATCAAAGGTTAACACCATCAGGTTGCAAAGATATAGCGATTTGAAAATCAGAATTTGCGGCTAAAACTATGTTCCTTTATTCTGTTAATTATCAACAATTCAATTTTAAAGAGTAACAGTAATTGAAAAAGTCAAGAATGTAAATTTTAAACGGAGATTAAGTCCGATACTTACGCTGCTTTTAAACTTATTTGTCCTTATACCTAGAAATGGTTGCAGTCGTTTTTTCATTTCGTTCGTTCATTGTTCTTATTATATAGTTTAAAACAAATTTATGTTGCTAGTAATCAAATTTTGTTCCGTTTTGTTTTTTAAATTTTATAATCAGTAAAATTCTTTATTCAAAAACATTTCTCGTTAAGTAAAACATTAGTTTTTTAAAAGATTTTTTTGAAAAACTCGTTGGGTAAAAACCATCGTTTTTTTCAAAATCGATTAGTAAAATACTAACAACACCATTATTCACAAAAAGTTTCATTTGTTCTCATAAAAAATTTCTCTTAAAAACGATGCCCATCTAGTCCAACCTGCAGTTTCTTGCTTGTGTAGCTAGTATTAGAGTGAGACCTATAAGACAGAAGAACCTTCCTCCAACCATTCCTCTCTCCGTCTGATCAATTCGAGACTTTGCTTTACTCATTTATACTGCTGTATGCTCTTAATAGTTTAGAGAAATTCTACCCAGTATAGTTAAGTGCGTTATTTGGTGATAGTTGGGTTTGGAGTGTTTCAAAAAAAATTAAATATTTTATATTTTTTTGAAGCTACAAATCTAAGGTTTACTTATTGAAATGTGGATTTAACATCCTGTGTCCATTGTCACACTCAGATGTTAATAATTGTGAACAGTAAAAAGAATATTTTTCAACATTTTTTGCACCCTAACCATTTACACTTTATCCTTACAAACTATTCAGAAAATCCGGGGAAAAGTTTTGTAAAAATCTAACATTACAGAAAAAGAGGACTGAATAAAATTACCTTTTTCTGATGATAGTTATTTTTTATTTTTCTAACCTGTTTCATTATGCCATTGGTATACAATAGAACTTTTGTGACCTCTTTTATCTGGTATCAAAGGAATCCTAGTCTCTATAATACTGCACTGCCAGACTGCCGGTTCAACTATATTACTTAGACGGGCACTCCCATGTATAAAGGATTCAAATTCCGCGATTGTTTATTTAAAATATCTCTTTCACTCGTTTCACAAAGGAATAAAGCCTTTGCCATAAACTCAAATTTTCTAATCACTTTGCAACCCTATGGTTTAAATCTTTGACATTTCAAACTTAGATTATTCTAACAAAATTCATTGTTTGAAATATTTAATATTTAGATATTTAGATCAACATATCTGTTTACAAAATTACAAAATAACTTTATACAGAATAAAATTGGTATCCAAGTATCTAACCTTAATAAACCTTGGACGTGGGTATCTAAAGCTTAAGTAAGTTTTACGACCAAAACCATCCCCATCTAATGTTTTAGGAACATTCATATTTAATAAGTAAACCCACTCCAACTCTTTATAATTTAGAATTTCAGAACACCTTTTATAATTTAATCTCCTCGTTAACTTGTCCTTAGTTGTACAATATGCTGTACATAATTGAGTAGTTTAAAATCAAATTTACAATCTATCCACCTTATTAACTTGTACTTAGTTGTACAATATGTTGTACATAATTGATTAGTTTAAAATCAAATTTACAATTTATCCACCTTATTAACTTGTACTTAGTTGTACAATATGCTGTACATAATTGATTAGTTTAAAAACAAATTTACAATTTATCCACCTTATTAACTTGTACTTAGTTGTACAATATGCTGTACATAATTGATTAGTTTAAAAACAAATTTACAATTTATCCACCTTATTAACTTGTACTTAGTTGTACAATATGCTGTACATAATTGATTAGTTTAAAATCAAATTTACAATTTATCCACCTTATTAACTTGTATACTTAGTTGTACAATATGCTGTACATAATTGATTAGTTTAAAATCAAATTTACAATTTATCCACCTTATTAACTTGTACTTAGTTGTACAATATGCTGTACATAATTGAGTAGCTTAAAACAAATTTACATTTTATCCACCTTATTAACTTATATACTTAGTTGTTTGAACACATTATATATGACCAAAGATTCAATATCTGGAGATGATGCAATGAAAATACACAAAAATTAAACAATTTATTATATCACACAAAATTACAAATGATTTACGCCTTTTCTTTCTCTTTATACAACCTCCTAAAAAAACATGTTCTTAAGATAAATAAACAATGTTATATCTAGACAGTAGACAATAGACACGCCCCTGCCCAGGTTTTGGTATTGTTTCTTTGAACAATCATTCTTTCACAGGAACAATTATCCAAAGAATGGTGGCATTGTTCCGGAAAAAAGAACAAACGCATAGAAAGCGTTCTTAAAATCATTGGAACATTTTAAAATTTAACACGTTGTGGAACCAACGGTAATTTGTTAAACGGAACGGAACGGGAATGGAACAATTTTGGAAAAAGAATGAACGATGAACGAACAATTTAGCTGAAAGTCCTTCTTCTAGAACAAACGCTTAAAAAATAGGAACACACCCAGCCCTAGGCCTGCGAGGGAGGGAACCCCCGGACGCCATGAGCCTCCGGCCACTATGCAGACACAAGCCTCCCAGATTTGCAAGGCAGTTCGAGCCTCAATTATGCAGACCAAGCCTCCGCTATGCAGACCGTGCCTCTGCTATGCAGTAAATGAGCCTCCACTCTACAGCACAGCTTTTTTAAAATCTTGGTTTTTATGTGTAATACAAAATTTAAACAATTTTTTTTGACGTAGTGGCATAAGAATTTTACTAAAGATTAGAAATATTTTTTGATTGTCATGATTAGAAACATATATGAACTCATAAAGTGGTTTTATAAGATTTATACTAAAACTTTAAACATTTCTTACGCAGAAAGGAAGATATTTGGAGAAATATTTCTTGAGTAAACTTAGTTTGTTTTGTTATAATCTTTGAATTAATTGATACCTTTTTTTGAAAAATGATAAGATTTAAATAAATGATACACATTTTCAAGATTTAATTTGAACTACAAAAAAAGGTATAGCTTAAATCAAAGATTATAAAAGATGAAATGAAATTCAATTCAAATTTTTTTCTCTAAATAGTTTCCTTTTCGTGTAAAAAAATGTTTAAAGTTTTAAATACCACTTTATTAGTCATAATTAGGCCCTATTTAAGCTAATTGATAAAAACTTATCATTTTTGAGAAACCTCTTAGGCCACTATGTCGACAGAATTGCCAAAAACATTTTATTATACATACGAAACAAGAGTTTTAAAAAGTACTTCTGTACAGCGAAGGCTCATTTACTGGATAGCTGAGGCTCGGTCTGCATGGCAAAGGTTCGGTCTGCATGGCGAAGGCTCGTTACTGCATAGCAGAGGCTCGGTCTGCCTAGCAAATCTGGGAGGCTCTTGTCTGCAGGGTTATAGGCTCAAGGCGTCCCGGGGTTCCCTCCCTCGGCCTGCTGGGTAAAATCTTTCGTATATATAACTAAACCAATCTATTCATTTTAATATTTGATATTAAATATTTAAAATGTTAACCATTTGAACTCTATTAATAAAAGCAAATCCAAATTCAAATATTAATTAAATTCTCAGATTTTTACCGAGTCCTTCAAAAGTCTCGAAAAAAATAGAATGCGTTCCATGATTTTTAGAACAAGTGCTGCTTAGGAAGATATTTGTTTACATTTCTCCCAAAACTACAGTTCACTCTGTTAATGCCAAGGAGTATGAAATAGACGCAGCCCGCCCTACCATATTACTATACATGCTTTGTAATTGCAGACGATACTGCATTTGGGCAGACGCTGAACTCCAACCTTCGAGTGTGCGAGTTGGGGAAGACTTCACTGCCGCGCTTAATTAAAAGCATGATTAAGGGGGGGATGACATTTGTAGATCGAGATTGAATCCTAGCCGCAGCGCTCGGCACAGAAAGTGTCATAACTTAACCTAACCCATGGTCATGTACAAAAGAAAAATCTGGACCTCGCACACTCGAAGGTTGGAGTTCAGTGTCTACCCTGCATTTGTATAAGACAGATTTGTCTTACCGCGTATACAATAACCTATTCTGAATATTATAACCTGAGGTTTGTAATCATGATCTCTACTAGACTATCCAGGGGTATACTGGGTTTCCAACCCCAATCCTGTCTGGCAATACTATCATCAAACACCTGAAATTTAACACTCATTTGACAGACACTTCAACTATAACTGCAATATCATAGACATTTCACAAGAAGTGTATTGTTCATTTGGTGCACCAAATGAACAATAAATACACTTCCCGTTTTGCAATATATTATCCGTACAGCTTGCTCTAGAAGGTTCAAAGTCGACCTAGTACTTGAAATGAATCGGAGTTTTCTGTGATAAAACAAGTGGATTCAAATTTTTCCTTAAAAATTTCATTTTTTTTGTGACGACGGATCAAAATAAAGTAAATAACAAGCAAGATTGAAATCTTATATTTTCCCGATTATATAACACAAAAATATTTTGAATTTCTTGCAACCGAATAAATGTACTTTACTCATACAGTAAAATTAAACTAGAGGAGCTACGTGGTCACAAAGTCGTAATAGTAATGTCGCATAAATTTGGGGTTCTGCTTCTGTCTAGTTCAATAAGCCATATTGTGTTGCGACACAAGTTGACGCGGTCGTGAACACAGATGCATGATTTTCATGGCTGTCTGAATCTCATGCCAGCTACATTATTTTAATTTTTCAAATCATCATCTTTCATTTCATATGCAAAACATTTTTACCGGACCAAACCAAATAAATTATTTTTAAAAATGATTTAAGAATAAAATGATTGAGAATTGTTGACTTTACCATGGGCCAAGTATCAGCAATTTTCTGCCTAGCATCTGGATTATATTCAATCTCTAACTCAGGAACCCACTTTCTCACCTTAATTCATTAAATAAATTAAAGGTGCTTTTAGATTTAATCCCTAATCTCAGTTAAATTAAGAAAGCAATCTCGTCGATATTCTTTCCAGATATAAATTCTCTTTGCTGTATAATAGCACGATTCTTTTTAAAAAAAATAGAAATTGAACATTATCTGCATTCAGTTACAATGGTAGGCGATTGTATCAATATGATGAAGACTTTTTTTTTTAAATTTTTAATTGTTAACAAACTTTTTTTGAATTACAAGTTTTCAAGTAAATAAAGAGCAGCTTTTTTAATTAATTAATCTTTGATTCTATGTTTTTCTGTATCCATGCTGTTTAAAAGCTTTAAATAAATCATAATTGAAATCAAAAGTCGTCTTCATTATAAATTGTTATAATCGCCTACCACCGAAGAAAAACCAAAAAAAGGATATCTCAATGATTTTTCCCCAGAGAAAAATGTTATTTGTCAATTAGAGTGAACCTCTAGCAAAGATGACAATGCCCAATTCACAACGGTACACTTTAAACCTTTGTCCAATCCCGTATGAATGAGATATTAATTTCTTTTTTTATTTTGAAAACTAATTATTTTCAAATTTGGTTTTTCTGCAAATATATATTTAAAGTCAAACACTTTTAAACCAAGAAAAACAACAAAATTTGTAAGTGTACCGTTGAGAATCAGACACAGACACCTTTGAATGACAAGACATTTAGTTATCCTTTGGACTCATAATTTAATAGTAAAGACACATTTTTTGTGAGTAATTAAGTCTAAGCCCTGGATCCTTATAAGCTTTTTCTTATAAAATTTTAAATGCTGAATATCTACAACAAATTTCCGATGAATCATATTATGCATGATCAAATTTACCTGGGATATTTCAGAATTTAAAAATTGACTCTTGAATTTTAATTTCATTTAAATACTTCATTGCAAAATTAAAGCGCCTTTACGATTGAACTCTTTTGGCACGAAAATTCTGTATTAATCAAATTTAACATCTTTATCTTGAAATTTGGCAGTTTAATAAAATTACAATTGAAACTTGCAATAGACAGTGATAGCTCAAATACAAAGCGGGCTTCTTATATTCGTTTATTATAAACTAGCTCCAAACTATATTTTAAGCCAAGCTAAGATCATTCCGTGGTGCTTGTAATAACGTGTTATTAAATCAAAATTTGAGGCATATTTTTCCAATGGGTTATTGAATTATGGTCAGAAAAACAAATAGACCGAAAAATAGCGATTACTACTTTACTTAGAGATGTCATTAAGAAGTTTGATTTTGTAAACATTTTAACTGATATTTTTAACCATCTACAAAATTGTTTAGAATTAAGAATTTTTGAAACTTTCTGAATTTGTATTAATGCTTTGTTCTTCAGTATAAGTCGTTTTTAACAATTTTCTCCTTATAGACGCAAAAGATAGAAGTAAGATTAGTAGCGATGAAAACGTTTTTTTTTTCGCCGTAAGCCCATACCCGATTTCATTTTCGCAAACACTCCCGATAATTGAAAAAAATGTTTGAAGAAAAGAGAGGTTTACGTGTATCACCTCGTGTAGTTCAACTACTAGAGATGGGCACGATCAACATTTTTTCATATCCTTCGTCCATCTTCTGTGAACGGCCCATTTTCTTCGTTTTTTTTCAATCGTTTAAATAAAAGTAATTCGGATCGTTCTCAAAATTATCGTTAATTTTCGATCTATTTTGCTTCTTTTCTCACTGAACGATTGTTTGGTAAAACTGTTAAATTCTGTTGTATCATTAACTAATATTAAGATAGCTTGAGAACCCAGCCTTGTCCAGAGTACTCCTAGTTGCTCCCGTCGTTTACCCACGCTTAGTCGTAAATTACGATTTTAGGTATTTTACCCTAATTAGGTGAACCCATTCAAATTATAGTTCCTCAATCAAGTCAAGTTGTGAAAGTCCTGGGATAATTGGATAATTGCTATTATGAAGTATTATTAGATATACCCACCTCATTGAAGAGTTCTTCTGGTGTAAAGCTCATTGCATGAACATTGTAGGTTCTAGTGCTAAGCTTGTCTGTAGGCGCTAACATGAACTCTATGGTCGATCTAGTCAAATTTTACATTTTTACTTTTTTACAACTTTTTGCAGCCTAACTTTAAATATTTCATTGTAAAGATATTCTTGCCCATCTTTGAAAAAGTATTGCAAAATTTACTGATACTGTAGCGTAATTTCAAGTTAAAATCCTTGTAAAATAAGGGTATGCACAATTCACAATGGTACCCTTTAAACCTTTCCCTGACAAAAATTATAAAAATATTCTTGTTTATTGATATATTCTTCAGTGACTCAGATAAAGAATTAAAGGGTACCTTTGTAAATTAGACATGCGACTATTTAAAAGGAGGTCTTCAAAATTGTGTTCTATTTAACAATGCAGGATTTTATATAAAAAAAGGAAAAATTGCATAAGAAAAATACCTTAGACAGTCATCAATGTACATCATGGGAAGTCTTGTATCTGGCCTAAAAAGAATTTATGTAGTCCGATTTTAATAGATAATAACATTTTTAGTGATCACACAGTACAATATGATAATCATGTATGTATAATGTGTTTAAGCTGGTGGGAATAGCAATAATAGCAATAATGTTTGCTAGTGTTGGCAATAGGGTTAGATACCTAAGATAGCAATTATATTTGCCAGTGATGGGAAAAGGGTGAGCTACCTAAGATTACAATGGTGTTTGCCATGTGGTAGGAGAAGGGTTAGATAGCTAAGATAACAATGCTTGCCAATAGTAAGAAAAGGTCTGGTAAATAAGATAGCAATAATGTTTTCCAGTGGTAGGAATAGAATACCTGAGTTGGCAATTATGTTTGCCAGTGGTGGGAAACGGGTGAGCTACCTAAGATTACAATGATGCTTGCAATGTGGTAGGAGAAGGGTTAGATAACTAAGATAGCAATAATGCTTGCCAGTGGTAGAAATAGGATACCTCNTAGATAACTAAGATAGCACAATGATGTTTGACAATGGTAGGACAGGGTTTAGATACCTAAGATAGCACAGTGATGTTTGCCAATGATAGGACAGGGGTTAGATAACTAAGATAGCACAGTGATGTTTGAGTGCAGTGGTGGGAAAAGGGTTAGATACCTAAGATAGCACAATAATGTTTGCCGGTGGAAGGAAAAGGGTTAGATACGTAAGATAGCAATAATGTTTGCCAGTGGTAGGAATAGGATACCTGAGATGGCAATAATGTTTTCCAGTGGTGGTTAAAGGGTTAGATACCTAAGATAACAATTATGTTTTCCATTGGTAGGAAAAGGTGACAACTAAGATAGCAATCAATTTTACCAGTGGTAGGTGAAGGGTTTTAGATACATAAGATAACAATAATGTTTCCAGTGGTTGGAAAATGGTTAGATACCTAAGATAGCAATGATGTTTGCCGGTGGTGATGGCATCATGAAAGATCTGCACTGCGTAGTCAGTAGTTCCACCACCAGGGTGAGAATCGTAAGAGATGATTCCAGGAAACCTATCGATTTATTAGTTATTATTGTTTAATAATCAAATTTTGAAAAGTATTATTTATTTTGCATCAAAGTGTTATTCGCTAAATCTAAGGCTTTTTAGTTAAATCCCTAAAGTTTAATATTTCCAGTTCAATCTATTCCGCAATCAGGAAAGTGTAATGTATAAAGAGTTTAATTTGCAAAAAATTCTTTTTTATCTTTCTTTATGCTTACCTCAGACACCTAAAATCCAGGTTAAATCTCTTGTTGTAATATTCTCCAAGCAGCTCAGCATGAACCTACATTTCATATTTTTCTTTTTCTAAAGGAATGTCAAGGAAATTTGTTTTATAGTTAGCCAAAGTAGTATAAAAGACTTTTCCCACAGAGCTGGGTTTAATAAAATGGTTTAATATTGTACTTGATGGATTTTCATGGTTGGAATTTTCAGATTTCTGTATTTCATTAGAATAAGACTCAATAATGAGAATAATTCTTCACTGAAACCAACTAAGATGTTTTTTTCATCAGGCCTAACTTCCTAATCCGAGTCTAAGGGCTAGAAGCTGTTTTTCATGTCACATGTGTCACAAGCTGTTGTCAGCTGGTTCATAAGTTGGGTCTAAGATAAAGCCTTAACCCTGGGTTTAAAGAATTAAAACTCGAGTCTAAGCTTTTGAATCCTGGGCTTGCAGTCTATTTAACAAATCAAATAATCAATAACATAGTAAATAATAAACATATTAATGGATCAGACTTAACAAAAAATATTTTTTTATAGAAGATAGCCCAGAGTATTGTCTATTTATTGTATATTTTAAGAAGAAAAAACAGTGAAATCATCAATTGAAAAGGAATTGAGTTTTTGTCAAAAAAATGTCTAATCCATAGATCTTTGAAACCCAATATTGTAGACTTTTGATATTTCAAACTATTAAATCTGTTAGGTAGAATAAAATAAGTTTTAAATATAAAATCTGTACTCCATTAAGCTTTTATGGTAAAGACTCAATTCCTTTCTCTTCCATAATTCCTTAATAAAGATAAGCCCTAATAATTTTTTCTAATTTTCTTATTCAATTTTTTTATATGTTGTTAACCATTAAAGGGAGTGTTCGCGAAAAATTGAAAGGGGGTATAGGCTTAATGCAATAAAAAAGCGCTTTTGATCGTTTCTAATCTTATTTCTATCTGTTGCGTCTATAAGGAGAAAATTGTTAAAGACGTCTCATACCGAATAACTTAGCGTCCATGCAAATTGAGAAAATTGCAACATACGACTTAGACCGTAAAAACACTCATTTTAAGCAACAACTTTTCAGTTTTAAACTCTAACAGCCTTAGTTACCTTGGATACCCCATAGATGGTTTTTGGTCTCTGGATACAAAGATTTGGGGTTGGATTGCGTGGGGACTCAGGACCAAAAGCTCCAATAGTACTTGGTACAAACAGCTTCAGCTTATCTGACAGATTTAAAGGATTGTGTAAGTGTAATTTAAAAGCGTTAAAGTCTGATCAGTTCCATGTATGCTTTCCTGCAGGAAAAATGGGAATATTGCATTTTTAGAGAATTCAGAAGTAAAAATAATCATTCCTTCATAAAACCTGAATTTTTGGTATGCAACAATTTTTATTTAATCCCGCCCCTTTTAAAAATAATAATAAATAATAAAAATAATTTGTTATTTTTGACAAAGATTTAATGATAAACCCTCCAGGGTTTAAATTTCCATTTCTGTATAAAAAGCTGTTTTTTTGGTATGCAACAATTTTCATTTAATCCCGCCGGGATATTTTCATTGAAAGATACTTTGAAAATCTACAAAGGCAAAAAAAAATCCGCAAAATCCGCAAGCCGTCGGGTTTATCATTGAATCCCCTCTTTAAAAAGCAATGTCATTTACTCTCAGACAAATTAGAATCAATGGAAATTTGTCTGAGAGTAAATGATACAAATGATACATTGATTCTAATTTGTTTGAGAGAAAAATGATACATTTTTAAAATCATAAACATTTATATTTAATTCATACTTGATCAGAAAAAGACTTTTAAGGGTACCGTTGTGAATTGGGCATTGCCATCTTTAAACATCTTTTAATCTTCTTTTCTGAGTAGGGTTGAATCAATTAACATTTAGCTAAATGTGCGTAACAGACGGTTCATCAAGTAAATGGATGTTTTATTTTTATTTTAAAACTTTTAGCCCTATAACTATCCTCTAATGAGAGGGTTTTGGAATTTATTTTAAATTAGAAAATTATCAAAATTTATAAATCTTACATTGTTTAGAAAGCTCCATAACATTATGAAGTCCCTCTATGTTTACCCTGACTGCCAAGGGTACGTTGTTTTCTCCCACAGCAGATAGAAGTGCAGAGAAATGAACAATCCAATCAATTCTAGAACATAATTTATCTAATCTACTAATCCCTATATCTAGTGCAGAGAAATGAACAATCCAATCAATTCTAGAACATCATTTATCTAATCTACTAATCCCTATATTTAGTGCAGAGAAATGAACAATCCAATCAATTCTAGAACATAATTTATCTAATCTACTAATCCCTATATCTAGTGCAGAGAAATGAACAATCCAATCAATTCTAGAACATAATTTATCTAATCTACTAATCCCTATATCTTTGCAACCTTTGCAAATATTTCAAACTTGAATTATCTGATCTTACATGATTCATAGCTTGAAATATCAAAGATCTTCGACGTTGGGTTTCAAAGTTTCCTTAGAGTATTTTTTGCTTTTTATTTTGTAGTGCCTTACATAAGGCAGGTACAGCTAATGGTTTGAAGGGTGTCCAACTATTTAATAATGGAAATTTACAATATTCAAAATGTTTTAATAATTGATTTGAAAAGTGGAGATGCTGAAAGGAAATTAACAAAACTAAAGATAGGCACGTGTACATTTTTTTCACCAGTACTTTACATCGGCAATTTTTTTAAACATCGACTAAATAAGGTCAGCGCTGATTCTATCCCTATTTGTCTAACAAACATACATGTATCGCTTTTATTATTTTATACTTATTTGTCGACTGGGAGCGTTTATAATATAAACTATAAAAAGACATTCTCTGTAATTGCAAAGATTGAATTTTATTAATTTAATTAGACTAGTTTATATAAAACTTTACCCTTAGTACGTACTCATTTCTCTCTAAGAAAATGAATTTATTTTTCATAATGCAGGGAAAGTTATTCTAGAGGTGTACGCATCTTTTGTACTACAGTGTACTGTCTCTGGGCGGTAATGTAAACTCAAGACAAGGGATCCATCTTTCACATAAAAAATCAAAGAAATATTCTGGTCATAGGAAACTATTATGTGAATTATCAAAATACTAAACGAACACTGATGCATTTATTTTTGTTTACAAATTCCGCCCAGAGAGAACTGGTTTCAATATGTGCGCAAGTTTACGCAACTTCAATTAACTTGTCTTGCATTATAACCTTGCTCTTACCTCTCTATAAAAATACGTTTTTTGAGAGAAAATTTCTTATACCTTTTGTTGACAACTATTTCCTGAAGACACTTGAAGTCCAGCACATCAGCAAAGATAAAAGGCCCATTGGCAATCTCGGATTCCTTAATATTATAGGTTTTCATAGAAATCTAATGGGTGAAAATGCTCATTTAAATGAAAGGAGAATGCTAGATATACACTATATAATAATGAAATTTGAAATGTATGATATAGGGTTACCCATGAAGGATGAGACATCAGATACGATTGAACGGAATTTGTTTTGTCCCTTTTCTTACATACATGGTTCCTTACAGGCCTGACCGACTTATTTATACTTAATTGAACGAAGGCACCAAAAATTAAGCTTTAAATTGTTATATTTCTTAAGTTTTGGGTCGTCTTTACAGTCTCATCCTTTGTGGGTAACCCTGCAGTTGTTTGTTTCATAAAAAGTTTTAAATATTTAATTATTTCTTTGTGACAATTTTGCTAATGCTTTACAGGCCTTCATATAGTAGCATTCATTTCAGAGAAATTTAGACCTCTCCCTCTCTCATCATCAAATATTTAAGGAAATAGAAAGAACGATTTTAGACTCTTTTCGATTCATTCTGTTGATATGGACGAATTATATTTTCTGTTAAATAAAAAATAATTCAAAAAATCAATATTTTTAGAGTGCAAGATGTCCTCACATAGCATATATTTCAAATGTCAAAGGTTTGCACCATTATGGTTCAAAGAAAACTATGAAATAAAAAGAGGAAATTATTTAAAAACACTTAAGTATATTTGATGTTGTCACAAAGCAAAAAGTTTCATTAGACAAACCCTATTCCGCTAAAAACTTTTAAAATCTCTAATTAAGTGGAACTGTGGAATGGGTCTGTTTACACTGCAAAATTGTTGTGTCCAATGCATATTAGACTATCTTAAGTCGCAAATTTCGTCTAAAAGTTGTCTTCTAATTTTTATTCAAAATTGAAATTTAATTAATTGATTACAATTTCTGTGTTTAAAAAAGACTGTATCTTAGATTTAATGAGAAAAAAATTAACGTTTATAATACTTGACATGTTTGTATTTACCCTAAATTGACATGTTTGTATTTACCCTAGCTTGACATGTTTGTATTTACCCTAAATTGACATGTTTGTATTTACCCTAGCTTGACATGTTTGTATTTACCCTAGCTTGACATGTTTGTATTTACCCTAGCTTGACATGTTTTTATTCACCCTAGCTTGACTATTTGTATTTACTCTAGCTTGACATGTTTGTATTTACCCTAGCTTGATATGTTTGTATTTACCCTAGTTTGGTATGTTTGTATTTACCCCAGCTTGACATGTTTGTATTTACCCTAGCTTGACATCAAAAATAAAAAATTATCTCTAACCTTTTGATTATTTAAGCTACAGAGTTAAAATTTACTTATTTACTAAACTTCCCTAGCACTCAAACCATTACAAATTGAGGTATATTTTTACTATAATTTTTTTTAGATGCTTTTTATAACCTCGGAAAACAAGATTTCTTATAAACTCAAAATAAACTAATTTGAGCAAAAAATTCAGCTACTCTAATTTGTTAAATAAGAAAGGAAAAATAATAGATATTGGATAATTTAAGATTTTTAAGAACATTAAATTTTTTTAAAAACGTTTAAAATATTACCTCAGGCTTAATGATATCAGACAGAATTACAGTTTCTGCTCCGTGTCTATAATATATATTTATAAATATGAATATATTTTTATAGATTTCTATCTACATATAGTTCACTTTTAGTTTTCCTATATATAGTAATTAGGGTTGTAAATCTTTTCTAAAAACGATCGAAAAAACTATAGTTTTTTGTTTCGATTTTCTTTTTTTTCTAAAATCGATCGTTTCGTTTTCAGAAAAAATCAATCCTTTTTTAAAACGAACCTCTCGTTTTAAACTAAAAAAACGATTTATAAAAAAATGTCGTACAGGAAATTAAGTTTTTGACAATTAATTTCAATTATATTTCAGAAAGATAAGGTAATGAATGTTGTCTTTAATGGTTTAGTTATCGATATACATAACCTAAATGTTTTCTCACCTTGGATTTTCCGCCCAAAAATGTATTTATATTTACAAATTGGATTAGACGCTAACGGAAAGTTGAACCAAGGGTGTCATGAATGGGTCAGCTTTATCTTAATATTACCTGGCTCTCAGCTCACGGGCTAAACCGGTTCCCAGCTGTCCCAGCCCGCCTTTACCAAACCAAACAAATTATTATTCAACAAAAATGCGGGGAAAATTGATCAGCTGCCCTACAGTCTAAACATGATGAACCTCAATACTTTAAATGTAGGGTGGTTTCCTGATTTTTTCTCTATCATTTTAGTATAAATGTGAAATGTGAAAAACTTTCTGTTATAACATTTTTTCTTCTTTAATTACTTTGTAGATACTTCTTTAAGCCGGACGACCTATGCTAATAATATTAATATAATTTGTCAAAATGTTTAACTTTTTTTACATAAGTAAAAATGTGTAAGGCAAGGAGAGAATTTTTATCTTGAGAAGAGCTCTTAAATATTTAATCCTATAAGTTAGTATATAACCTTTGAAAATAGATCTTTAATGTCAGGTTATGAGCCTAATTTCAGAGGGATTATATTTTAATATACTCAGAATTATGTAAACCACCATTCACACTGAACTAAATGTCCAGAAACCTCTACTTTTGTGGGTTTTTTTTCGGCTAATGTAAATAAGTTTATTATTTTGATTTAAATTGCTTTAAAGGAAATTCCACTTTATTAGGAATAAAATAAAAATTCCTTTCCTTCACTGTCATTATAGTTGTATTAATGCAGTTTAGACAAACTTTTTCATATTCAATTAATTTTTTTTTATGCAAAGTTCTTTTTTGAGATATCTAAACAAAGACCTTTGTCTTTAAATTTTTTTTATCATTATTATGTAATTAATTGTATTTTTTTTGCAGTGTTTGACTTTTCTCTATATGAATGTTAAAATTTACTGAATAAAGTCCTGTGCTAAGGTGTGACGTTTTATTTGAACACACCTTTTTTATTTTCATTTGAAGATTAACTTAAAAAGTATAACCTTCTTTATATTAAACAAACATTAGTATAAAATAATTTTTACCAATATTTTATCAGCTTATCCTTTTTTCAAAGTCACCCTAAAAAAATACTGGCCTCTCCTTACTTTTCCTAATTCATGCTCCTTTATCTATAGCTTATTAGTTGGCTTTTGTTTGCTGATAAAATACAGGGTGTCCCACGGAACATGACAGTTGGTAAATAGTTTTGAATGTCGTCTTCCATACACTGTATTAGATAGTAAAGGCTTTATGCAGTTTATTTCGTTTAAAAAATCTTTTTCTCAAATATATTTTACTTTGAAATTAATTTTACGATAACATGACTTCTATATAATATTTTTGTTATTGTCTTTGGTATTAAACAATTAAACAAATTATGGAAGAAGACTATTTATGTTTCGTGGGACACCCTATAGCAGCCATATTTGCATTGACCTTAAAAATATGTGGACAAAGACGGATTATAAGATATTGATTGTAAATTAGGAGCCCTTGTTAACCTTAGCTTTTCAATTTAATGAAGATTTTTTGTATTTGTTATTTTACAGATTTGGTTGGACTTTATTCTGAAATCTAAATATCATAGAACATACAGTTTTTACGATATTTTTGATAGTTTATATGAATTAGATATAAAAAATGATCGAACATATTTATTCCAATACAGGCTTTAATTCAAATTCTTCAAACAAATTCTTTGATTTAGTTTTTTTAAGATTTCGTTTATTTTCCTGTAATGAGAACGTTTGGTCCTCTCTTCCCTGTATGACAAAGACGACATTCTGCCTAAAAACGAAAATCTTATTTGCAATGAAAATTGGAATCATAATATAGAATAAAACCCGGCCATGGGTAAACCCCACGAATGACATTTTTTTTTAAATACCAAGCGTAACCCGGGCTTTTAAATATAAACCTGCTTCAGCTAGTGTTGTTAAAGCTAAATTCACTTTGAGGTTTTTGCATTTTTTGCATTTTTTATATGCAATTTGGTTGTTAGTGAACAAATCCTTTAAAGCTTTCTGTTCAGTTCCACAGACGACTATTTAAAGAGACTTAAAGTAGACTTTATTTAAATTTCTTGAAAATATGCTGAATTCTGATAATTTCCGCCAAGATTAAAAAGACAGATTAAAGCTGTAGGAAACCAAAAATTTAACAAAAAAGGTTGACTAAATTCTGTACAATCTTATCTGAAGCCTCATCCTTTCTGAGTAACCCTGCAGCATCAGCTTAATTTTTTTTATATATCATTAGATTTACTAAGTGACATGAGTTTGTGTTAAGAGGTACACTGAACAATTTCTGTGTTTTACCTTCATTGTACTATTTAAACTCTAGCCTTAAATCTAATAGTCTTATTTCTTTTTTAATGGATCTGGCTGAAGTTTATCAAAAGAATTTAAGTCTTTGTCAAAACCTTTGATTTTCTCTTTTCTATAACTTTGCAACCCAATGTCTTAGACCTTATAACTATTTCAAAGACTAAATTGTGTTATATCAAACAATCTAAAATGAAATATCAAAGTTTTTGACCTTGAGGTTACAAAGAAATAGGGATTAGAAAATTTTGTGGCAAAGACTTAATTCATTTATTTACCTAAAGCATATTGGGAATATCCTAAATTTATCCAAATTACATAATTTTAACACCCTGATTTACATAAAATTATTAGAGACACCGCTTTTACCTGGAAAATATTGGGATTAACCTAATCTCCATGAAAGGTATTGGGATCCCCCCCTACTTTACAAAAAAATATTCGTAACACTCTAATGTCTATGAAAGATATATGGGAAGCATCCTAATTTACATTAAAACTTTTGGGATCACCCTAATCTAAAAGAAAAGTATTGGGATCACCCTAATTTACATAAAAATATTGGGATCACCCTAATTTACATGAAAAGTATTGAGATCACCCTAATTTACATGAAAAGTATTGGGATCACCCTAATTTACATGAAAAGTATTGGGATCATCCTAATATCCTTACTTTTCCCAAAAATATGGGAAACACCCTATTCACAAGAAAATTTATAAACACCCTAATCTTTTAAAAGAATATTAGAAACGCTCTGAATTAATCTGAGCAATGTGTAAAGTTCTGAACACTGTATTTCCTCTAAATGTTGGATAAAGCTGAAAATTTACCTTAAACAGCTTGTCAAAACGGAGAAAATTTTGTCTCATGCTTGATGCGGACATGCCTTGTAAGCCAAAAAAGTAGTGGCCTTCGGACGAGCCAAGCCCCTACTGGAGGTTTGAAGCTGTTTTAATGCTGAGTCTGCACAAGTGTTATACCTTTCATGTAGTTAAACCTAGGTTACCTATATGCCTCATCATCATGGAATACAGGGAGTTCAAAGAATTATGAAAGAATAAAATGTAAAAAACATTCTTAAAAAATAGTTTTACGTGTCCGATTAGTAAGGTTTTCTATCAGAAATGAATTAAGCACATCTTGGTAAGCTGCCAATCAAAGTACATATATGGCAAAGTAAAAAAGAACATTATAGTTAAAATGGAAAATTTATGGGATAAACACATGAATATTCTGAGTAACCCTGTTAAAATTTTAAAGTACTTAGTAACAGATGTATAAAATATTTATAAAATGTTAACAGATTCCAGAATAGACTAGTTAACCTTAGAATACTACCCCCCCCCCTCTCCTTCCGTTGCCCCCCACCGTCCATCTCCCTTCAACTTCCAATTTCCTTTCCTATATCCCTCCCCTTTCAGAAGATCAAAATTTACCATGTCTAACCTAAAACTATTGCTTAATTCCGTCTTCCTACAGTGGTAACCGGAAAACAGTGGACCCATGATTTTGTCTCAATTGTAACTGTATATTTCTGAAATGTGTTCTAACTAAACATTATTAATATGTCAATTATAACAATTACAAAAATAATGTAACTGTTCTTTAATTTATTAAAAAAAAGTTTGAGTACTTAGAAATAGGTTCTCCTTTATATATTAACATAGTTACTTTCCTAAATTCCAAGCTTTTTAGTTCCAAATTCCTAGTTAGTCGGACTTCCAGAATTCATATCAACATAGTTCCTAGTTAGTCAGAGTTCCAGAATTCATATCAACATAGTTCCTAGCTACTCAGAGTTCCAGCATTCATATTTACATAGTTCCTAGCTATTCAGTGTTACAGAATTCATATCAACATAGTTCCTAGCTAGTCAGAGTTCCAGAATTCATATCAACATAGTTCCTAGTTACTCAGAGTTCCAGAATTCATATCAACATAGTTCCTAGCTACTCAGAGTTGCAGAATGCATATCAACATAGTTCCTAGCTAGTCAGAGTTCCATAATTCATATCAACATAGTTCCTAGTTACTCAGAGTTCCAGAATTCAATTAAGTACCGTTCAGATATTCTCATTATTGAATTAAACGACCCTTAAAAAACACCTGTATTAATTTATTAAAATACAAACACATTTATAAATATAGTTTTCTTCTACGTTCTATAAACAAAAAGTGGCTTAATTAGCAGACATTATTATAAAAAATAAATTATTGAAATATTGAAATAAAGCTCTTCGCTCATATATATGTCGGCTGTAGCTGGCCATACAGCTGGACCGAATGTGCTNTTCCACCCTCCCCCTTTAGGGTTTTTTCTGAATGACTTAAAAACGGGTTACATTAAATGCTGAAACTTCTTCACTTTTTGAACATAATAGTTTTGCTAAAAATTTTGTTATGCATAGAGTAGAATGGAAGGAGGAAGCTCAAAGGGCATGTCGATGTTTCAAAAAAATCAGAAATGGTTTCTCTATAAGTAAGTTATAGGGCTTATCTTATATATTCTAAAGGCCCTTGAAAAATGAATTTAATAACATGTGTCACATGTTAATATTTGCCATGAGTAAAAATAACTATTTTTGAAAATTATTTCGACTATACTTTTTGAACATTTTTAAAATCATCCCTGACACCCTAACCATTAAAGTTAGAGGTATAATTATTTTTTTATTAACAGGCCTTGAAAAGTTGGACAAGACAAGGGACATGAAGACCAATCAGAATAGGGTTAAGGAGCCCATGGGTATCCTATGGGGTAACATAGGCTAAAAATATTCAAAATTTTTATGTTAAAAAATCAAATTTTGTTTTAAATAGATTTTTTTCACTAAAAACTGGAAGTCAATGTACAGCTTTTTTTATTTGTCTGAGCAATATATTTTATTTATTAAATATTATTTAGTTCGTTTTATTTCAACTATTTTTATGTTTCTACGATAGATAATGTATCAAAGTCCATGAAAAGATTTGATGTTTCAGTTTTGATATCTATAGACCGTGCCCCCCAATCCATGCTAGTAAACCTGAAAATAAAATGTACAGTAAGACCCACAAATTGTGGAATGAGAACATTAGTTCAACCCTTTCTAGCACCCAAACTATGAATGCTATCAGTCTCATTTTTATTTCAATGAGCTGGCCTTGAAAAATAGGGCTTTAAGAACATGCATTTCAACCTTTTACCTATTCTCTAAGGCCTTTTTCTAATGGGGGCGCGGGACGCCCCCCCCCAGGCTATAGATAGATTTAGACCAGGATTTAGACCCCTCAGCCAGTATAGGGTTTAAATCAAATTATTACAGTGAATAGGGTCAGTGCATACACAGCATACTTGCTGTATTTCATGTTCTTTGGAATATACGAAATTATAACTCGAGTTTTGAAGCGATTTACAATTCCACAGTTCCATATTTCGTCAACAAACAGACGACATTTTAATATTAGAAGTATTTTCTTTCTAGAAAAATATAATTAAAAGACGACATATTAGTGAGCAGAATATATAAACCGTGTCTCAGTTCTCTCAATAAACATTAGAACTAATTGGAACGACATGGTGATATTCATAGATTTTAAACTATCAACAAATGTTAAACGTGTCCAGTTTTCAATTAGTAATTGTTAAGAATGGACTTCTTGAGTTCTTGTATTTATGAACAAAGACGATAAAACATAAATCCAATGTTTTTTGCAAACCCTGTATAACCTGTTGCTGTAGCGTTGGAAATCATCAGTGCTAATATCGTTTCCATCCACAATAAAATTACTAAAACAATATTTTATTGGTTTTTATTTTGAATTTTTGTGATTTTTTAAAATATTTTTTTTAGAATTGTTTAAACCTGTTCCACCCAATCTCAAATATTGTCGAGTTTCTCACATAGACAACATCGACATCAGAATGTCTAAATATAAATAAACAACTTAAAAATCGAAATTTTTTTAAGTTGATAATAAAATTTAATCAATTGTTAGAAACTGTAATTTTATAATCCTTCTCTCTTGGCAACATGATGTTGTAAACCTTTAACCCTACTTATCCTGGGGGGTGGGGGATTTTTTTTGCGATAATTCTGAATTTTTTAACTAAACATGTCTATCACTTGGCTTTTATACCTACTGACTTAATGCCCTATTTTACCTATACCAGACTTAATCTATATTTAGACCTACTTCCAGTCATTGGATTTCAACATTTTATAAATCTTTGGAGAGTCTAGAACAAAAGCATTATCTGAATTTAACAGAATTTAATGGATTTGAGCCACGTCTCAAATCCACCAAAAACCGGCTTCAATTGAGCGCCGGCTTAAATCTTGAAACGTTGAATACAATTTTAAGTGGAACAAACCATATTTGAGTGAATGATAAAACATACTTTTTTTAAAGCCCTTGACCAATGACCATGCCATTTAAAATATGTAAAAAATGTTGCAAAATTTAAATAATCTGATGGGCACTTAAGAAAAGCTAAAAATGTGAAAATTTGTGCATTTTCTGATGTCACAGGCTTTCCAAAAACCTAAAAATTATCCAATTCTGACAACTGAAAGCGGGTTCAAACAAAGATTTAGTTTGTAACAGAAAAGAATAGTCATTCAGGCAGTGTGCCTGAGGACTCATGGGCAGTTATTATAAAAGCCCGGTTTGGAGACTAAAGGGAGGGCTTTGGGTATTTTGGAAAAGTCAGAAAATTTCAACATCCTCCAAGACTAATACTTTTTGAGTTATGTAAAAATACTACAGGGGGGTGGGAAAATTGACCCCCCCCCAGCAGGAATAAGGTTAATAAATCATTAAAAGACTACATTCAAGCCCGAAATACATTCTTAATTTAAAGAGATTAAGGTCGTCTTTGTTGTTTCATCTTTTTTGGTAACCCTGTAAAATACCTAATATTATTCACACGCTGGGCAACCAAACTGAAGATTTGTTGATCATCACTTCAATTAGAAAAACTTTAATTAACAAAAATCAAACAATTTTTTTCTTAAAATTTTCGTCAAATTTTGTACCACAGAAGTAATTAAAAAATTTGAAATTTGGCAGTATTTTCATCTTTTAATTTTATAATTTCTAAAAATTATTTATTGAAGAGCAAAACTGGAAAATTTTGCATTGGCAAAATGTTGACTGTGGCGATTTTTGAGAAACTACAAATATTAACAGAGCTGAAAACTTTAGAACTTTGGATATCTAGATCAATAATTGATCTTTTATAATCTTCTCTAATCCTAACCTTGCAGTATCAACAAAAGTGTAAATAACTCAACCAATGATAGTGGGGTTTGGAGAAACAGCTAATCTAAGAAACCGGGAAATTTGAAATATTTCGCGCCAATTAATGCATGAGTGAATTCTGATTAGATTTTGGATATATACCAGATTAAGTTTTCAGCTCAGCTCAGAATACTTTTTATTTATTAAAGTAAACGATAAAAAAACGATAAAAAAGACAGAAAATTATTTTAATTTTTGGTTGAATATTTAAAAAAAAATGATAAAATAAATTAAATAGTTTCTGCCTGTGATCCACAGCAGTTTGAAGCTCTTTTCTAAACAACTCTTCTGAGGAAGAACTGAAAAAAAAACATTGGAAACATTGCTTCTTGTAAAATTATAAAAGTGATAAGTTCAATTAGATTCAAAATTGCAACCGTAAATTATTTAACTGGGCAAGAATGACTGAGATTTCCTTGTTTTTCTAACTAAAAATGTATAATTTTCAAATGTTCTCTGTAAAAGCTACTTAAGAGGTTTGATGTGAATCGGATACGAAACGCGTAGAAATACTGTTAAAACAGAAAAACAATTTTCATGTTTTGGTTAAAATATTAATATTTGTTTGACCTGCATGTGTCCAAAAGACATCCTGAAAAAAGATGAACAAATTATTTTTGTCAATTTATATTTCTAAAATGTATATAAAATAAATTGTTGAGATGTTTTTTTACAAATCTCTTGAAGATTTCCAAACAAGTTTATTTAATAGATTGGTCAAATTTTGTGTAATTTTTTTTTTAAATCAAAAACCAGGTCTAGATCATTTTAAATTTTCAAATTTTCAGACTTAAAACTTGGCTGTAACATCCACTGCCCGAGTCCTTTGTCAACCTGTATAAAGCCTCACTTTACTTTTAACAGACTAAATCTTTCTTAAGACCAACTTGGGCTCATTTCAATATTTCAATCTTTTAAGCTTTTTTATATGACAGAAGGAAGATTATACAGAATTTTTGGACAATTTTGCAAACAAACTTATTTTAAAAACCTTAAATTCAAAATTTTATATTATTAAAATTTGTTAAATGTTTACCAATTAACGCTGGAATACTATCCAAGCATCCGTTGTCAACAAGGCACTCTAATAACGAATCATTGTATGCCAGATTTACCTAAAATTATATTTTTAAAATTAAATTAAGGCATTTACAAATATTTTCCAATTTTGTTAACTGTTTGCGTATTATTTTTTTAACAATTTTTTTAAATGGCTTTTTCTTAAAGATAATAATTAAATTTGTTTGCGCATTCTAATTAATTATTAAAAAATCTCTTAACAAAAAATCTAATATTTTTGAACTCCTAAAATTTATAAATATTCATAAGTGATATCTGTTTGGGCGTCTGTTTGTTTGTATGTCCGATCATAATTCATAAATTCCCTTAAATTTTAATTGGGGACTTTTTAAAACCATAGAAATTTTCTTATTTTGGTTTAAAGGTTCTAAGTTAAGTATAGGTTGGCTTTATACCATTGTTTCACGAGAAGTACACATTTCCGTTTACTTTTTAGCACTGGTATCAGAGCTGAGAACTTTAGAATGGTGGATATCAGGATTAATGCTTTCTCAATCTCCAGATTAAATAATGTTTGTTCTTCTCTTGTTATTAACCTCCAGACTTATTATCTGATCGTGATTAAGGATATCACATTTTAAAATTTTTAGCTCATGATTCATCTCTAATTGGAAGATGAGATAGATAAATAGATAGGATTGGATCAGACGCTACAGGAAAGATGAAACAACAATTTACAGGGCTGGTTTCCCGAGCTAGTGTACTTAAATACTTATGCAATGTGCAATCACAAACCCCATAAAAATGATAATATTAAAATTAACTCCCATGCACACATCAATCAAATATTTTTTTGATATTATGAAAAACTTTTAGTTCATTTTTTGAATATCCCTAACACCTGAACCTGTATTGCTAGCAGATATATATTTTTTTAAAGGAACTATAATGTTATAAAATGTCCTTTGCACATGCATGGGGGGGGGGGGGTTGCGTTTGAGACATTCCATCTTATCCATAGCCAGCCTGGCCCATGTATAAGACATTTAATAATAAAATATTACCTGTACAGTGGAAGTTACAACATTTTGAACAAAATCTTCGAAAGAACCGTTCAGTTTGAGATTTCCTACTTCACAGATGTACACATTCTGCACACCTTCACACACAAATAGAAGCAATAACAAATGTATTGGAATCATACGACCAGATTTGACATTTTTATAAAATATTGAAGAAAACAAAAAAGTTATCAACAGTAAAAACTAGAAAACTCTAGAAGAAGAAATCTTTTTTAGTTAGAACTTTAAATAGTTTAATGAACATGAGACAGCAACTGTGCAGTGTAAACAGACCCATTTCGCTAAACAAGTGATTTAAAAAGTTAGAAGGAAAATTTAATTATTACTTTGATGTCGTCTTCTATTCTGCAGATTTCTGGTTTTTACTGCATCTGTTTACTTTAAAACTTATCTAATGATTATGAATAAAAATGGTGAAAAAATGTAGAATAGGATGAGGACATTAAAGCACTAGTTGAATGTAAATGGTTGTTACAAAGCAAATAGTTTTACTAGACTTATTAAATCACTTACTAAGTGAAATGGGTCTGTTTACACTGCACACTTACTGTGTATCATGTTTATTGGACTATTTAAAGTCTTTGGTCTTCGACCTCTTCCCATTCCAGAGATTTATGTACAAAAATAAAATAAACTTTGAAAATAATGAAAATGCCTCAGAAACCGAATTTAACGAAATTGAGATAATTCGATAAAACGCTAACTGCTGGTTCAAATTTGAACCACAATTCTAAGTTAAATATTAAAAAAAAGTATTTGAATCGGTGATTTGAACAGCCTAGTATGATAAGCAGGTCAAATTCAATAAATTCGGTCCCCGTCTAATAAGTTAATTATACAGAAAAAAGTGCAAATTGGTAAATATAATTAACAGATTTAATATTTTGTGTTCCTTCTGATACAAAATCTCTGTAAACTATTCCCTCTTCAGTGATATTCTCGGGCTCCCACTGAAAAAAATAAACAATGATTATACTCTGGAAAAAAAAACTCAGTGGAAGCGGTTGAAAAAGCAATGGAACGAGCGATTAAACAAGCAGTTGAACAAGCGGTTGAACGAGCGATTGAACGAGCGGTTGAACGAGGGGTTGAACAAGCGGTTGAATGAGGGATTGAAAAAGCGGTTGAACAAGCGGTTGAACGAGCAATTGAACAAGCGGTTGAACGAGGAGTTGAACAAGCGGTTGAATGAGCAGTTGAACAAGTGGTTGAATGAGTAATTGAATGAGCGGTTGAACAAGCAGTTGAACGAGCGATTGAACAAGTGGTTGAACGAGGGGTTGAACAAGCGGTTGAACGAGCAGTTGAACGAACAGTTGAACAAGCAGTTAAACGAGCCATTGAACAAGCGGTTGAACAAAGGGTTTAACAAGCAGTTGAATGAGCGGTTGAACGAGCAGTTGAACAAGCGGTTGAAGGAGAGGTTGAACAAGCGGTTGAACGAACGCTTGAAGTCTACGACCTAGTTCAGAATAAAAAAAAATGCGATTTTTTATTAAAATATTATTCAACATTTGAAATTATAAATTTTGGTGAATATTTTCGCCCCCGACCGCTGGGTTTTTAAGTATTTTACATACATTTGATTGCTAGGAAAATGTGTGTTTAAAGCGATTGAAGCCAAAAAAATGTCTAATATTTACAATTGAAGGGAAATTTAAGTAAAAAATGCATTTTCAGCGGTGGACGGCAAAAGAGTTTTAAAGAAATTTTAATTCTAGAGCTAGGTAGAATCAAAAATAACATAATCAATTATATAAACTAATTTACTAATAGTCTAAGCTGTGTTTCAACTCTCAACCGCTTGTTCAACTGCACAGTTATTTTTTCTCCAAAGAATATATCAATAAAAATTCATTAAAACTATGCTTCAATAATCGTCAAATGCAATCTCTTTCAAAGAAAGATTTTCCATTTACAAACCAATTTATCTAATAAGGGCAAAATTATTTGGACCATTCATATATTTGTCATTTATTAATACTAAAATTGGCAAAGATTATTTTGATAACCTTATGATATGCCAGATACACTCAAATTTTTTAATATTGAAATTGGCAAAGCTCATTTTGATAACCTTATGATATGCCAGATACACTCATACAACCTTTAATGATGCTCACTTTTTTATCTTAAATCAACTTAAGTCTGAACTTTGTCACAGAAAAATTAATTTATTGTCAATCAATGCTCTAAAAGTTATTTAAAAGATAATAAAAGTGTTCACTCCATGCATGCATTTGACCAATGTAAAGGAAAAATAATATTGCTAACATTAAAAAATTAACTGAAATAATAACCTTGTTTAACTTACATATCCTAGCTGCCATGAATAAAGAGCCACAAAAGCATCATCTTGTCTTCCAACCAGCCAGCCGAATCCTTCTTCGGCCATATGGACGTGATATTCGTCGAACTATACCAAAAGATGGAAGGATAATGATTAGGGTATTAAAAGTTACATGTGTGTTTTTGAAAATTGATCTTTTAAAGAACAACTGAGGCTGAAGCAAAAGTCGTTCATACTATTCCTGTGGACGAAAGAAACCCAACAAAAAATAAAAGTAATTTTAAAAACCAAAAGATATTAGATGTGCAAAACTTCCATAAGTTTCCTGTAGTACATTTTTACCGCCTTTGACCAACATTACCGACCTATGATTCCCCCAAAAGAGGGACGCTAAGTCACACACTATATAGTTTCAGTGGAAGTAAATATTTTCATTTACTATAGCGCCGATTGAAGGTTTCATAACTCTGATTGGATAATGAGATAGATAGAAAGATAGATGTTACCGCCATACTATTTCTATTGGTTCAGAATAGATAACAAACACAGGACTAACCCTGATTGGATCAGGCGCTAATGGACTCGGCATACAGGAGTGTAAATAATGTCCCTATGGACAATTAATTTAAATAATGACCCTCTCTGCCAATGTTTCGTGAAAAATTCGCGAATTTGCATCTCAAAAGACGAAAAAAATGTATACAACTACAATATGATAACCATAAAACTCTGAAATAAGAAGACGACTTTTAGACACTTAAGTTATGACTTTAAATAAGCCGATGAGCATTGGAAATAGCAATTGTGGTGTGTAAACAGCTAGACCCATTTAACTTAATTAATGATTTGATAAGTAATCACTGTACTTTTTCGGGAAATTAAAAATGTTACTTAACCACGGGTTCCCTTGGCTAATTTTGCCTACAAATCATTTGTATTGGGAACCCTTGGTAAAGTAAAATTCCCTTAACTTCTCTGATAGTAGAACTTGTAAATAATTATCTTACCGCATCCTGCCTAAAGTGCGCATGTGTAGTTTTGATTCCAAATACAGCTGTTGCTAGAACTTCTGGAGAATACATGGAGATCAAGGTGCTGCCGAATTGGCCTAAACAAAACAAAGGTCAAGACTTTTGAATTTGATGTAAAAATGTTTGATCCTTAAATTTGAGTTCCCTCTACCCTCTGCCACATGCAGGGTACAATTCCATCGTGTACCATTTATTATATTTTCGAAAAATTGCCAAAAAAAATTTAAACCTGATTCTCTGTCCACAACCTCGTTCAGGGGCTTTTCAAAAGTTTGAGGCTTGTTACTGAAGTGTTTTTAAAGTTTGGGACTCTTTAATCTTTTATAATGATTCCACCAAGCCATCTGACCAACAAAGTTAAGCTGATCCATTGTGCAGAAAAATATTAGTTTGCAGCTTACCAACTTTAGGAAGAATTCCACCAACCCACATATCTTCTTGTGTTGGCTGAACACTAAATTTGATATAAATATATTTTCAATTGTATTCAAATAAATTCAAATCAATAATTTTGCCAAAACAAAGCTATACAAATTTGGTTTCCATTTTATTACCTGAAAATCGTGCCATTTCTGTAGTAATCCAAAGTTGCCTTAATACAAATTAACAATTTTTTGCCATTTAATGCTTAAATATGTTATTTGCAAAATAAAAGTTTTAGTTTAAATTCTAACAGCTTCATTTTGATTAATTTATAGAGAAACTATAATGTTTCAATCCATTATATACTTTTAACAATATTCAATACCAGAATTTAAGGTTTAAATGTTAACTTGAAGTGACTCATATTTTTTTTCTTTAAACATTTTATTTGTTTGTGAGATTTATAGAAAAAATGTATAAGTTTGCAAAACAAAAGTGTACCGCCTTTTTACCAACCTTTTAATCCTCTAACTTCTTTTTTGGGAAATTAAAATTTGACTTAACCACGGGATTCCTCGGCCTATTTTGGGAACCCTTGGTAAAGTAAAATAACCTTAACTTTCCTGTTTATTATGCACTATATATCTAGTTTAATTTAGTTTATTAGCGGTGACCAAAAAAGTTTTATTGGATGAAAACTTGGCAAGAAGAAAATCTTTTCAATTGATTCCAAAAATATATTTTTTTTAAAGTACTAATTATTGATAATGACCTGCCAAGCTTGTTGTTGACCCGCCATATATCCACCCTAACATTAAAATAGATAATTAAATCACTTGGGAGTTTGGAACTTGAACGCATGATTTCGATGTTTAATACGGGCACTTTCAAATTAGAGGATCATTATAATTGATCTCTGCATGTTATGACCACCACAGGATATAGAAGAAGAACTATATAATCCGTAGGTTTTCATAAGACACAGTGATCCCAAGATTGCAAGCTCTGACTCAAAATTCTTTGAGAATTACATCTTAAAACCTAAAGCTTACAACAAGTGTTTTAAAATTCTAAATTGTACTTGTCTAGGACTACAAGAAAGTGAGTCAACGGAGTGAAATCAAAGACCATGGCATTGCAACACTTCAAAGTTGACGAAGTTTTAAAAATGTATGTAACTTTTTAAAGTATGGTCTGGTGGATCTAAGTGACAGAGATCAATTTTTGATCACATACAGTGATAACCAGAAAACTCTTAAATAGGAAGACGACTTTATAGCAGAACTTGAGTGTGTTTGATGCTGTTACAAAGCAACTAGGTTAATAGGTTTACATAGACACTTATAAAATCACTAATTTAGTGAAATGGGTCTGTTTACACTTGCACAATTGATGTATCCCATGCTCTTACTCTAGTCTATTTCCGAGTTTTCTTGTCATCACTAGTGTAGATGTTGCTTTTCCGTGTAAATATACCCGCTAGAATATTTGGAAGAAACCCGACCATTTTGTTCCTTATATCGAACCCGACCATTTTGTTCCTTATATCGAACCATTTTGTTCCTTATATCGAACGACCGAAAGCCCATTTCGATAATAAAAAATTATCCCTTAAATCGAACCACAGAAAACATATTTTAATTATATACATTTTGTTCGTTTTATCGAACTATATGTATTTTAATAATAAACATTTTGTTCGTTATATCGAACTATATGTATTTTGATAATAAACATTTTGCTCGTTATATTGAACGACCGAAAACATTTTTAAATTACGAAAATTTTGTATGTTGTATCGAATTACCAAAAACATAAATTTCGAACATTTTGTTAGTTATATCGAACTATCAAATCCTATTTTGTCCGAAATAAACAGAATATGAGAAACATCTCCCAATCTCTTTAATATTTAGAAGAACATTTTCGTGGCTTCGAAATGATAAAATTACCTTATAGTTTTGAACTGAGCTTAACATAACTCCATCAGATCTAAATGTTCTCATATTTGCAGGGCCCAGAACTGAACCATGACCAAGAGGTTCAACTTAAAAAAAGGAATTGAGTCATTGTCACAAACTCATTTTCTAATCCCTATATCTTTGCAACCTGATGCTGTAATCCTTTGATATTTCAAACTTAGATTATTTTATCTAACAGAATACATAGTTTGAAATAGCTAAGGTTTACAACATTGGGTTGTAAAGATATAGGGATTAGAAAATCAGTTTGTGGCTGCAAAGACTCAATTCCTTTGAATTTGTGAGAAAAAAATATGATTGTATAAATATTAGGAAAAAAAGATTTTTGATAGTTTAAATAAATAAATAATATGAATATACAGGGTGTCACAATAAACATGAGAATTCAGTGACGATTTACATATCCTCTTTGTAAAATATTTTGATGTATTAAGGTGATGTCTAAAAGGAATGCAATATTATTCTCTTACAGTACAGAATATGATTGTTTATGTTTTTATTGCAAACTGTAAAAGTATCATAAATTCGTAGCTCTATTTGTAGCATTGAAATTACGTACTAGTACAAACGTCGGACCCACAAACGTCTGACGTTACAAAGATCGGACAGTAGAAAAGTCTAAATTCCAAACGTTGGACTGGTATACAAACGTCGGGCTGAGACAAACGTCGGACCAGTATACAAACGCCGGACGGGTACATTTATAAGGAAAAATGTCGGATTTTGGTTGAGTTTGAAAAAAGACCATTGCTATAAGAAATATAAACCTAAAATCACTCACTTTTTGTGATAAAAATCAAAGACTACTGAATAAAATCTCAATCTTTGAATGTAGCACTGTATAAAACAAACCAAAAAGGAGTTGAATTCCATTGTCACAAACTCTGATGTTTAAATGTCTATATCTTTGCAACTCGACGTCGTTTAACCTTAATAGTTCAACCTATGAAATCTGTAAGATCAAACAGTTGAAAGTATCAAAGGTTAATACCATTACCAGGTTGCAAAGATATAGGGATGATAATATTTGAGTTAGTGGCAAGAACTCAGTTCTTTTCCTTAATCCTTAGTCCGACGTTTGCACTAATCTGACGTTTGTTACTAGTCCGACGTTTGTACTGTCCGATGTTTGTACCAGTCGACGTTTGTACTATAGTCTGACGTTTGTCCTGGTCCGACTTTTGTACTGACCGACGTTTGTAAGTCTCAGGTTTGTACCGTCCGAAGTTTGTGTGTCCGACGTTTGTACTGGTACCGTTTATTCTTTACAAAGACGATTTCGTATTCGTCTGTAAATTCCCATGTTTACCGGAACGCCATACATCATAATTCAAAAGTTTTATTGTAATGTTTTGGTAGTAGCAATAAATTTTCTGGTGATGAACAACTGTAAAAAGCTTAGATTAAGTTAATTTTCGGAGACTTAACCCGAGTTCTAAAGTCACAATTTTTGGCCAATCTGTCAAGGGGCACGTGAGGAACGTGAGTTATATACAAACTTATAACAAACAGAGTTTTCCACTTTATAAAAATACGGGGAAAAAAGAAAAATCCTAAACAAAAATTATGTTTTAGGAAATTTATTTTTCAGACGACAGTAGGTCGGATACTTTTTTCTTAAAATAGAGTGTGTATCCGACTTACAGTACATCGGACCAACAGCAGCTAAAAGCTGCTGAAAAACCAATTGCGGGTAGGTCCGAAGTATCGTAGGACGGATGCAACACTTATTTCTTTCGTTGCCAAATCATGCAGTAGGTTTACCATTAGAAGGCCATATTTTAGACACAATAGACCAAATTTTAAATTTTTGATTTGTCATTTTTAGGTCGTCCTTTTACAGTCTCATCCTTAATGGGTAACTCTGTACGTGCAGTTACTTTAATTAATTATTAAATTAATAATTGCCCATGCTGGAGCTAGATGGTTTTACTCACAAAAGATAAGGCTTTAGAGAAGACTATAAGGGTGTCATTCTGAACTTTTCCATAAAATCCTGACACCCTGCAGCTGCTATACTTTTGCCTTTCTTTGCAAGATCATGAAATATTCCAATAAAACTTTAATTAAGTCCAAAAGTTCAATTTATGCTTTGTTTTTCAATCGATACGTTTTCAGTTCGTCACTTTGTGGTTAACCCTGTAGTCCAGGAGCTCCTAACAAGTCCTTTCAAATGATCTTACCAATTTGTGCAATATTATCAACCAGTGGAGGGCTGGTGTCCCAGATTAATTTAAAGGGTTTAATCTGACCCCAAACTTCAGTCCGGTCCCACAAATTGTAATCATCTCCCACGATGAACAGACAGCTAAACAAATATGAATATACAGGGTCTTCCGCTTAACATGGGAGTTTAGTAAAGGCTTTTTAGATTATCTTTGATATTTAGGTATTTTTTTTATGTCCACAGTTTTCGTCTTTATCAATTAAAACAGAGTTGGGTTTAGAAACACTAGATCTTGGGATTTGCTAAATGTAGTTTATGTTTTTGTACAGGGAGAACCGCGTTTTACATGAAATCAATTGCTGGTTGTAAATCAGGCATTGATCTCTTTGCTTGGAGGAACACTTTAAATTGAGCTGACAGTCCCTAAACACTGTATTATACAGGGTGTCCCATTAAACATGGGAATTCAGTGAAGAATTTGATATGGTCTTTTCAAATAATACTTTGATTTAGAAAAGTGATACTCGTGATACCTACTGAGAAAGCTGTAATCTGTAAGAATTTCGTCTGCTATGTTCACATTTTCTTTGTTTATGTTTTGACTGTATACGGTTGTACTTAGTAAAACAAGAAAATTGCAGTATACAAACAGAGTAAACTTTTCCGTCTTCACTGTTCATCTTGCGGAGACATTATAGACACATCTTTACAGTCTTTTATCCTTTTCATAAAATAAATTCTAGCAGACATAATAATATTATCGCTGTTGAAATTAGGTATTACAATGCCAATTCATAACAAAGACGATATCGAATTCGTCACTGAATTCCCATGTTTTATGTTTTATGATCAATAAACCGAATATACATTATAAATTCTTCTCTTTTTGAAAACTGACTACTTTAGATTGTGGTATTTCTTTAAAATTGATTTTATCATTTGTAATACAGTTGTTAACAAGTTTAACAAAATGACAATGTATCTTCAATGTTACTTAGATAGAGGTTTAAAGCTGGGAAACGTTTTGAATCTGAAATGCCAAGTTTTAAATGGAGGGTCATCTGAAACTGCGTCTACAACACCTTTACAGAGGGTCTGCAAGTGTAATTGCAAGTGCCTCATGATACAGAGGGTCTGCAAGTGTAATTTCAAGTGCCTCATGATGCAAAGATGGCAATGTCCGATTCACAAAGGTATCCTTAACAGCGTTGCCTGATCAAGTTTAAATTATGATGGTAAAATTTACAATCTTGACAAATGATTATTTTCATTTGAAGTTTCTCTATAAAAAGTGACTTGCTCATTTTACTGCATGAGAACTTAGAAATTATTGTGGACTTATTAGAAATAAACCATTTCTTTTCTAGGTTAGCATTGTCATGCTTGCATGGTGGGTCACTTGAAATTACGCTTACACTTATTTTCTTGGAAAACCATGTATACAGTCTAGATTTTAACCAGTTTAAATTTCTCAATTTATTCTACAGCATAGTTGAAATCTGCTCCAGGATTACTGTCTGTAATTTGAAATTAAATGTACCGTGAGCGAGGGCGGGAAGGCAGACAGCAATAAGCCATAACAGTTTTTTCCTTCCATACCACATATTAGCTTTTTTGTCTTCCGGCAGCCCTGAGCCACAACCGTTTGACGTCTTACATGTCACATTATTTAAGTCTTCCGGCAATTATTGCGTTTTCAAATGTTGTGGCCTGGAAGGACTGTAGCAAATATCGTGCAAACATAATATTCTGTAAACCTACAGTACGTTGTACATTTTTAACAATTCATGCTGTAGACTTATATATAATGACATTATTCATGAGTAAGCGTTAACTATAGGACAGAACGGTTGTGGCTTATGGCTGCCGGAAAACAAAAAAGCTCATATATGGCATAGTAGGGAAAAATGTTGTGGCTTATGGCCGCCTTCAAAATGATCGGCGCTAAAACAAAGTGTATTTCGTCCCTGGACCAAAAAGGGAAGGGGGGTGAGGAATATGGGGGGAAATGGAGGCGTCTAATATCGGGTTTCAACATATTTAAAAAAATTCCTTTTTAAAATTTTGAAAGCGTCGAAATCAACGCATTCGACGGGGTCTGCGTAAAATCTACGATATCTGGTCCAGTCGGGCTGTTCCTTTTTAAGCATTAAAATTATATTGAAAAAAGTGCAATCTCATCGAGAACTAATTTTTATAGATTAAACCTTTATTCAACCTTTTAATTACGGAGAATTTGTTCCGCAAAATTGAGCAAAAAAAAATAAAGCGAAAGCAGATTAGCGCAATTTTGAGCGAAGTGAAGGTTGCGAATGATTGTGCAAAGTGCTATTTGTTCACGCAAAAATGTAGCACAATGAAAGCAAAAATGTTCGCTTTCTTTTGCAAAAGTTTTGCGAATGGAAACCTTAATTTAAGTCATAACTTGAGTCTGAAACTCGTCTTCCTATCTCATAGTTTTTGGTTATCACTGTGCAAAAGATAATTTATAAAAATCTCATTTTAAGAAAAATGTTACTTTTAATAAAGTTTCTGGTATCCTGTATCTGCCCATAACAGTTGCCAAGGTGAAATATGTTGATTGTGCAGACCCATACTCAATCATAATTTCGTCTTCAGTCCCTTTACCCTGGAATACAAATATTTCACGACAAACTAGGGTAAATTTGAATTTGAACAGGACCGACCCTTTTTACCGGCCTTTGTGACGCGTTGCATGTACCGGTTTCAACTAGGCAGTACCTGGCCTAGTATAGCTTATTTGACCAACCCGCTAGCTTAGTTTAGCGTGATTTGTTGTTTTCAGCCTAAAATTTCATTTTGAGAAATATATCATTTACTTTCAGAAAAAATTTAAGCCAATAAAATTCAGACCCCCACGGGGATTCATCAATAACCCCTAAGACGTAGCCCTATGGTTTATCATTGAATATTAAACAAGCCTTTTTATCAAGAATGCCTCGAATTCTATGTCATGAGCTTTTAAACCCACACGTCACTCTCGCCGTTTACCCGCACTTTCGCTAGTCGACCCACTCAGCTTAGAATCTCAAAACCAAAATAAACCCATTCCCGTGGGTCTCCCGAGTTCCCCAATCAAATTTTGAGGCAAATTGGTTTAGGGGTTCCTGAGTTTTGATCGGAAAAACAAACAGACAGATACCCAAACAGAGATTACAACTTTATATATATAGATGATTACATATACATAATTATTAATTATATACAACCTTAATGAGCCACATGTGACCATATTGTCCTTGACCTAGCTTTTTTTCACTGTAAGCTCGACCTCTAGCTGTGGCCAGCTTTATACCATGACTTCCAAGGATGTGGTCATACAGCTGGAAACAAAAAATGTTAAATTTCAAGTAACCCTCCATGCACAGATCATAATGCCCTAGTTGCAACGGTACCCATGAAAGGTTTGTCAGATCAAGTATGGATCAGATGAAAATTTTTATGAATTTAAAATTAATCATTATTTGAATCTTATATCATTTCAACGTAATTCCCTAGACTTTAGGTTTTTCAAATAGGATGTCTAGTACAATAAATGGCAATACAGAATGCGTACACTTTTATTACAGCTGTTTCTACTTCATAAGTGTTGACTTAATACAGAATGCGTACACTTTTATTACAGCTGTTTCTAAGTCATAAGTGTTGACTTAATACAGAATGCGTACACTTTTATTACAGCTGTTCCTACGTCATAAGTGTTGACTTATTTTCTGTATCTGAAAAAACTATAAATAGAAGTGATATTGATAGACTTTAGTGCTTATCTTTCAGTGAAATTAGTGCAATTTTTGTGTTCTTTTTTTCTGTTTTTACAATTTTTCATTAAATTTTCCAAAGACTAAGCAATCTTAATGTCATAACATGATAAGAAATTTTAAACAAAAAACTCAATTTATCTTTTAATAAATGATTTTAAATATTTTTGTTTTTTTATATTTTTATTTTTATTTTTGTTGTTATGTAGGATTATATAATGTGTATACTTCAGTCAGGTTATTCATTTTACATAATAAGATGTTTAAAGCCACCAAACGATAGTTGAAATACTATATGTAATTTTGAGTTGTAAATATTTGCTACGTATTCCTACAAAAACGACATTTATCTCAGCTGAGTCTTGGAAATCATATCAACTGATTAGAGGAAATGTCATCTTTCTTTTTATATTTGACACTTGTGACGTTGTGCGCAGTTGGTCGATTTTTCTGTTGTCATCTTTTGTATTTGACGATCTATTTGGATATTTCTAACTATGAATTCTGAAAGATCTAACGTCAATATTTGAAATATCAAATAGGTTTACATCATCATGTTAAAAATATAATTAGATCAAGTGAGAACCAGAAAACTGTAGAATAGGAAGACGACATAATAGCAATACTTAGGTGTTCTATCTATGAAATAAAAAACAAGACATTCGTATATATGTCACCAAAAGCTGTCCAAACGGCTGGACCGATTGGGCTGAACTTTTTTGTGAACACTCATAGATTTTTTACAATTTTTTTTCAAAAGTGTTTTGTTTTTGTTTCTTTGGTCAATGCCGGGCCCTCCAGCTAGCCTATATAATGAACAGGACATTCATTCATTTTTTTGGACACTCATAGGTTGCCGGGGGGTGTAATTTAGGCCATAATTTTTTCCACGGGCAACGCCGGGTCCTTCAGCATAGTATTTATTAATTTTACATCTTATAAAAACTTATTAAAACTTATCAAATCACTTATTAAGTTAAAAGGGTCTGTTTACACTGGTCAGTTTCTGTGCCTTATGTTCATTAGACTATTTATAAGTCATAACTTAAGTCTTAAAGTCGTCGATCCTATTCCAGAGTTTTCTGGTTTTTACTGTGTAGATATTCAAAATTTACAGTTGAAAACAAGTTGATGACAAAACCTTGCTAAAATCTTAAATACAGGGTGTTCAACGAAACATGACAGTATTTCAAAAATTATGTTCTGTTTTTTATGCTTTTAATTTTAGTATTGCCGGAATATGAAGAATTTTGTTCCGATTTCGATATTCTTAATATATCCGGTGATATTGACAGCACTAAAAGGCTAGACCCCATCTTGGAGATGCTATGACTTCACGAGAATCTTTTAACTATTGTTTAAAAAATCATGTAAAAGTGGGTTGAAGAATGACTGCCACAAATAATTTGAAGAGATCAAGACGACCTTCAAATTGTTTTTCTAGTGTGTCGTACTCGTAACTCGTAGTAATATTACATCGTCTATTCGCAACATCCCCTCCACTGAACTTTTGACCTACTAACTTTCCGACCTACTGCAATATCGGAACTACGCCAGCTGTTTATTTGGTATTATTTGAGGGTTAGGTCAGGTTAAGACAATTTTTGGGCCCAGCGCCGCGCCTAGGACATGCTAAGGGCCCGGGCGCTACGGCCACAAGTCCATTTACCAGCTGTAAAATTACTTGCTAGTAGGTCGGATGTGTAGTATAGCGGATTTGTCGTAGGTCAAAAGTGACGTATAGCGGATTTGCGTAGGTCGAAAAATGCACCACCGTCTTTCTACCTGAAGATTCATTACAATAGATGCCTTCTCTCTTACATCTTGATCTGGAGCACAAGCAACCACAGATACTAGAGCCTGCATAAAACATATTTAATTGTATATTAAGAATCCAATAAACTATTTATTTATAGAAATTCAAGGTTTAAGTGCGTTTTGCGCCTCTTTCTTCGGTAGCAATTTAAGTCGCCATGAATCTATGGATTTTTAAAAGATTAGAAAATACATTTCTGCAGTGCTACATTTGTTCAAGTTCTATTTATCATATATAAACCTTCCCAGAGGTTTTGTGAGCTGCCACACACTATTTGGGTCGTTCTGATGTTTTTTAGATACAGTCAGGCAGATAAACCAACAGACAGACAATATATCTGTATATATACATATATATATATGTATATAGATATATACAAGGATGTAATGCAAGGAAAGTTAATTGATTTCGCGTATACTTTGCATACATATTGAGACCAGTTCTCTCTGGGCGGAATTTGTAAACAAGAATAGATTCATCAGTGTTCGTTTAGTATCCGAGGAGGTTAAAATTATTAAATTTTGATAATTTTGACACTTCACATAATAGTTTTTTTATGACCAGAATATTTTTTCGATTTTTTTATGTGAAAGATGGATCCCTTGTCAGGCTTCGACTTCCGTCTTGTGTTTACATTTCCGCCCAGAGACAGTACACTGCAGTACAAAAGATGCGTACACTTCTGAAATAACTTTCCTTGTATTACATCCTTGGTTTGAGGTATGAATCCAATTAAGTAATGCTTATTCATCTATCTATCTTAGAACATCTGCATTAAAAGAGACAATAACATAATTGTTTTTAAATGGAGGAACAAAAAAATTTTAAATACATTTTCAGAGGCTTCAAAATGGTCGAAATACTTTTACCTTTGTTCTAATAAAAATGTTCCTTCCTCTACTTCCTGTCCAACCTTAGATAAAAATTTTAAAATATTTTAATAATACATAAAATTGATTAGTAAACAGAGTTGAACTGTATCCCATGGTTGGGCTGTTTTGAATTTTTACATTTTCCTTGAAAAAAATTAAAAATTAAATTTTTCATCAATCTAAGATTCAGGCCTTTAACTTTTTAACCGTTTTTTTTCTCAAATTATGTGATTGGAATTCAAAGAATATTTGAGCCTTTTCCGTTTTAAAAAATGTATCATATAGACATCGTTTTAGTTTTAATAAAAAAACTGAGAGGAAGGGTAGATCCTCACCTCTAAACTAGAATAGATTAAAAAAGCGTTAATGCAAAATTAAAAAATTTAATGCTAGATTACAAAATTATATCAAATGCATTTACATTAACTAAAATGATATATTGCATTCACTCACAACTCTATATAAAAAAAGAATTTGAAATACTTAATTTTATCCTAAACTATTATATTCATTTTTGGCATATATATACATTATACAGTGAGAACCAGAAAACAATATATTGCAATATAATGAATTGTGTATTTGATGTTGTTACAAGTACAAATCAAATAGTTTTATTATCCAATCACAAGCTAAGTGAATTAAATATGTCTGTATTCACTGCAAAATTGCTTTGGGTTATGCTTAAAGAAGGGTTTCCACGAAACGACAATATTTTGTGTGCACAATTTAAGTAATTTTTGTAACTTTTGCGCAACTTTGCGCATGACGCGCTATAAGTTTTGCGCGTATTTGCGCAGTTTTTTTGCGTAATTAGCGCAAAATCGGAAGTATTGCGCAAAATGTAAATTTTTATGCAAAACTTATCTGCAAGTTGACCAAAATTTACAGTTTCAGCAAAGAATCTCATAACTCAAGGGTTATTTAAAAATGTTCACACAAATAAATTATGATTTTGCTGCTCTCAATTGGTTACTTTCAGTTACAAAATCTTCAAATTGAGGGACAAAAATTAATAAGTAAAAATTAGAAATTTTGAACATTGAAATTTGATGCATAGCTTTTTATAAGTCTGAATCTTTGTGTGGTGTTAAACTTTAATATTTCAAATGTTATTACTTCTAGTCGAATAAATATGATTGAAATATCAAAGATCTGCCTACTAAGATAAAGACAACAATAAAACTTAGTCATCAATCTTTTATTCAGCCTCGACTTTGAACTGTCGCAGCTGGTCTTTAGTTTTACCTCGACAACTCACCTTTTTTTGTAGGCCTAGACATATACATTTTAAAAATGCTACGTGTCTGTTTCTCTATTAAGTTTAAAATAAGTAATTGGCAAAATAATAATCGACTTTTGTGTGAAATTTGCAGTGTGCCTTTATGCATTAGGTTGCAAACTAGAGTTTTAGGCAAGTCATCTCCCGATGAGACCCGAAAGCGTTCTTTTCTTCTTGGAGAGCTACGTCTCAGCCATGTAAAAGAGCGCACCTCTATTCTAAGCAAACCTCGTCTAAATGTTGCGATTTCAACTCGTTTTTCGCCGCACCTCATATTTTGTCTGGGTATCAAATTCACATCCCCCCATGTGACCCCCCATGAAGTTAAGTTTCAGGTTTCTCACGGTATTGAAGTGAGCAGCTTGGAACGACAGCTTCGCAGCTTGACAGCAAAATTTGGACCAAAACAGAATAGAGAATATGTATGCGCCCAAAAAGTAGAGCACCTTTCCTATACCTTTTATAAAGCGCTGTTGCTAAATCCATTGGAGCCATTTAAACATTCCTTTCAAACTTTATGGTAATTAACATTTACAAGCATTAAGTAAATGTAGTCATTTGATGTACTTACCTAATTTACACTTTAACATTTGTGATCTATTGGATATTTCTATCTTTATATTATAACTTTGAGCATGGGACTATTACAAATGTTACAGTATTGTTAGCGATTTACTCATGATACAATACAAATATCTAATTCTATGAAATGTAATTTTTTTTAAAACAATAACCGTTTTATTTTCTGTATATAATTCAATTTTACTTTCAACTCAAGAGACTCTTGTGGTAATATTTGGAACTGCGCCTATCTCATGAAGTTAAAATATAAATGTATATGGGGGGAGGAAGGGATCTGTTAAAGTTCTAACAGCTAAATGTGGAGGGGGGGGGGNTTAAAAGATTAGAAAATACATTTCTGCAGTGCTACATTTGTTCAAGTTCTATTTATCATATATAAACCTTCCCAGAGGTTTTGTGAGCTGCCACACACTATTTGGGTCGTTCTGATGTTTTTTAGATACAGTCAGGCAGATAAACCAACAGACAGACAATATATCTGTATATATACATATATATATATGTATATAGATATATACAAGGATGTAATGCAAGGAAAGTTATTTCAGAAGTGTACACATCTTTTGTACTGCAGTGTACTGTCTCTGGGCGGTAATGTAAACACAAGACGGATGTTACAGCCGGACATGGGATCCATCTTTCACATAAAAAAATCAGTGAAATATTCTGGTCACTCATAGGAAAGCATTATGTGAATTATCAAAATTATCAAATTTAATGCTTTTAACCTCCTCGGATACTAGACGAACACTGATGCATCTATTCTTGTTTACAAATTCCGCCCAAAGAGAACTGGTTTCAATATGTACGCAGAGTATACACTAACGCAATTAACTTTCCTTGCATTACACGCTTGGATATATACAGAGAAGGAGGTACATACTACATACTTCGACAACACATTGGGTCACAGATTTCAAAGAATTTCTGATGGTGTTTTGATCATGGAAACAAGATTTAAAAATGCTTTATGCTTTATAAGATTGCAATGCAAAAAGTGTTTTTCTACAGTAAAATTACCTTGTATGCAATAGGCCCATAAGTATCAGAATTGAATTCAGAAAATCCATACTTCAGCCTTAGAATAATCTAAGTAAATTTTATGCAGAAATAAAAAGAAGAAACCCTGACATTGAGTTGGTTAAATTAAATTTCTTACAAAGTCTTTATTTTAAACAATTCGGTTGATTTTTTGGTAGACTTAAAAAGTTCAAGTTTATCCCAACGAAAATTTATAATTTTTGTTTATGTTTTGTATAATTAGTCCCGGTATACATTTAGTGTGCAGTCCTTTTCTATGTATACCTGAAGTCCAGCCATCTCATAACCCTGTAGCGTCCCATATCAGCATGGTAGGCTGCTGTCTTTCCAGAGGACGGGAATATGGTGCTTTAAAAAACTAATATGTCAAAACTGTTGATATTTTATTTTTTACTAGCGTCCCAGGGTAAATCTTACCGTTCACCCGCACTTGGTCGATTTTACTCGGGAAACTGAATTTTCACTATAAAAGTCGATTAACTCAACTAAGAATCTTTAAACCAAACACATTTCCGTACTCTCTCCCTAAGTTCCCTAATCAAAATCAAGGATTCCTGAGTCATAATCGGACAGACAACCAGAGATTACAACTTTATATATAGATTACTTAAAAGATATATATTTCAAAACTGGTCTAGGAGACGAACAAAAACATCGTTTTGGTATAAGGAGCTGATTACTTGCCTCAAACAACTATTTTTTAATCCTTAAATCTAATGATGTGGACCTTTTATATTTAAAACTATGAATTCTGCTTGATCAAATTATCAAAGTTTAAAATATCAAAGGTTTGCACCTTCGGGTTGCAAATAAATTATGGATTGTGGCAAGCAATCAGTTATTTAATGTATGCCACTACTATTTTGGAGTTCCTAGTTCAGTTGTCTTTGTAATTTCTCAGCAGCTGTAGGTAACGCTGTAGTTGTAAAGTGTTGTGGTTCAAAACTTTAATTTAAGTGTGAAGTGAATGCCAATAAGGAATTGAAACTCAAATTTTCTAATCTCCATATCTTTCTAACCTGATGGTGTAAACCTTTGATATTTCTTCGAATATTTGATCTAACTGAATTCATACTTTGAATATCTAAGATCTACGACTCTGGGTTGCCAAGAGATATAGAGATTAGAAAATCAGAGTTTGTGACAAAAACTTAATTCTTTTAAAAATTTAAAACCTTTATTTATTCCGACATGCAAAAAGCGCTGAAGATGCATTTTTGGTAAAAAATCAAACTGATTCTTTTCTAAGATAATATTTCTTTAAATATAATGATAAAGAACAAGGTATCCCAATACGCATGACATTTCAAAGATACATTGATTAATTTAAATTATTAAAGATACATTTATAGTTAAAAACTCAAAAAAAGAAATCAAGTAAAATTTTCTTTTGAGCAGTTTTATTTAGAGGCGGTAAAACTATCGCAATATCATGCTTGGTCGTGTTGTAATTTTTATTTTTGTAGGACCTACTGTTATTTAATTTACTTGGATAACTCTGGTTTGTGGGACCTACTGTATTTTAATTTACTTGGATATCTCTGGTTTGTGGGACCTACTGTATTTTAATTTACTTGGATAACTCTGGTTTGTGGGACCTACTGTATTTTAATTTACTTTGATAACTCTGGTTTGCTAGATAGCCCAGTTCCAATCAGATATTCAGCTGCATACCATCCAATCTAATAAACAAAATTAATTAAAAAATCTTATTTCTTTATAATTTTTGTTCAATAAAACTTTCTTACATTCTTCTAAATGTAATGTCATGTGTATGTTGATTGGTGTGTCTGATTCACTATATAGTACTCATTAACATGTTTGTCTGTTCAAGGGTGATAGAGTTATCATTATTTAAATACAAAAACTCCTGTAATTTTGAATACGCTGTTTGTACAATCTTTTGGGATTTAAAAGATTTTAATATGTAAACTTAAGAAGTCACGGAAAGTAAATTTTCATTTGATCTTTTAAAATTTGCATTGGACATAGAATTTTCGTGATTTTCGTTTTCCGAGCACTTTAAACACATCTTTAAACACATCTTTAAACACATCTTTAAATACTAAAAACCGGGCCTCTATCAGAGGGTCATTCGAACATGGGTTGCTAATCTTTTTAGTGTGTTTTTGTTCGTTTTCAGGGTTTGGGACTTTTAAAGGTTCCACATAAATATGTGACAACTTTGACCCGGAGAGAAAATCTCAGCCAAAGAGAAAGAGAAAATGATGATTTTAAAACAAAGTTTTTGATTCGTTCTCTTAGGATAAAACACCTGCTAAGTTTCAAGAAAGCACATACACTTATAGGAAGAATGTAGTGAAAGTTAACAGTATGCTTTTTAGAAATCCAAAATCATCAAAAACAAGCCAAAGCGAAGCTTGACCAAAAAAAATGTGTTTTTTTACTAATTTTAACAATTAAAAAAAATATGAGAAAAAATTGCGTTTAACCTGGTGGTTTTCTGACCAGTATTGCATGTTATTAAGCTCGCCAGGGTAGGATAAAAACAAGGGTATATTTATTACAGCATTCACTATTTCACGTTTTATCTAAAAAATATTGTTTTTACAATATGAAGAAAAATTTGATTTGAGTTTTTGCCACAAATTCTGAGTTTCTAATCCCTCTTTACAACTGGATGTCGTAGACCTTAGAAATTTTAAACTTTAAGTTCTATTAGATCAAATAATATAATGTAAAAAAAATTTCTACAATATACCAAAAATGAGCTGATAGTACAAGTTTCTATGTCATTAGTAAACAAAAAAAGTCAGATTACATAATGATCTTTTCACTTCTAAACGAAAGTTTTTTTGTTTAAAAATGTTATTTGCTAAACAGTAATATTACATCTTAAACCAATCTTTGGTTACGAAGCACAAAGATAAAACTGTAATTTCAAAAACCTTTCCTTTTTCTAAAAGGAAAATCAAAAATTAAAAACTTTTTCATGGTCATAAATGTTATAATGATTTCGTCACAATTTTAAAATGTAATACAGATAAAATTTGATAAACTCGATGAATTGTATTATTATTTTTAAAAAAAATTGTGTAATTTAATCATAGAACATGATAAAATAAATATTTTGATTTAAAAAAAATAATATAAGTTTAAAAAATGAAAGGTTTGCACCATCAGGTTACAAAGATATAGGGATGACAAAATTTAAGTTTGTCGCAAAGACTCAAATCTTTTATTGTAAAAAAAACTTAAACATGGAGTGACAGAAAAAGTATTTTTTTAACTTTTATTAAGTCAAATATTTTGGCCAATAATTTCTCTATTTTAATCAAAGATTTCTCATTCTTGGAACACTTAGCATTATCTTTATTTCATAGAAAAAAAAGTCAGCAAACTTTATTTTCTGAATCTTTGCAACTTTTTATTTTTGATATTTTAAATTATGAAGTCTGTCAGAAATATAATTTCCAGTTTAAAACTTCAGGTTGCAAAGATAAAAGGATTTGAAATTATTAAATTCGTAAGACTTCTGTTTCTACCATAGTCATACTCTTGAAATCCAAGCTCTTTTTTTCATGAAAATAGCTTTAAAAATGTTTCTAAATGTTCTCAGTCCATATTTATAAAATGTGATTTTTATTTACAAATCTTAAAGGGACTTAAGGCGTTAATTCAAGCAAAAATGTCATATATATATATATATATATCTCAGAAATAACATTTGGATTATTTTCTCTGCTGTAAATCCTGCGGCCCCTTTAATATAAAAAATGCCCAAAGCAAAAAGCGCACCTCGGTTGAAAGAAGTGGATTGTCCCAAAAATGATGAAGAATGAAACCAAATGCATGTAGATAGAAATCAACACTATTTGTGTGAGCATTCACTTTAGATACTTCTTCAAAAATTGCTTCTTCACAAAAAAGTTCAGCATCCTTGAATTAAAAAGCATTATTTTAAAAAAAACTTTTCAAATAAAATGTGTTTTGAAACAAGTAAAAATAAACCTCTAAGTACAGCCTTACTAATTCTACATAGATATCGCAACCATTTTTCCTAAACAAATTTGAATTTAATCCACTTTACTTTCGTGAAACCAGAGATATATTTATGAGTACTGAGAATCAAGAGAAAATCCAGAATTAAAGAGCTTTAATTTCTATTTCGAGGAATCGTATGTCTTTCAGTCATTCCATGTTTAAGATTACAGAAATTCAAGTTTTGTGGAAACTTATTTTTTTATTGACAAAGACCTCTGTTGTGAGAAGATGGATCTCCCAGAAATGATGAAGCAAGAAGCCAATGCTATGCAAGGAGAAATCAACTCCATCAGTATGTTGATTTATACGATCTATTTGACCAAGTATACCCTCGGCACAGAATGTTTCGTCATCCTTACAAACAGGCTATTATTTTGATAAGAGAGTTTTGAAACGTTTCATAAAAAATATTTTGCTTTTTAGAATTATCTTATTTTTTTTATTTGGTAAAAGTTTATTGACCTTAAAGTTTTTAAAATAAGTAAGTAAAATTGATCTATTTTTCGAGAAACTTATTAAATGGGGGATGTGTAGATCTATCAGTATAATAACTGTAAGTCTTTTGCATTTTATTCATATCTAACAGATAAACTGATCAAGTCTAAGCATGATATGTATATCTATCATAAAACAATCTAGTCCTATGCACAATATGTATATGTATCATTAAAATGATTTAGTCTTATGGACGATATGTATATCTATCATTAAAATGATCTAGTCCTATGCACGATATGTATATCTATCATTAAAATGATTTAGTCCTATGCACAATATGTTTATCTATCATTAAAATGATTTATAATCCGTATACACGATATGTTTATCTATACTTAAGAATGATCTAGTCCTGTGCATAATACATATATCTATCATTAAAACTATTTATTTTACTATATAAGTATCTAACAATTGTCCTATGTTTATCTGTAAATATGATTAAGTACTATTACCATCAAAAACATGATTTAATGCTAAATGTGATGATTATAAATAGTTTTCCAAGATGAAAGCTATGTTAAAAACATAGAAAAGCCACCTGTAAGTATAATCTGACCAACTCGTTATTAATATCACATTTATTTTGCCTAAAAAATTTAAACATTTTTTATTGTAAAAATCCCATTCTCAGTACTCATAAAAATATGTTTAGACTTTAAATGCCCGAAGTATTTTTAAGAAACCCAAATTTGAACCAGCAGATATAACAGTAAAGTTCAGAAAGTTACAACAAAGTTTACAACTTCTAAAAGAACTGAAGTTGTATTTATAGAGGGGGATGCTTGATTCACAACGGTACTCTTTACAAGGTTGTAAGTAAGAATGTAGAATCATAGGTTTTTTAGCTTGAAAAGTGATTGATTCTTATAAACTCCTATATTGCTCCTGCATCGAAATTAGGAATATCATTTTTGTAGAGAAACCATAATCATAAAAAGATACATTTTTAAGTAGACAAAATGAAAATCTCATTCATTCTTAAAGGGAGTGTTTGCAAAAAATGAAAGAAAATGGATAAAAACGACTCATAGCGATGAACGTACAAATTCAGAAAGAATGCAGCATACGACTCGGATTGCAAAAGAATCAATTTAATTCCAAACAAAGCATTTAGATATTACAACCTATAATCATCTATAATTTTTCGACGCATATAAATTAGATTTTTAAAAATAATAATATTTGGCTTAAAACTTGCTTTCACGGCTGGCGTTAGATTTTTGAAAATAGGAAAATTCGTCTTCAATATCAAAAATCCTCGAAACAAGAATAAATGTTTTTAAAAGTAACTATCAGATCATGAAAAATTAAAAAATATTATGAAATATCAACTTTATACGAATGCGTCCAAAAATTATCGATGATTATAGGTTGTAATATCTGAATGATTTGTTTGGAATTAAATTGATTCTTTTTCGATCTGAGTCGTATGTTCCATTCTTTCTGAATTTGTATGAACGCTACGTTCTTCGCTATGAGTCGTTTTTATCAATTTTCTCTTTAATGACGCAACCGAGCAACAATCCCTTTAATCAGACAAATATTTTACTAAGGAACCGTTGTGAATAGGACATGCAGGTTTCAAACTGGTAAGTATACAGTTCCTCTAAAAAATCTGATTTGATCTTGCAACATAGATTCCATTTCATTTCAAGCTAAATGAATTTGAGAGCAAGAAGGATAATTTTGTGCAAAAAATATTAAATTTTGTACCGAGCTGTCTCTGTTAGGTATTCATCTACTCGCAGTTCAAACTCTGAGTAAAGATCTGAAGAAGAAAATGAAGAAAAATGAAAAAGGTTAAAAAGTAAATAAATTGACCCCTAAAAACAAAGTTGGACCATGTGGGAGGGGAAAGGGGTATCAGAAAAATAGCTTTTTTGAAAAAAAGTAAAATAGAAAATACCTGAGGAGTTGCCCTGGGCCTCAATCAGAGGTATGAGAAAGCCTATGAAATGAAGCATAATACAAATCATGGAAATGTCTCGATAGAAACTGAGCGCTCACCACAAAGTCTAGTTTTCTAATCCTCAAATCTATTTATTGGGATTTCTAAAATTTTAACTCTAAAAATCATGAAACTAAAGGTTTATAAATAAAAAAAATCACCCAAAATGGCCACAGCTGTTAGCAGTTTCATTTTAAACTGTATTCTGCATAATAGTTTATCAAGACAAAATGTTTATTTATTTACTTATTTCTTATCTTTTAAACAAAAGACGTGGAAAACGTAATTTCAAAGTAAACACATCTGTGTCTCTGATGTTAAAGGAACTGAATGCGCATTTTCAAGTGATTCTTCATTCCAAGGAACATATTTACAGGAACCCTCAACTCAGATATACGCATATATATTATGTACTGTACACTGGGGGGGGGAATGTAAACAAACCCAGTGCCCTCACAGAAGTTGAAGGGAAAAAACTAAAGCTCTGATGTGATATTACAGTCCAACAAAAACCAAGTTTATTCCACCCCTTGGGCCCTTTTCCCTCAAAAAAAGATGCGTTGCCCCTGATTTTTTTGTTTTGATCTCCTCCCACTGCAGTACACAGATTTGACGCATGAGATATGGCGGTTTCAGGTCTATATATTTCTTGCTTCATGCACAGATGTCAAGGCCCGATTCCCAGAGACGCGACACCCTTAAAGCTTTTATGATCAAGTATGAATTATATATCAATGTTTATGACTTTCAATTCCAAGGTACTAATGCCAGGAAAGTTAATTGCGGTTGCGTATACTTTGCGTACATATTAAAACCAGTTCTCTCTGGGCGGACTTTGTAAACAAGAATGCATCAGTATTCGTTTAGTATCCGAGGAGGTTAAAAGCATTTAATTTTGATAATTTTGAAAATTCCCATAAAAGTTTCCTTTTACCAGAATATTTTATAGATTACTTTTGTGAAAATGGATTCCTTGTCAGGCTGTGATATCCGTCTTGTGTTTACTTTTCCGCCCAAAGACAGTACACTGCAGTACAAAAAATGTGTACACCTCTGAAGTAACTTTCCTTGCATTCGTACCTTGTGAAATTCAAACTGATTAATTTCAATTTAGGTTTCTCTAAAAAATGGACTTGCGCATTTCTGTTGCAGGAAAACATATAGGAATTATCCGAAATAAGCATCTTAAAGACAATATCTTCCACATTATTGTTCAAATAAAGGTTTCAAGGCTACCGTTGTGAATCAGGCATTGCCATATTTGCATATTTGGGTCACCTGAAATTATAACGAAACTACACGTACAGTCCCTTTAAAAGAGTGTACGTGACATATCTGTATAATTTGATGAGTTGTCCAACGTTAAACTCATATTTATCTATGTCTGAAGAAAAACCATTAAATAAACCAACTATAAAAATGATCAGTGCATGAGTCTAATGTTCACTGCACAATTGTTGTGTTTATTGTTCATTGTACTACTTAAAATCATAAATTTAGTCCTATTTCACAGTTTATTGGGTCGCACTGTATAATTCTACTTAATGAAAAATAAATGATATAAATGTGATGCTGAAAAAAATAAGTTTAAGACTTTTAAAACTACTCACGAGCCAGATGATAAAAAATTTTCTGAGACTGTCGTATCTTTTAATCACTGATCCGAGGCGGGGGGGGGGGGTCCAATAGCCGATCCCATAAAAATTTTCATAATTGTTTGCACGCACAAACACATATTCGTTCGTTATTTTTAATTTGACCCTTTTTCGTTTATTTTATGAGTTCAGGAAATGTTTTCGTTTATTTTATGAGTTTAGGAAATGTTTTCGTTTATTTTATGAGTTTAGGAAATGTTTTCGTTTATTTTATGAGTTTAGGAAAAGTTTTCGATTATTTTATGAGTTGAGGATATGTTTTCGTTTATTTTATGAGTTTAGGAAATGTTTTTTTTATTATTTGAATTTTGTTGGACATTCTAGTGTGGTATACTGTAGTTGTGTAAAGTTGGGTGAATTTCTTTGTGTTGAGAATTTATATTTCTCCAGGGAGAGACAGGGCTGTATATATATATTTATATACATTTATATATTTGCACAATGCGCCAAATATTGGGCTTACAACACCTCTATACAACCTTTAGTAGGAAAAATTTACTAAATTAACTTTTGTGTGAATTTAAAACAAGTGACATGCGTTTACTGTCAGATTGATGTGTTTTACTCACCATAAGTTTACAGGAGTGGGTACAAAACGCCCAATTACAAAACGCCTAATGTTACAAAACGCCCAATGCAACAAAAGGCCCAAAAAAAACGTTCAAATTCCGAAAAACTATAAAAATCCTTAACAAATTTTGTTAGAGGTCTAACTTTTTGAGATGGACTTGAAAAATTAGACTATGAACATTTATCGCCACCTTTTTACTTTGAAACCTTTCTCAAATTCACTAATATATCCTGATTCGACAGTAAACAACCCGAAGTTTAAGGTAAATCAAATATTCTTATCTTTTCTGCAAACTTGTAATCTAATAGTTTTTGCAAAATCATTGATTACATATGAAACCCAGTTTCGGAAACCCGGTTTCATGACTGGGGTCAAGCATTTTTGTTGATACCAATATTTTTGTTGAGAAATATTATCACATTTGAATTTCTTATTTACTCTAACTGTTTTCTAATTTCTTAAAATAAATCTACGCAAACACTCAGAAACCAAAAAAACGATATTCACCAAAAAACGATATTCTCTTAAATTTCCGGCTTCGGCCGACTTCGATGAGCAGCTGGAGTAAGTTGTAAGTAGACGTGTACAGTATTTATACAAAATAAAGAATTTAGACGGTAAAACGGAAAAGTAAACCCGATATCTCAACTCCTTAATTCTTGTGAAAATAATGTGATATTTCTCAAAGTGTTTCCCAAAAAGGATGAAACTTTAGAGATGTTATATATAGCCTTATATAAACTATGGGGACGTTATACATTAGGTCGTCTTTACAGTATCATCTTTTGTTGAATCACTGTATCACTGTATCATTGGCAAACATTGTCAGTGAGCTGGAACAAAAAAATTGGAATTCTTCTCCTCTCCTTTTTTTCTTCTTCAATTATTAATTATCTTTAAAGGATTTATAATTTGCATAATTATATAATTCTAAAACAGTTCCCAAACAGTTGAGAAATTAATCAATTGCAGTATTGTGCAATATAAAATCCTCAGCGAAATTTCTTGAAAAAAAGGAAGAACAAAGACGACAATCACTCCACAAATTTTCATATCCCCCTCGTATGTCCTTAAATGGGTAAGGGATGCCTGACTTGTGATAGGTTTGTTAATAGTTTTTAAAAACGATAGTTTTTCGTTTCGTTTTTTCTATAAAAAAAGAACCATTGTTTTCTCAAGAAAGCAATAATTAAAAAAAATTCATTTATAAATTTTTTAATTTCAATTTTTGTCCGCCAGAAATATCATAATACAAAGGAACTGGGTTTTTTACCATAAACTTAACTCTTTCAGTCGCTAAATATTATCAACCTATGGTGAAAACCTTTGATATTTCAAACCAGGACAATTTGATGTAACAACATTTATAATTTGATAATCAAGGTCTACGAAATCGGGTTACAAATATAAAGGGACTAGAAAATCAGAGTTTCTTGCAAAAACTCAATTCCTTTAATCATTTAGTGCAATTGATCTAGAACATTAAAAATATTGAAATGCGAAATATTTGGCAAAATTCAATTTAATATTCAGGGGGCTTTGGATGTTTTTTCACTAAAGATCGACAACGAAAGGTCGTCCTTAATTGTCGTTAACTAGCCTTAACGAATGTAACTCCCGGGGCACTAAAGGGTTACCTCAATTTTAAAAAAGACCGTTAAGTTTATTTTTTTTCTACGTCGATATTCAAACGAAGCGATCGTTTTTAAAAAAGAGAAAAAGATCAATCTCTTATTGTCGACAACATTATATTATATTATTTTATTTTTTTCTAACATTTTCTTGCTCTGTTGCAGACAAAGGTTAATTAAGAAAATTGCATTTCTCTGAACTTTGTATACTCGGGAGTTCTTAACTTTGGAGGTTTTTTAATTATACAATAGAATCTATCTAAAAATATCATGCGAAGCACTTACTTTTACTAGGCTTTTGGAGTCAAACAAAGAATTCCGTGATTATTGGTAAATGATTTTTATTTTCATTGTTGATTATAAAACACAATCAAAATTTCTAAAGTTAAAGTAAAATTTTTTCGAAATGAAAAATATTTAAGTTTTTTTCTTGTAAACTCTATGCTTTCTGATTTGGTTCTTCCGCCAAAGTAACTTGCTTATTTCTGCTACAACATTGAGAAAGCACTTTTTAAAATAAAAAAACGTTATCGCCCGCATTAATGAGATAAATGTTTTATTGGTATCGTTGTGAATCGAATTAGACATCTTTAAATGGAAGGGTCCTGTATCCGCTTGTGATTAAATCATATTCTTCACATTCTCTTGTAAAAACCTAATGAAAGTTTCCTTGTTTAATTAGTTAAGTTAATTTGCTTGAGAAACAAAAAAGAAAATAATTATTTTTGTCTTAATAATATTTCCGGTAGTTTCTCAGATCTTGTTCTCCTTCTTCCAGAGATATAATCTACCGTTTGATCATAACTTTCTTCATTAGAAGATATTAAAAGAAGTTTCATCTTGTTGAGTAGTTTTTCTTAAACAAGGATTTCAACTCTAATCTCTGAGACCTAGAAGTATACTTCTGGCTCAGCTAGGGTTAGGCATTCAACCTTTTTTAAGAAAAAACTTTAAACACAAATTTTGTTCTGTATATGCCGCAAAGTACCTGCAGACGTAAAGTTAAGAGACTCTCTATTTAAAGAGTAAAGCATATGAATAATAATAATGTAAAACATATTTTCTTATTTATTATTACTTTCTTATTTTTCATGACAATTCGCAAAGGTCATTTTCTCACCATGCATGCCTTGTCTTTGCAGCACAACGAAAATTTACAAGTGACCGTTCTTCAGATAGAAAAATAGGGATATCTCAATCCTCCTTCAGCTGTAATTGGTACTGTTGTAAATCTGGCATAATGGAGTTAGGATCACTTGAAATTACGCATCTAGTCCCTTTAAGACAAATGAAAAAAACACTTCATTGAATGTTTTCTTTGAAGCTGACAACAAAAGAGGAAACTGTGGAAGACGATGCCTGGCCGCGTTAAACTAGTTCCACAAGATTCAACAGAATGAGATAGAACGGATACGGGGCATAGCACTGATATGATCTCTACAGTCTACACGTGCGATATCGATATTGACTCTAGTTCTGAACCCTCTAGTAATAAGTTATAAGAAATATATATACTGGAAGTTATTTATGCGTTTTATTAGAGTCTGACTCACGTCCTCTATAAAACACACGATTTTAAATTTTTAAAAACAAAATTGTGTTATTTCTTTAAATGTCCAATCGATTTCCATCCTTAACCCTGCAGCAATTAAAGCTAATGGTAGGGAATTATAAACCAACACTCTCAGAAACATCACAATGCATTATAAAATACAACAGAGGGGGTTTAGTTATATATATATTCGGTTTAAAGGGACTGTAAGCCTAAGTGGGGCCCTTCGTGCAAAGATTGCAATTTGCCCGATAGAAGACGGTACCCTAGGAACCTTAATCTGATAATTCTGGGGAAGGTATTATCGTTATTCTTAGGTTAAATGTGTGATTAATTCTGATAATTCCCATATAATTTCATAGAGTAAAACTTCACCATATACAATTTTGGATTAAAAACCCTTAGGTCGGATTTCTCTGGTTCGACCCCCCCCCTTCCCCAGCCTAAAGGGTGAAAAGGGTTAAGTATTATAAGATTTAAGAAGAAAAAAATTGAAGAAACTTCAACATTTTTTTCTTTTTAATTTTTACACAAGGTTAATCTTTTCCCTTCATTTCTAAAGTTGATCTATATACTTTTTGAATTTTAGAAAGATTAAGTTACGAGTTAAGATCAGGATGCAAACAAACAAAGATAACTTCTTTGTAAATACTCGTAGATAAATGGATGCGAATACACCATCACTCCCAACTAGAATCCGCCATTTCTTCGGTCAGAGCTCTACCAATCAATGCAGAACACACCAAAAGCTTAGTTGAGGATGTATTTGCTCCACTCACTCCACTTCTGTTTTTCTCAAGAATGTCAAGTATTGTTTAAATTCATATATTAAACTTTCTTTTTGGTATTGAATAATGTTAAAATAACATAGCAAGCAATCTCAATAAAAGAGATAAATGTCTCGTGTCTATAGTGTCTACGGTACCAATAAAAGGAAACGATAAAATAGACGTTATATAATACAATTCTTAGAGAATCCTTATGTAGTAGTAGTGCAATAAAGTAAAATAGGTTAATGTAGAAAACAGAGAAATTCAGAAAACTTGTTAGATTTATTATTTGAAAATAACAGGGAATAGGAATAAAGGGAAAGGAAATGGAGCTGGTCTGGCATGAGAAAGCCAGTCGCACTGCTTTGCAGACAAGTTCGGTAAACCTTACACACACTGTTTTGGTACAGACACACAACATGACTACTTTCATAATTGCAGAACAATGTTGTCAATTATAATTAAGCTTGAAAAACGACTAGTTTATTGTAAACTTTAATCAAATTATATTCTTTGCATGAAAATTGGGCTTATAGTGTTGACTTAAATATATAAATAATATACTACATGTATTAAACTTATTTTTAAGTAAACAATAAACAATAAACAAATGTACTCTCCTAGACTGTACAAATACCGAGATTCGCATGTACTGTCTATAGCACACGCCTTCAGTTCCGTAAATTTTACACACACTCTTTTGGTACAGACACACGCACATGACGTTTCCGCCCCCTGGCAAATAATATTTTAAAGGTTTCAGGGACTGTAGGCGAATATTCAATTTCAAGTAGTATGTACGGTTCACAGGGTGTTGGTATCCTTTGTATAATCAGCGACCGAGGAGTAATCCTTGTTTTATCTCTAAAATAGTGTTTAAATTACCGGAAAACTGAGAGTGTACACTTACTTACACTTAAACTGTGAAAACATAACAGCTAACTTTATTATACAGAAAATACGAATGTTCTACAACTTTTAGAAAGTGAATATTATTCTTCGTTTTCAACAAACAATAAGATAGAAACGCAAATTGCTTTATCAGTCAATTGTTCAGCTGGAAGGGGGGGGGGGTATGCAAATAATACAATACAGGGTGTCTGCTAAAGTTTATTTTATGAGAAGGGTAAAAGACTGTAAAGATTTTCTTGTTTTACTAAGTACAACCGTATTCAGTCAAACATAAACAAACAAAATGTGAACATAGCAGACGAAACTTATACAGACTACAGCTTTCTCAGTAGGTATCGCTATACCAAATCAAAGAATTATATAAAAAGAAGATATCGAATTCGTCACTGAATTCCCATGTTTATTGGGACACCCTGTACAATTAAATACAGTGAACAAGTGTATACAGACAAGATAAATATTGGAAACAATTATCTGCATTATAAACAATAAACATGTATAAATTATTTTAAGACGCTAATAAATGGTAATTTGTAATCAAAAGAAAATGAAGCACCCAATTTGTTCAAAATTATTAGTTTCATATAGAAAGGCTTGCAATCCAAACTATCAAAAATAACAATGGTTTTGTAGAGAAATAATGAAAATTCCATCCTCCTTGGTAATGGTTGAAGGATTAAAGGGCACCGTTGTGAATCAGACATGCCACTGAACAAAGGGAAGGTCATTCATATTACTATATAGTATAAAACTCATTGAAAAATTGTCAAGACGACATTTGATAAATTCTTCCGATGTATTCGTTATTAAGGGTTTCACTGTAGTTAAAACCAATTTTTTCAAGAGACTTGTAATATATAATTTTTATGACCCTCCATTTCTAAGTATCATGCAACGTGTTCAATCCACAACGGTAAAGCTTTGTTTAATTAAGGATCTAAGGAGCAACCTTGTTAAATTTTAATGAGTTTTAAAAAATGCAATTTTATGTTCAATTAGTAATTTTAGGGTTACCGTTATAAATTAAAAATACCAATCTAAATAAAGGGCATTTAAAAAATACGTATACACCTAAACCCATCAGAGAAAGAATTGATCTTAACATCACTTTATTTCATAATTTTAACAGTTAAGATAATAAAATACGAATTAAAATCCATATTTTGTTTCAAGCTTTTCACATTCCAGGCATAAAAGAATCCGGTCTTGATTCTTCATACTTCTTAACCTCCGGGATACTTTGTACAGCTAGATAGTTCCTCTTTACCATAGGATACTTATCCTTAAATAACGTCACGTTTATTTTAGATAGTTAGCTAGTTAACTTGTTAGAAAGTTAACTAGACTTCAGTGGGGAGAGCGGGGGAAGGCAGGCGGCCATGAACCACCACTAGTTTCTCTTCCGTACCACCATATTCGACTCTTCCGGGCCAAACTACTTTTTTAAATTATATATTTGAATCTTTATATTAAAGTGTTTATATGAAAAAAGGAGAATTCCTTTTAATGTAAACTGCAAAACTTTCATTTTGCAAATCTAAATTCTGCATAAAAATGGATTATTTTTGAGAGCAATATCAATATTAAAAATGACGCTCCATATAATACACTTTAATTTGGAAGGGAACCCTTGTGTGAAGATGTGCAATGTGTTCAGAGAAAATTGCTTAAAAATGTTTTTTGATAAAATCTGTTGCGCGTAAGTAATGACAGTAAATATTGTGATTTTAATATTATTTTCTTATTCTTCAGAATACTCTGCACAATTTTCTGCAAATTTTTCTCTACTCCCACAATACAAAAAATTATTTAGTTTAACAGCTAAAATCTAAAACAAACGACATCTTTCTTATAGATTAATTTATTAATCTTATGTAGAATTGAATAAATGGTTTGAGTTGTGCTTTTTTGGGTGACGCGGCTGGATAAAATCACACTTTAAAGGTCCTAAATGTACCATTTAAAAAAGTAGTTTTGCCCAGAAGAGTCAAATGTGGTGGTACGGAAGAGAAAACAGTGGTGGCCGGAAGAGAAAAAAGTTAATGTGTGGCCCGGAAGAGGAAATAGTGGTGGCTGGCCGCCTGCCTTCCCCCGCTCGTGGGGATATAATCTGCAAAAATTAAATTAAAGAATTATATTTAAAATATTTCCTTTTTCATTTGCACAAATATTTTATACGTAAAGAAAATTTGAAAAGGACTGTTCACAAATACAAAAAAACTAGACATATAACTTAGTTCTCTAATAACTATGATTAGTCACCCCAAAATAAAGAGGGAGAAATAGGATGGAAATAATTGGACTATGTATGATTATTAGTGCGGTAATTAAGCAATCTTTCACTGGATAAATAAAACTTCAGAGCCGGCGATTTAAAAAATTCAAGAAAATACGACTCGGGTCTAAGCTGTTGTTGAGCCTTATTTACGGCTCGGGCTTTCGAATTTAAGTTGCATCTATTTTTCAACAGAATTTAGTTCATAAAACCGGTTTAATGTTGTATTTGGCGGATTTTCATAGTTGGAATTGGTGCATTCCGAGTTTTGATGAGAATAAGACCCAACATTGAGCCTTATTCTCCACTAAAACCAACCAAGGTCGGTTTTATTTTCATTGGGCCTAACTCCTTAAGTCGAGCCTAAGATCTCGCAGCTGTCAATCACGTGACACAAGCTGTCGTAAGAGTTGGGTCTAAGATTGGGTCTTAAAGCTGCATTAAGGAATTAAGACTCGAGCCGAAGCTTTTAAATCGCGGGCTCAGATTTCTAAAGAAAGTTACATAATTAATTAAATCTTCGGATTTTATTCAATTATGATAAATTTCTCGAATGCTGCAGAGACAATGAAGAAAACAAGCATAATTGTGTGTATTACCATGATGAGAAATCTATCCTCTGCGTTCACATTCTGAAATCCCTTTTCCTCCTCCCACATGAGGAAGGATAGCATTGTATAAACAGCAATATCAGCAAAGGTCAACTGGAAAAAAATAGACTTGAAATTTGTCACGAACATATGAAAATTTAAATATGAAAATTGAAATATGAAAATTGAAACATGAAAATTGGCACACCTCTCCTTATGAACAAGACTAACAAAACAAATAGAACCACGTTTTACATAATAGTATTAAGATCGTTGAGCGAAATAAAATTCTAATAAGTCAAAGCTTTAAGCTGATGTCGGGTACAAGCGAATACCATGATTCATGGCAAAACAGAAATGTAGATTTGAAATGAACTGACTTTGACTAACTTGAGACATTTCAGAAGAAAGGTAAAATTTTATGTTCAGATAACAGTTTTCTAAATTTAACGATCCTCGTCAATTGAAAAAAAACTGGAGCCATAATTATCAAAAAAATAAGATTTTTCAAAAAAAAATTCCTGATTTCCGACATAGAATTCTCCACCACCCAATTTTAAAGCTTTCTCAGCACCTTCTAACCAACCAGGCAAAAACTTCTAAAATAAAAAAAATAAACTTAACTAAATTTAAGATTTATAAACCCCTACTTTACTCTTTGAAGGTCTAACTGAATCATTTCAGTGCTACATTAGAAAGAAATAAGAATTAAAAGAATGATGTAAGAAAAGTGCAAAACTAAGATATCTTGGTCATGCCCCCTGCTACCAACTGCCAAGCAAAAAGTTCTAAAAAATCCCAAAAAATAAGCGTCATTTTTTTATGAAGAATTATAAGAATGACCCTGAAGTCATTTGATGTAAATCTTGGAATCAAGCATTGATGTTATGCAGACCTACTGATTAATTCAAAATTCCTTTTTCATATAAAATGGTGGCAAAACCCTTCAGGGATAATCCTGATCGAGGGATCAAGCATTGATCTTCAAATTTGGATATCAAGATCCAGACGCAAGTGTTTACAATGTAAGAATATGATAATATATATACTAAAGTCCCAATCTCTGAAAAAAGGGTTCCAACTTCCAACTTAAAAGATATCTTAATGTTGAAAACAAAAACTTAAAACAATAAAACTAACGCACATACTTCTAATGATAAAGCAATATCAATATTAAACATTGTTTCGCGACGAATCCTTCTCATAACTAAATTCGTCGACTAATAATGAAAACCCTTTACTTAGATTCCATTTAGGTAGGCCGGATAATTGTATCCCGTAAGTTCTCTGTCTCGTAATAAAGGTTTAGAGCACTCTTCTATAACTTATTTATTGCAGGATCAAATCTAGTAAAAATGAAATGATTTTAGATATACAATACTACATAATTTAACAGAACTAAAAAATATAAATGAAACTATGTACTGCGCATTCGCGGACTCTAACATTTGAGATTGAGAAAGTTACAGGGCATATTCCTTTTACTGCACAGCGGGAAATTTAAACTAGAACCGCACAAACAAATGTCGTACTTACATATGCTGGCGTCCCGATAATGGAACAAAAGGGTATCTGTCTACTCAAGCATTACAAGATCTGAAATGATAAATCTAACAACAACACTCAAAGATAAGGTGTGAAACATAGGTGTTAACTGATCAAGCCCTGTATCTAGAGTGAGTCTGATTTATCATTTTCAGGTAGATCTCAGTTTAGAATAACCAATAGTAGGACTGCTTACGTTACCGGACATATTCGTCCAATCAGGAGACTCCAACTCAACTTGGTACAGTGAGTCTCACTAAATAATAATGATTTTGTCTATTTTCGAAAACCCTGAATATACGCGTAACACTCCTGCGGGGGAAGTATTTCGAAAAGTAGACTAAAGGAACCCATAGGCAATTAATAAGGAATACGTTGGTCCCACCAATGACATGATTTTTGGATTGTAAAGAGTAAATGATTGATTGACATAAACAGTGAATAACGTTTACATTACTGACGATAACATAATAACAATTAGTGAAAAATATTTCAAATTATCTTTGATCTAATGTTAAATGAACTTTGGGTGGTTGCAGAACATCTGGGGATGGTTGGAGTTTCCTTCTCTGGTTCAGATTCAATGCAGGTGGGGGAGGAGCTGATAAGTTATCTGTCTCTGTTTGAATATTATCACCGGAAGGAGCGGGGGGGGGGGGGGAGGGGGGTTATCATTGTGAAACACGTTCTCCTCCTCCATATCCATATATCGAGATCTTTCATCAGCTTCCTACATATTTTCTCTGCTTTCTCCTGTTGTTCCAAGAGACGGGGATTATTGCGGGCTTGAAAACAAGTACCTAATCCTACCCCTAAGGGGAATATATTAGGATTGGATCTCGTAAACTCTAGGTTTACATTATTTCTTAAAGGTGGGGATTGAATAAGATTATCTGAATCTTTATTCGGACCCATAAGTCGGACGGCGGACGAGATCCGATCTGATTCAGAATCAGACATGGATTGTCTTTGCGCTCCGGCTGTGGGAGTCCTATTGACAAGCATGAAGGCAAGATAATTCCCTTTTATTCAAATTTTATGTGATTACTGACATAGTTATGAAATAATAAGGGGGAAATAGTATAAGTTGATTTTATATTAATTAAAGTAACCGATCATTCACTTAAAAACCAGTTTCATAGATTCCATCAATTGGTTCAGGGACTTGTGCCGCACTGAGAAAATATGAGTTCAAAAACATATGATATAAAATTACATAATCTACTTTAAATCAATGTTTTGTAATTACTGGCAAAACTGATAAGAAAAAGGAGATTGATTACTAGAATGGATTTGTTCGGAAGTGAACTAAATCGTAGACTTGCACTGAATTTGCACTGAGGAACTGCAAGTTCAGAAATATATGATATAAAATTACATAATCTTCTTTAAATCAATGTTTTGCAATTACTGGCAAAACTGAGAATAACAAGGAGATTGATTACTAAACTGGATTTGCTTCGAAATGCACCTGATCGGAGACTTGTGCCGCACTGAGAAAATGCGGTTTAACTGGGATTGCTCCAAATTCATCAATCAGGAGACTTGCGCTGAATTTGCACTGAGAAAATGCAAGTTCAGAAACATACAACATAAATTAAGTAATCCCCTATTAATTATTGTTTTGCAATTGCTGGCAAAACTGAAAATAATGAGGAAAATAGTTACTAGGATTGCTCCGTGCCCAAACCGAAGACTTGTGCCTGAATTTTGCAATGAGAAAATGCGAGTTCAGAAATAGGGTAATAAAAAAAAATTGCTCCGGGCCCCAACCGAAGACTTATAATTGAACAGATAAAATGTTAGTTCAGACAGGGTGTGCTCCGGGCCCAAACCGAAGACTTATAATTGAACTTACAGATAAACTGTTAGTTCAGATAGGGTGTGCTCCGGGCCCAAACCGAAGACTTATAATTGAACTTTCAGATAAACTGTTAGTTCAGATAGGGTGTGCTCCGGGCCCAAACCGAAGACTTATAATTGAACCTCCAGATAAAATGTTAGTTCAGAAATAGGGTTTTAAATTAATTTAACTCCTAATTTTTGTGGTTTTGCAATTGCTGGCAAAACTAAAAAATTACAAGGAGAATGATACAGAGACTGCTAGATCTGAAACTGCTAGACCAGAAACTGCTAGATCAGAGAGAAGATCTAACCTCCTTTTATTCAATGTTTTGCAATCGCAGGCAAAACTGAGAATAATAAGGAAATGGAAAACAAGAATTTAAAGATAAAGGAAATTATTATTTGGGGCCAAGCGCCACAAATATGAAAAACGGCGGTCTCAAACAAATAACTATTGTGAGGAAGAACCAAGGAAAATGTGAATCCAGAAGAATAGAATACAATTATATAATCCTTTTTACTCAACGTTTGCAATTGCAGGCAAAACTGAGAACAATAAGGAAAATGAGAATTTGACTTAAAGGAGTGTATTATTTGGGGCCGAGCGCCGCAAAGAAAAATAAAGAAGGCGGTCTCGGACAAAAAAGAAAGGTTGTTGGTACATTAGCATACCCGGAAGCCATATATTTGATTGTTTCGCGACGAATCCTTCTCATAACTAAATTCGTCGACTATATAATGAAAACCCTTTACTTAGATTCCATTTTAGGTAGGCCGGATAATTGTATCCCGTAAGTTCTCTGTCTCGTAATAAAGGTTTAGAGCATTCTTCTGTAACTTTATTATTGCAGGATCAAATCTAGTAAAAATGAACTGTTTTTAGATATACAACACTACATAATTTATAAAAACTAAAAATATAAATGAAACTATGTATTGCGAATTCACGGACTCTAACATTTGAGATTGAGAAAGTTACAGGGCATATTCCTTTTACTGCACAGCGGGAAATTTAAACTAGGGCCGCACAAACAAATGTCGTACTTACATATGCTGGCGTCCTGATAATGGAATAAAAGGGTATCTGTCTACTCAAGCATTACAAGATCTGAAATGATAAATCTAACAACAACACTCAAAGATAAGGTGTGTAACATAGGTGTTAACTGATCAAGCCCTGTATCTAGAGTGAGTCTGATTTATCATTTTCAGGTAGATCTCAGTTTAGAATAACCAATAGTAGGACTGCTTACGTTACCGGACATATTCGTCCAATCAGGAGACTCCAACTCAACTTGGTACAGTGAGTCTCACTAAATAATGATTTTGTCTATTTTCAAAAACCCTGAATATACGCGTAACAAACATGACCTGAAGATTAGAGTCTGAAAAATACCTTGATTACGTCGAAAACTTTGAAAAAAAGAATGAATAAATTCAATAAAAAAGCTAAATTAATTGTTACAAAATGACCTGAAGAAATTGGTCTACCAAGGTCTGCTTGGAGTCAGCTTCAGCAAACCTCAATCCTCTCAATTCTACAAAATCAAAAATAATTTTTGGAAAAATTTAAATTACAAAAATTTAAATCTCAAAGCTCAAAGGCAAGCTTAAATTTTTCAAATTTAAATTTTTGAATTTAAATTTTAAATAAAAATATAAATTGAAACATTGATCAATATTCATCCCCTACACTTCCTGTTGTATCCGGTTAAAGTTTAACCCCCCCCCCCCTTACCCCCTTTCTTCTTATTAGGGTTAACCCTACCATTTAAGAAGTTTGCCGAGTGTTCTAGAAGCATTAGTAAAATCATCTTAAGTCTTAACCCCCCCCCCCCTGTCCTCATATTAGGATTAAACCTGCCTTTAAAGAAGTCTGCTGAGTGTTCTAGAAGCATATCTGCTTTAGTAAAATCATCTTCAGTCTTCCCAACCAGCCACACCTTCTGGGCGACAAATCTAACAGATAAATGTTTTGTTTAATTAGGATCATATAACGTTCAGTTAACTACAGTCGGTTTTTCATAAACAAAAAATGCAGTTAACGAAAAAAACGCATCAATTGTCAAATAAAGGAAAATACACATTATATAATCTGTATTTTCTGAAAATAAAATTTAACAGTTTATCTACCGTTGACGCTGTTAAAATATGACAATTGTCAACAAATGAAATAAACATCTATACTGAACTTCAGTTTGTAGTTTAAAGAAGCGAACAGGTACACACTACACATGTTAAAACTAAGTGAACAATCCCTTTAATTACCTAACTATTGAATTAGATTGGTAGAGCTCCTGACCGTCCCATATCAGACGTGGAACTTGTCCGAACAGCATAGAGGGTTTTAGTTCAGGCCAATCTTCTTTTGTAATTCTTTCATCAACAAAATCAACCTAGGACATAATATATATTTCTTGAAAAAAATAATAAATAAATTTCCCGTTTACTATTTTAAACTGTAAACGTTTTACAAGTAAAGAAAAAAACTACATAACTGGCAAAGATATAAAAATCACATTAGAATCTCAAAAAAAGGTTGAAAAATTCCTTACAAATAATACTGAATGTTTTCAAATTAACTCATAAGATGTTTGTCAGCGACGTCTACTTTTAGAAACATGTAGTCTCTCCTGGAAAACTCAAATTTGCATAGATTAAGCCCGCCTAATTCATAAAACCCACTGGGTTCACTTGAAAGGCTGGTACGAGTTCACACTTGTACAGGTTTGAATCATGCAAGACTCGGGCTCATGTGTTACGTAACCTAATTCCTAGGAATTACCTTTCCAACATGAAGGAGTAAACGAATAATTTCCCCCTTCCCCCGCACACCGAAATAAGTCAGTTTCACGCTTCTATCCATCTGAAACACACGGTAATAAGGCAAGGAAAGTTAATTGCTGTTGCTTATTATCTGCGTACATATTGAAACCATTCTCTCTGGGCGGTGTTTGTAAACAAGAATAGATGCACCAGTGTTACTCTAGTATCCGAGGAGGAAGTATTTAATTTAGAAAATTTTGGTAATTCATATAATAGTTTCAAATGACCAGAATAGTTCATGGATTTTTATGTGAAAGATGGTTCCCATGTCGGGCTGTGACATCCGTCTTGTGTTTACTTTACCGCCCAGAGACAGTTGACTGCAGTACTAAAAATGCGTACACCTTTGAAATAATTATCTTTAAATTATAATTCTTTGCTGAAACATAACAAATATTTACAGTAATTTGAAGTTTGTCATTAAAGCTTGGGTAACACATGGAATAAGATTTTATACATCTGACATCTTCATTCTTTACATCGACATATTAGTGTGGAATCTGCTATTTAAAGGGACTGTAAGCGTCATTTAAAGTGACCTTTCATGTCAGATTCACATCGGTCCCCATTAAACCTTTGACCCATGCCTTAGAGCATGCCGCATATATTTAGATAAAAATTTGATGCATCCGACATCTTTAAATTCTTTAAATTGCAGATTCCACAGTAATACGTCTATTGATGCCCAGTGTTAGAATGCCTAACTAAAAGAATGCTTTGTTCCAGTACCAGTTGTACATTTTAGAGGCCTTTGGGAGATTATTGCCCAAGTCACTAAATTGCACTTTATTTGCATTCCCAGAGTTTGATGGGACATGTTTTAGTTTTTTATATTTCAGTTTTTCCTACCGCTAAAACTATTTTTCTAGGGTTTGAAGTACAGTGAATCCCAGATGTATGAATACATAGCAAGAGTTTTTTTATAATGTCGTATTACATATATATATATAATAAAAAGAAGTTTCATTAGAATCATAAAAAAACTTATGACGGTCATCTATGTATTCATTTATCTAGAATTCACTGTCCTAAACCGGGTTAGGGTTAAGATTCCATATTTTAGTTATTATTTAATTCAAATTAGCAATTCTAAAACTTAGAAAATTAACCAGAATCAGCCCATGTGCTATGTACAGATAATAGCACAGGGTAGACTTGATTATTTTATTTAACTGCATGAAATGATGAAAACAATTAAGTTGACTGAACTCTTCAAAATTGAATTTAACACTGGATAAAACAAGTTTGCATGAACCCGTTATCTAACCGCAATTTCGAGCATTAAAGCTTCAGGGTTGTCACTTACCAATTATTTTAAATTAAAAAGGATTCATTATTTAAGTATCTTGCAAATATATCATATTAATTCTGCATATGTATGAAAAATCTGATAAAAACGTAAATCACAATAATTACAATCATACTAAGCATTGCAATCTTCTATTTCAAAATATTTGGGCCCGATCGGTTCAGCCGTTTTATGTTCATTGGATACAGACAAGCAAAGTATATATATAGATTATATATTCTGAAAATGGTGTTCCTTAAACCAGGGTTCTTCTAGCATTATAAATCTCATACTTAAACAGGATTGACTAAAGCTACGGTCTAAAAACGATATTTTTGAAAATGAATGAAGAAACACGAGTCACCCTTCAATATTTGTTTAGACAAAAAAAAAATTATTTTAATTTTTTTGACCATTTTCGGCATTTTTTTACAACCACCCAAACTATTAAAGTTATCTGTCTATCGTCTAACTTTTTTCAATGAGCTGGCCTTGAAAAATTAGGATATGAATATGCATTTCAACCCTTTATCTATTCTCAGAGTCCTTTTTCTAGGGGGGCGTGGGAAGTTGCCCCCCCCCCACCCCGGCTATACATAAATACAGACCCCCATCCTTTTTAGGGTAAAGGGGGGAATGTCCGATTCACAACAATACACCACTAATTATTGAAGGTCACTAGAAATTACGTTCATAGCCTATAGTGATAAAAGTTAAGTTGAATTTCTTTGAACTTCGAGTTTTGACTAATATTTCTTTGAAGCTTAATTTCAAAGTTTACATCAAAACCGGTTTTTTGTACAAGAGTACATTAGGGATATTTCAGGATTGACTGATGGGGGAAGAGAGAGAAACGGAGATGTACATGTTTCTTGTGAGGGACGGCCAATTTACCTAAGTATTATTAGCGAATCTTTAAAAAAAATCACAAAGAAATATTTCAAAAATTCAAAAAAACTGGATAGTGCATGCGCCCTAGTATCTTAAGCATAGAGAATAGAATATATATCATCAAATTATGGGGTTTAGTTGAGTTTGTATTTTCAACTTTGTACCAATTTCCCAATCACTTCTGGGATTAACAAACTATATTAAATAAATGGCTCCATATCCCACCTTTCAGTTTTCACCTTTCTAAATGTTGTCATAAATTTAGACTTTTTAAACAGCTTATAAAATAGCAAATTCATCAATGTGAAATCTCAGAATAGCTCCTCAATAGCACTTAAGGGAAAGCTACAGTGCAAAACAGGAAAAATAGCTATCTTAAAAAAATGTTTTTCCTAAATCTGGATGTTTTTGTTCCGAAATAAGTCTAGCACCCCCCTCACTTAAATCCTATATCCACCCCTGTCACACACCTGTGCCCCGGGAACAAATTAGTTGCAGTTTTTGAAAAATAAAATATTCATCATAAAGAAGATTAAGGACATGAAAATTAAGGGCATTACTGGAAAAAGATATTTTAATACATGCCTCAGACTGCCTTTGAAGTCAGTGGTTCTCATGAAATTTGTCCTATAAGCCAAAATCGAATCACCCAGAGTAAATTTAAAATTGAGTGAGTATAAGAGCGTTTTTTCAAAAGTCTTAATTTATAGTGAACACTCTTTATGATAAAGACACTAATTACATTGACTACATTTATTTTGTAAAATCCTTGTGCATATAATACATATATATCTGTAAGGTTAATTTTACTATTTCAAAAGAAAAAATGGAGCTTTATACATAATTTGATAAATAGTACAAGTACGCTACTGCATTAAATAATCTATTTTTGGTAAAATTTAACTTTTTGTTTAAATTGCTTGAGTAAAATTATCTGCGCGAAGCGCTAAAAAAATGTATTTCCTCGTAATGGAGACATGGAGAATGAAGATCAAGTTTCTATACTGGGATATTTATGTCCCCAAGATTCTAGGGCCGTGGGGAGGGGGGGGGGTAATTACCCCCAATATTCTAGGGGGGGGGGGTAATTAACCTCAATACCCCCCCCACATATACGCCACTGTCAGGTCTACCTTTTTTCCAACAATTGATTTAATCCAGGTACAACTCTTCACTATCAATGTCAAGCATGGACACGATCTTAGAGACTATCAATGTCAAACACTGGGAACGATCTCATAAACTATCAATTTCAAACCACTGGGCACAATCTCAGAGACTATCAATGCCAAATACTGGGCACGATCTTATACACTAACAATGCCAAACCACTGGGCACAATCTCAAAGACTATCAATGCCAAACACTAGGCACGATCTTATGAACTAACAATGCCAAACCACCAGGCACTATCTCCTAAACTCATATGCTAAACGAGGAACGATTATTTCTTGCACAGTAATCAAAGTGGAGTCTATTCCAACAAAGTATATTTTAGGATTTTAAGTTACAGATTAAGTTTAAAAGATGTAATTACAAGGTTTGGGTTGTTATATACAAACTTAGTTAAGCTCATCACATATTGGTTCCCGTAGTTATTTATGGGCGTATCTAGGTTAGGTTAACTTGCAATACAAGATTTGCGAAGTTAATTTTAAGCACATCAGGTTTTAAGAACCAGGTACAATGTAATTGATCTAGGTTTGATAGATTAAAGATATGAGACAGAGGTTCAGAAATCTCAGTTGATACGGCTTTTATCAAAACAGTACTTATACAATCAATATCCAGAGTATTTTTACGATTGAGAGACGAGATTATTTCTGAAACCTCTAATGGATTTGTTGGAAAAAACTCAAAATTAGAATCTAAATCCTCTAAATAATCTTCTGGTTTAGCAGACGTTTCCGGTATTTGAGATCTTATTTCATCTGCAATTTCGGAAAAAAATGTGTTAAATGTATCAGCAATTTTAGATGGCTCAGTTATTGACAAACCTTTAGATTTAATCATAGAAATCTTGCTAGATTTAGTTGATCTTTTATCAATAGCTTCATAAAGATATCCCCACATTTTTTTAGGACAGCTTTTACTTGATTCAAGTTTCTTTTCATAATACAATTTTTTTGCTTCTCTGATAAGCTTGTTATATAAGCTTCTATAATTCTTGTAAATCTCAAATTTCAGGGGGTTTCTAGATGACAAGTAGTCTTGATAAAGAGACAGTTTAGTACGCCGAGAGGTTAACAATCCCTTAGAAAAAAAATCTTGAATTTTGTGAAAGTTTTTATTAAATTTAGATTTTTTGACAGGAAAATGTAGATTATACAATGTAGACCAGCTCTTCCAAAATAAATCAAAGCTTTCCAAAGGATCAGGACAAGATAAAACATCATCCCAAGAAAGATTAGATAAGTTTTCACGAAATAAATTAATATTTAATTCAGAAAAATCTCTAAATTCAGTAAATTTTTGCTCGCTTTTTACCTTCTTCTTAAAATTCAATGTGGTAAAACATGGAAGATGGTCAGATAAATCATTTAATAAGACACCAGATTCAGGAGTATTTAAGTTAATATTGCAGAAAATCTGATCAATTAGAGTATTAGAGTGAGAAGTAAATCTTGTTGCTTTAGTTATCAAATTCATAAAACCGTTAGAGATGCAAAGATCCAGATAATTTGAACATTCAGGAGATTTTTCAACTTGGAGCAAATCAAAATTACTATCAGTGAGAATGTAGCAATGTTTATCTTTAATAAGATCGAACATAATGTTTAAAGATTCAAAAAAAGCCGCACTTATTTCAGAATTAGAAAGGGTCGGGTGATTTCCAGGTGGACGATAAATGGAAATAAAAAGTATTTTTCTGTTTGAAAATTCAACTTCAATGCAGACAGACTCAAAAACACGTTCATGAAATATTGAAAACTCATTAATTCTGCTAAATTTGATCCCTTCCTTAACGTAGAAACCAACCCCCCCTCCTTTAGAGTTTGATCTAGATTTAAATACTAATGGTTGATATCCTGGTAACGAAAGACAGTCTACATTTTCAACTTGAGAGATCTCCTGAAGAGAGATCAAGTCAATATCAATATTTTGTTGAAGAAAATTTAATACCATAGACTTAAGGCTTTGGAATTTGCTGGATAAGTATTGAATATTCATATTTAAGATCAGAGGATATTTGGAATTAGAGAATTTTTGAATAAAACTATTTTCATCGTAATAAAGACAATTTGATTTAAAATTTGAAAATAACGAATCTTCAATCAAAGGCTCATTTAAATTGACATTTTTAACGTTAAAAGAAATGGATTCAAAATTAAGCCTAGCGTCTCTATTCATACTGCCTAAGGTACTCGTGTCAGGAACCATGGCAAGCACTGTGGCGTTCATCCCGAGACAAACCTTCACCCGAAACCACCTTCCTCTCCATCCATGACCACGACGCTTCTAAAGTAAAAATAATGATAGAAAAAATCACGGAGACTACCAGTATGCCAACTATTTTAAATAAAATTAAGTGCATTAGCAATAACACAGCCAATGTTAACAAGTGAGAACGAAAGTAAATAAATGAAAATACTTTTAAATAGAATAAATAGCGAATAAGTGTTATAAGTATATGGGTAAATAAATAGAAATATGTTTGTAAATACTAAATTGAATAAATAGGATAAACAATTGCCAGAAATAAAATTGGTAGATATTACAGCTTGAAAAGTTTCTCTATATTTGAGGAAAATAAAACAGATGACCTGATCAGGTCTGGTAAATAGTACCAGACATATAAATGAGTGTTAGAGATACACATGGTTAACAGGAAATCTGGAGAGAACAGCTGAACGGGTCTGGTTACTAGTACCAGACAAATGTAAGTGCTGAACACACAGATTGAACATGAGATCTGGAGAGAACAGTTGAACGAATCTGGTTAATAGTACCAGATATCTGAGTGTTGAACACACATAATGAACAGGAGAACTGGAGAGAACTGTTTAATGTGAAGGGAAGGAGAGCTTAATAGATGATAACCAAATCAAGATTAAGGAATACTTCACATAATTAACAGGCTCTAGAATATCCAAGAAGGATATATTAGTTATTTAGCAATCTTCTTGGTTCCGTCCTTGTCCATGTACATGATCTTTCCTCCAAGAGACCAGGCCTTGATATTTTTCTTCAACAGACCTTGAAGTTTCTGATAATTGATAACAGTCAGATCCTCAGCAATAGAAATTCCTTTTAAAGCTTCGATTTTTGGTAAAACAGATTTCTTGGTCTTCAGGATAACATTTCTCATTAATCTACACTGAAACCTAACAATTACAGGTGTAGTATTCTTTGACTGACGATCAGGGACAACATGACAATGTTCGATAAGACTCAACATTTCAGGTACCTCGGGTATAAGATTAGTATTCACAGCATGGTTCAGTATAGGTTTCAGAACGGTTTCGTATATATGGGTTGCCGTTTTCATCGAATCAGAAGCAATATCCTTGTCCACCTTTAGGTTGAAGATACGAACAGAAAAAGAACGACTATGCTGCTCCCTATCATTTAGTTTAACAGTATAATCGGCTAACTGAGCAGTTAGTTCATCTATTTGCATCTGCTGTTCGGCCATAGTTTTAGACATAGAGTCAAACTTCGAGTTAATTTCGTCAAATTTTGTGTCTAAGTTTCGAATACTATTTTTCAGCTCCGAGAACATTTCCAAGACAGCTTCATTTCCGAAAGATTCTTTTACCTCACTCCCTGCGTCAGGGACGGTGGGTTTTTTAGTAGGCATTTTAAATGTTAGAATAAACTGTTAAAACTGAGGTTGAGGATATTTTAACCGGGTAGCACTGTATCAGAGTGTTAGGTGTACCAAGTTGTGAAGATCACGTTCTCAACTCTGATTGGATTTAGAAAAGCAAGGTGCTATCTTCTCATTGGTTGTTGCGGTAGAGCTGGCAAACTAGTAACTACGCAGTTTAGCTAAGCATAGGTGTTGCTGGCACCACGAACTAAACTGAACTAAATTAACTTCTCCTCCCAACTACACTTTTCCTTTCACTCTTCTATATACTGTTCAAGTTCATAATTAACTTCTCCTCCCAACTACACTTTTCCTTTCACTCTTCTATATACTGTTCAAGTTCATAATTTACTTCTCCTCCCAACTACACTTTTCCTCTTCTAAGTTGCTTGAAGGCTTTAAGTTCTTGGTTAACTCGTCATTTACAAGATTTGAAATGTTTATTAATTCATCATTATTATTATTCTCTAGATTTGGGTTCTTCATCTCTAGAGATGCCAGCTGTCTTCTGTTGGAACTCTCTACGGAGAACCGTATTCGGTAAATGTTTCTTGAACATCTCTTGCATGTCCGCCACTGTTTTCTCCAGTTTTGACTCTTCCGCCTCCTCTATTCTTGTCACCTCCTCCGCCTCCTCTGTATCCTTCTATTCCTTCTATTACTCTGTTTGCCCTTGCTTTCTTCTAAGTAATGGCCTGATTTTCCACAAGTATATCAGAAACCAGCAGACTTCTTTTTCTTCCAGACTTCGTATTTCTTACAATTCATCTTTAGATGTACCTTACAAGTTTTTAAGGTGACTTTCACCCTTTCATTGTAAATGAAATCAAATGTTATTTTCCATTTATAAAATTTCCTTTAGGATTTCGCCAAAGTTTATTATTTCTTTCCTTGCAAATTAAATTGAAAACATTTGGAATTTATCTTTTAGGTTTAGACTTGTCTATCACCTATATACATACTTTACTTGTCTGTCTGTCTGTCTGGGTGTCCGTCCGTTTGTATCCAATAAAGGTCAAAACGGTTGAACCGAGCAGGCCCAAATTTTGTGGGGGGACCTCAGGGAAGTTTTATGGATGCTCAAAATTACAAAAATGTGTGTCCAAAAGTTATTGATTTTTGTAAAACTTTGAAAATGTGCGAAAAAACATTATGAAATTCGCAAACTTTTTTGTTTTTGTTTTATATTGTACAAATTGAGCCACAATCAAAAGTTGAATAGAAGATGGGCGCGAAGCGCCTTAAGTCTAGTAGAGTCTCTGAAGTCTCACCCTTCGAAATGTCTCAGAATTTAAATAAAAAAACCGGTAATAAGCATCTTGAATTGGTGATATAGGAATCCCAACAAAAGATCAGACTTCACAGACGACTGCAAGAATTTTTTAAAGTCCTATAAATCATTAAAGGCAAAAGGCAAGACCCATGGCAAATACTGGGACTTGTGTCCCAGTAACCCTGATCCTACATATAGTGTAAATTTAACTTTATACCTTCTACCCTGAAGTGAAGTGGCGATGTAAATAAATTCAGTTAAACTTTACCTCCTCCCGGTGGACATACAACTTTAAATTATATTACACCCCTCCTTATTCGTTCTTTTGTCTTTCTTTCTGTCCTGCTCAGTTTCTCCTTAAATACTTTTACTTAAGATTTTCCCTGTCCGTCTTTTTCCCTCATTCTCCCATCCTCCTATCCCCTTCTTTCCCCTACACTCCCACAATTCCCCCCCCCACTCTTAATCATTGAACCAACTTGTTCACGGCCCTCAATATCAGTGGTACATACCTAAAACCTGAGTTTAATATATCTCAAATTTCAGTGCACATAACAAATCTGGCTTTGATTATTTGAAATGCATATTTGAAAATCAAATTCTGAATTCAAATTTAAATTTGAAATTTCATCCTGACATTGAGCATTGGAAAACTATTCTGAAGAATCAACTTCAATTTGATATTTTGCAGTACACAGTAACACAAATATGTACACAGTAACACAAATATGTACACAGTAACACAAATATGTACACAGTAACACAAATATGTACACAGTAACACAAATATGGACACAGTAACGCAAATATGTACACAGTAACACAAATATGTACACAGCAACACAAATATGTACATACTAACACAAATATGTACGTTTTAGTTCTTAAGATCTCCAAGATTTCATGGATTTCCCCTACGATTCTTCAAAAAAGGCGTAGAAAAACATGGCGACAATAAACTTAAAAAATCGATGAATATTGAATTTAGATTATGAAAGTGTAAAACCTGTAGATATATGTTCAAGATATTAAATCTAGCTGGTTTATCAAATCTAATATAAAATATTGTTTAATACATTTCTGTTTAATGGAATTTTCTTCAAATCATTAAACTACAGGGTTACCCGCAAAGGGCGTACACAGGGGGGGCAGTGCCCCCTAGACCTGAGAAGGGCTATTATACTCTTAAAATCTTAGACTAAAGAGTGAAGAGCATAACAAAAATAGTTTGCTGTTCAGAAGTTTGAGGGGAGTCCCCACCCACCACAAAAAATACATATTATTGCCGTGCTGTAACCTAATTTTCACTTTTAAGTTTACAGAGTTGTGTTTGAAGGAGAGATAAAGTAATATTTGCAAGATGATTGGACTGTATGTGTACCTTTAAAGTATGCTTGTGCCTAATATCCAAGAAGCTAAATGTTCTGAATTTAAACTTCAAATTAGGAGCTTCGGGTGGGGGGGGGGGGCAAAAAAATTGTATTGGCTTTGAAGTTGTAAAGGAAAGTAAAAAAGGAAAGTAACAATATAAAAGAATGGATACAAATTTTCTATAACAAACAATTTTGTAAAACCGGCCCCCCAAAAAAGTATGTCTTCAATATTCTAGAAGCCAAAAGTTTTGAATTTACAGTTTAAATTTGGCCAACATAAACGATCGTTTTAAAAAAAAGGACGTCATTAATGATCGTTAATAAAACGACGAACTTTATAAAAATGGTCGTTTAAAAAAAATTACATGCAACTTTATCGAATGTTGTCTTACAAAGTTAAAAAAAAATGTGGGGGAGCTAAAAGTTCTTGATATTTTTCTTATTACTACTCAATGACAAGAACCGATGCCCTTCAGGTTGGTTTCCTATCTCCTCCTCTCTTCGTTAACGATCGTTAACAAAACAACGAGCTTTATAAAAACGTTTAAAAACAATCGTTACAAAAAAGATCGTTTCGTTTCGATTTTTTTCGTCGTCGTTTTCATAACGATACTAAATTGTTTTTCAAAAAGTTAAAAACGTTAACGTTTTAACTTTAAATCGTTGTATTTGAAGAGTTTTTAGTCGTCTTTACAGTCTCATCCTTTGTGTGTAACCCTGTAGATAATGCACTATGTTTTTAGATAGCGACATGGATGAGCAAAATAATGGAGATACTGAACGAACTGAACCTTCAGAATGAATGAAGAAAGTTGTGATAAAATTTCAAACTAAAAGTGTTAAGATCCCAGGAGTAAAAAAAATTAGTGTAGATAGAGATAAGGATTCAGAAAATGTTTTTGAGAGAAAAATGTGTAACTAAATAATGTAAGAAAAGAGTGTTGCAGATTATTAGAATAATCATTTGGATTGGTGGCCGAAGAAGTCGAAATTTCAATTGATTAAAGAGTGGACGTGCCCAATTCACAGCAGAACCCTTGAATCCTCAATCTGGTCACTATTGGGATCATAATATAATTTTTCTACATTGAAAAGTATTCTGTTACCATGTAAAAATGGTCGTAAGTAAAGAAAATGTAAAGCCTGAAAATGACGTGAATAAGTTTACAGAGTATGGGAAAAATGTAATTACAGCATAAAAAAGAACAGATAATGTTTGATACTATAATGATTTGAATAAAGCCGGAGTTCTTTGGCGGACTCTCCGCCTTTCTCTCATCTCATATGACGGGTTAAACTTCCTCGTTCTGGTTCTTCTTAACGACTGACTCTATTTCGGTTTTAGCCTGCAACAAATCATATTTTCTGCTTCTTCATGATTAAGGTTCAATCCTATTGACTTGAATTCAAATAGAACTCGGAGGTCAACGGCGGCTTGGTTTTCCACGCGTTAAAAGTATGTTTTTTAGGCTGGTATCTCAATACATTATACATGAGGCGACTTATCATCCGCCCCACTTTCTGTCTGACCTATAGCTATATACAAAAGAGCTAATAAGTTTATAGGCCGGACTACTTCAATCTGAGCTTAGCTCCGGGTCCTTATAAAGACTGAAGGGATTACATCAATGGAACTTTCTGAGCTTAGATCCGGGTCCGTATAAGGACTGAAGGGATTACATCAATGGAACTTTCTGAACTTAGCTCTGGGTCCTTATGAGAACTGAAGGGATTACATCAATGGAACTTTCCAATTTGAGATTATCTCCGGGTTCGTATGAGAAATAAAGGGATTACATGGAACTATTCCTTTTCTGAGCTATTGAGCTCAAACCAGTTACCATTCAATTCGCATAATTTCACCACTGTTTCTAAAGTAAGAAATGTTTAAAACACTTTTGTAGGTAAACCAATGAAAATTATCTGTTTTCAAAACAAAGAATAAAAATCTTAACATCTAATTCCTCCTTGATCGATACAAACAGGATCTGCCACTCATATTAATATCTTGAAATTATGTTTAAAATGTTTATTTAGTTTTTTTATTTGTTGTTATCTAGTACTGTTTCTTTGTTGAATTTGTCTCCAACATTAACAGGTTGAATACAATACAAATAACAAAGATCGAATAGAAGAAACTGAATTAATTCTTAATAAAATCCAAATTGTTTTACTTGAGAGAAATACCAAGGATACGAAACCTCTCCAAATCTATTATTGATATTCTAAATATTCTAAAATTCTAAAATTCCAAGTTTTGAAGTTTGAAAAATTTGTTTCCAGCCAAAGCTGTGTTCCCAAGCAAATACAAATTTAACGTCCACAAACTGAAGCCTCCTATTGTAAAAGAGCAAAAAACCTATTTATTTTACAATCAATTATATTACGCCCAAAAAAAAACAATACAAGCAAATTTAGTAAGACCAAAACTTAGAAAAACAAATCTTTGCGGAGACCCGAGCACCCTGTAAAATATATGGATCACCCTGTAGAATATATGGAGCACCCTGTAGAATATATGGAGCACCCTGTAGAATATATGAATCACCCTGTAGAATATATGGATCACCCTGTGGAATATATGGAGCACCCTGTAGAATATATGGAGCACCCTGTATAATATATGGAGCACCCTGTAGAATATATGGAGCACCCTGTAGAATATATGGATCACCCTGTAGAATATATGGATCACCTTGTAGAATATATGGATCACCCTGTATAATATATGGATCACCCTGTAGAATATATGGATCACCCTGTAGAATATATGGACACCCTGTAGAATATATGAATCACCCTGTAGAATATATGGATCACCCTGTTATAGAATAAAACCAAATATATGTTGAAGTTAATAAAGAACTATTGAGATTTATTGCTCTGGGACAAAATAAATTGAAAAGAATTAATTTTATTAGGAATTTTATAAAAGGGGGGGGGGGCAGGAGAGAAAAAACTTGTTTAAAATTACTGCAATTTTTTAATTTTAACATTTTCCAACTAAAAGTAGAATTGTCATTGTATGCTTTTATATTAAATTCTTTTCAACTTTTATAATTTTTCTTTTCATCGTAAAAAGATATTCAAGATTTTAAAAGTTTTTTCTTTGATCCTTAATTTAAGATTTAGAATAAAGATTAAAATCCGTTTTTCAGTTTTTAGCGCAGAAATTTAAAATTTTAAAATTTGGACATGTATCAACTTGTATCTAAACTTCAAGGGCAATGTAACAGGGCAATTTCTTGATATTGAGTATTAACCCTATGCCTACTGGGGTACTTAAAACCCTCTAAATCCCATGTTTGATGTCCAAATATGGCAAATGATACATCATTGGAAAGCTCTTATGCTCTACTTTTAGAATCTGTCAAAAAAAAACAATTTTGCAAAAAACTGATTTTTTTTTAATCCAGTTATCTAGTTTGCGAATAACAAATGTCCAAAAATTGATTGAATAAACACTTTTTGAAAAGCCCTTGACCATGCCATTTCAAATAAGATAAAAATTTTGCAAAACTTTAAATAACATGATGTGTAATTAAGAAAAACTGAAAATGTGCAAATTTCTTTTAAAGGGTTATATGCAAATAATTTGCAAAATTTCTTTGCAATCCGTTTCATGAAGCAGTTAGTATAAAAGCCCGGTTTTAGACCTAAAGGGAGGGCTATGGGTATTTAGAAAAAGTCAGAAAATTTCAACAGCCTCAGACCAATACTTTTGAGTTATGTAAAAACAACAACAGGGGGGTCAAATTACCCCCCCCCCCCCCCCAGCAGAAATAGAGTTAACGCCCGGGCAGCATATTCAAAGCCATTGAAAACTGCATGACGGGGGGGGCATCGTTTACGATCTGTGTCTCAAAATAAATCTGAAATAGCTCATGCCTCATACTAATACTAATAATATTTTTGAGCTACAATTTCTAATTTGTAAAGCTCTCGTTTAAAGTTGACGTGTCAATTGTCAAATGTAAACTTTGGCCAAATTTAAATTATTATCCTATAAATATAAAATAAAAAACAAGAATTTCCTCAATCTTTATTTAGATATAAAAAATGTTTTAATGATATGTATATTGTGTAATGAGTACAAGGTTACATTTATTATGAAAAAAACAAATTTAGATTTTAAAAACAACTGTTGACATTATTTCAAGTTTTCCTCAATTTATTGAGTTACAAACTCGAGCCACTATGGAATCGTTTTAACTTTTATCTGAGAAAGAATGCTGACGATATCATCGTTGTTTTATCTACAATCCTTATATTTTACTTTGGCAACAGAATAAGGATACTTATAGATTAGAGGTTCCCTTGAAATTACGCTTACAGTCCCTTTTTCGAACAAAATGTGTACGTTGATATCATCATTATCGTTTTACGTATACAAATATTATTTTTATTATTTCAAACTCTGAAATTATTCGTTTACTGCAGAAAAGTACAATCTTTTGGTTTAGCATAATTAATAAGTTCTTTTTCTTTATCTTCAATTAAAAAATTTAAATTATTATATTGTTTTAGCAGAAAGAGGACTACAATCAGAAAGAATATGTAATATAAATTTACCATTTAATATTCTTTTAAAATTTAAACAAAATTTAATTCGATGAGCGTGAGCCTGATATAAACTTGAAAAATGAAATTAATATTTACATTTTTAATTATAATTTAACTACACATAAACGATGTAAAAATCACATGCAAGGGGCTATAAAGTGAGGGGGGGCGGGGGGGTGTTAAGATATTTCAGATATGAAAATATAATTAAATACACAATTTTCTTAATTAAGCTTGTAATTCAGTGACTTTATTATTTTTAGATTTTTGGTATTCAACTATTTTGTAGAAGACAATAAGCCTCTTTCTTTATAAAAAGGGCCGGTTAGAATTTACAACGTGCATACGTATAAACGTATAAACGTACATTTTTTTTAATTAAAAACAGTTAGCACAAGAATTAGTTAAAGCTGGGATTCATAAGAAAACACAATTTCAATAAGAAAATTTTCAAGTATTATAAACAGATATGACAAACATTACAGCCACCATGGCTAAAAAATCAATTTCTGTCTACTAAAAAACAACAAATTAATAAATCAACGTAGATCTGCTTTTATTCAGCATACCCCTCTGAATATGTAAATGTCTCTTTCATATTTGATATAAAAGTCTAAAATGAAATAATAAAAGATTAAAAGTGTTAATCAATAAAAGCTTTTACAACTTTTTAGGAGGCTATATACAACATAATGGAAAGCTTTGAAGTCGTAAACATTTTTTTAAATTCATAATTTTATGACGAAATCTTTTTTTTTTGAAAATCATCCTGTGATTAATACCGCTGAAAGTTATTTAAACTCAAGTTTATTTGGCATTTTTTCAAAGGTTTCTGATCGCAGCTTTAACGAGATTTAAGTAATTCAAAACAACGAAACTGAAATTTCTGTGTTGAAAGTCATGAAGAACAATGCCCGATTGACAAGAGTACCCTCAACACTTTTGTGTGTTCAAATCAAAAACAATTTTTTTCTCATTTAAACTATTGAATTGTCCATTAAGAGCCCATAAATACAGGGTGTCCAACAAAAAATTAGACCGCGTCAATGGGTCTAGATTACGATTTGGGGGACAAATAAAAAAAATTAAGAAGAATGAATCATTTTGAAAATTTGATAAGGCTAATAGAAATTTTTTTTGCAGAAAATGCTAGATTTTTCGAGTATTATGTGCATATTTTGGCATTACAGCTTGGACATAATCTAATATAATATGGGACGCTCTGTATGTATTGTGCACACTTCCTGAACACCGCTTATGCTCAGCTCCAATATCCAGTGTGCGCTCGTGTTAAGCTCGTGGTGTGCGTATATCGCATACAGGAAATTACATGGAGGGTTACTTGAAGTTTTATGTAAAGTCCCTTTAGTCATGATTTATTCAGGACTAGGAACCCTTTAGTCATGATTTATAAAGGACTAGGAACCCTTTAGTCATGATTTATACAGGACTAGGAACCCTTTAGTCATGATTTATACAGGACTAGGAACCCTTTAGTCATGATTTATACAGGACTAGGAACCCTTTAGTCATGATTTATACAGTACTAGGAACCCTTTAGTCATGATTTATACAGGACTAGGAACACTTATATTACAGTTCTCTAGAATTGCCACACGCTTCTTTGGTCTAAACCCATTTTTGTTTTTTTTTAAAAATTTGATTTAAAATAATTAATTTAAAAAAAAGAATTGCTTAGGTTGACTTGACACATAAACTTTATAAAAAGAAAATAAAGTTTCTAAGTTTCAAAAAAGTTTCATTAAAATAAATATAAACAAATGGTTTCCTGGGGAATGTTGCGAGTTCACACTTGATTCTCTCTCCTTCGCTGAAAAAGGTTGAAATAAGAGAAAAATATTTTTTTTACCATTCTATTCTATTAATATGCTCCATCAAGTAATTGCTATCTAATATAATCTTCAACAAATTCTCAGGCTTAAAAAAGCTTAAATCTAGAACCAACAATTTATCTATTTTTTCATTCTTGTTATCTTATAGCATCCCCCCCCCCTTTTTGCAATATATAGTTCCATTGAGAAACTTCAGTCATTTAGCTTGTAAAGAAAAAAGAAATAAGAAAGTTTTGTTTCTGGAAATGGATCAAGATTTAGATCTAGATATTTATTTAGTTCCAGATCTAGTTCTAGTTCTAGTTCTAGTTCTAGTTCTAGTTCTAGTTCTAGTTCTAGTTCTAGTTCTAGTTCTAGTTCTAGTTCTAGCTTTAGCTTTAGCTAGTTCTAGTTCTAGTTCTAGGTTTAGTTTTAGTTCTAGTTCTAGTTTTAGTTTAGTTCTAGTTCTAGTTCTAGTTCTAGTTTTAGTTCTAATCAAAGTTCAAGTTCAAGTTCTAGTTCTAGTTCTTGTTCTAGTTCTAGTTCTAGTTCTAGTACTTACTAGTTCTAGTTCTAGTACTTACTAGTTCTAGTTCTAGTTCTAGTTCTAGTTCTAGTTCTAGTTCTGGTTTTATTTCTAGTTCTAGTTCTTGTTCTAGTTCTAGTTCTAGTTCTAGTTCTAGTTCTAGTTCTAGTTCTAGTTCTAGTTCTAGTTCTAGTTCTAGTTCTACTAGTTTTAGTTTTAGTTTAGTTCTAGTTCTAGTTCTAGTTTTAGTTCTAGTTCTAGTTCTAGTTCTAGTTCTAGTTCTAGTTCTAGTTCTAGTTCTAGTTCTAGTTCTAGTTCTAGTTCTAGTTTTAGTTTTAGTTTTAGTTTAGTTCTAGTTCTAGTTCTAGTTTTAGTTCTAGTTCTAATTATAGTTCAAGTTTAAGTTCTAGTTCTAGTTCTAGTTCTAGATTTAGCTCTAGCGAAACCTCAAGCTCTAGCTCTAAATCTAGCTCTAGCTCTATATAGCTTTAGCTCTAGCCATGATGAATTTTCAAGCCTTACTCAACAAAAGATTTAGATCTTTTAGTTATATGTATAGTTCTAGTTCTAGTTCTAGTTCTAGTTCTAGTTCTAGTTCTAGTTCTAGTTATAGTTCTGGCTCTAGCTTTATATCTAGCTCTAGTTCTAGCTCTAGCTCTGGATCTAGCTCTAGTTCTATTTAGCTTTAGCTCTAGCTCTAGCTCTAGATCTAGCTCTAGCTCTTACTCGAAAATGATTTTGTTCCCAGAATCTAGATCTCCATTTGTATCTCTGTAAATTAACCTGTAATATAAAACAAGTAAACTATATGATTAGCCATATCTAATGTGAATTTCATGTTAGCACAAACAAAAATTTACCCTTTGCTTGAAAATCAACTTAATTACATAGACCCCCGGCCCCCCCCCCCTCTCCTAAATTATGACGTATTCTGAGATGCATTAGTTCCAAAATTTAACAATTTAAGTGACTAACTAAGAACGGCGTTTTCCTAAATGCACATATTGACTTTTCTACTGATGTCTTCTTATAAATATTTATCAAAAAAATAATTTGATATGTTTTGTTCGTTTATGATATTTTGGACTATTAAAGCACTATTCAACACAAAGGGCAAGCTCTTAACCTAAGACATCTATGGAAAGGCCTCGACATGAAAAATAGTGTTTTGTAAAAAAATTATATTTTTATAATGATTGAAAAGGTGCTAAATATTAATCATAATGTTCATGCATAAAATACTTGATTCTACGACGAATTGTATTATTGCGGGTTTTAATGTTACAATTTCAAAAAATCCATATTGGACGCTCTGCACATTATTTAATCATTTTTAGTTGGTTCCCCACCTGTTCAGAGTACTGGACTGAGGAATAGATTCTACACTTGTTGTAATTTGATTATTGTTGGGTTGGGATTTAGTTATGATTGCTGGATTCAGATGGGTTTGGGAATAAGAAGATTGGGAGAAGGATGATTGGGATTGGTTTTGGTGGAAGTTTGGGCTTTCGTCCTGTTTCCTCAAGTTCCTTTTTTATTATTATTATTATTATCATCATTATCATCCTTATCATTATTATCATTATGATCATCATTATCATTATTATCATCATTATCATCATTATCAACATTATCATCATTATCACCATTATCATAACTATCATTATTATCATCATTATCATCATTATCATCATTATCATCATTATCATCATTATCATCATTATCAACATTATCATCATTATCATCATTATCATCATTATAATCATAATCATCATTATCTTCATTATCATCACTTTTTATTTATCTACAACAATAACAACAACAACAACAATAATAACAATAACAATAACAACAACAACAGAATGATATACAACAACTACAGCAACAACATTTAAGTAAGACCTGAGAGAATCTAAACTGGAATCTGGGCTCGAACAATGAACAAATGAACATCTACAATAAGGTTTTTTTATTATTCTTTTAAAAAAGAATTATATCAGAAATGTTAATATGATTTGGATGTTTCTATCTTCAGTATTATTTTTTATCACAAATATCATTATTCTTTTTTTGTAATTCTAAATAACAATATAATTTTTATTATTAATATTAATATTAATATTAATATCAATATGAATATTTTTATTTTTCTTAAGTTTTTTACGAAAAATATCGAATTATTTTAACCTTAAAAGATCTACAGAATCTGAATGGCCTAGATCGCCCTCTTCAGCAATCCTAAACAATCACTTTTAATGTTATTTAATCATCTTTGACGGAAAAATTGAAATCAAGATTTTTAAAAACTTTGCCACAGATGTTAATTAAGTTAAGTAAGTAAATGTAAGTTTTGAAAATTATGTTTGTTTTAATGTTTAAGTTTCAGACTTCACCAAGACCTATCGTAAAGTTTTTTTTAGATTGAAATTCAAGTTAAACATACCGTCATTGTAATTAACAAAAGGGCCATTTCGTTTTCTAACTTGAAAAGTGTTTAATTCTGATATTTTTTTTTCCTTTTCCCGATGCAAGAATTGCGCAAGCTAGTCACTTCAGTATAGAAACATAAGCAAAATTGATTCCTTAAAAAAAATATGGATATCTAATTCCTACCTCATCAGACAAAGATTTACCGAACGTAAATCGTACATGTCACTGTTACAATAGAGGTTGATATGAAATTATGTTTATTTAGTCCCCTTAAGGAACAGAGGTTATGGTCCCTTTAAGGAAAATAGGTAATAGTCCCTTTAAAGAACAGAGGTTTTAGTCCCTTTAAGGAACAAAGGTTATATAGTCCCTTTAAGGAACAGAGGTTATATTCCCTTTAAGGAACAGAGGTTGAATGGTCCCTTTATTAAACAGAAGTTATATAGTCCCTTTAAGTAACAAAGGTTATTGTCTCTTTAAGGAACAGAGGTTATATAGAACCTTTCAGCTTTCAGGAACAGAGGTTATAGTCCCTTTAAGGAACAGATGTTAGTCCCTTTAAGGAACCGATGTTATAGTCCCTTTCAGGAACAGAGGTTATAGTCCCTTTAAGGAACAGAGGTTATAAAGTCCCTTTAAGGAACAGAGGTTATAAAGTCCCCTTTAAGGAACAGAAGTTACAGAGTCCTTTTCAGGAACAGAGGTAATGAAATCCCTTTAAGGAACAGAAGTTATAAAGTCCCTTTAAGTAACAGAGGTAATAATCGGAAAGAATAGTGAAGTTATTTCTAAATAGATTGAAAAAAACTTTCCGTCTTAGAATGACTACAAACTTTATTTTTATCTGTTCTTCATCCAAAAGGCTAAAATTGTTTGTAACAAATATTAAAAATCAATTGAACACACAATGCATTTATTTGAAATCAAATTTAAGAATGCAATTTCCTTTCCAGGAAAAAAAAACTTTTAAAAAATACAAAACTTAACATTTTACTTTGTGAATTGTGCTAAAAAGTGTGGAGCATCGGTTTTATACTTTTCTAAATATTATCCAGTTTTTTTGGCCTTTTCAGAAGCTCCACAAAATTGTGTGCATACTACATTTTGGAAGATACATAGTGTACTACTTTTCAAGTGGTCTGTTTATTACTGATTAATATTTCTAGGACGAAACTTTTGCCTAATATCTTCTCAAGTTCACATCCTGATATTTTGAACCAAATAATTTGCATTCTGCTATGGTCAATTTTTTTCAAAAAAATATGCCTAAAGATTTTTCATTTTGTTCAACATTTAATTTCTCTAGATTTAAAAAAATCAAAATAGAAGAGTTCCAAAATGTAGATTTAGTTGGTGTAGAAAAATTATGTCTGAAAGAGGAAAGAGTTGAATTAAGTCGAAAAAAACTGTAAAACCGCCATTTTTTTAAGTGTTTCCAAACTTTTGGTGTTTTTCACAGATTTAATTAATGGAGACTTTTGGGCCCTGGAACATCTTTTTATAGAAAACACATTTCTAATCTTGTAAGATGTACCTGGTGGTGTGATGATATGTGTTTTCTTGCCGCAGTCTTAATTTCATCTCTGATATCTTTCTAAACAATTAATCACGAGTCGAAAAAAAACCGTTTCAAGGGACTGTTGGTGTAATTTCAAGTAATATTTAACTATGAGGAAGAATTAAACGTATAGAACTTTGTCAATTTCCTTCATTTCCCTGTTAGGTATTCACCATAGGAAAACCACAAATAATCAATTTTAAACTTGAAAATAATTCACCAAAAGCATTGTGAATCGAGCATTCCACTACTTAAATGGTGGGGGGGGGGTCCAGAGATAAGAGAGTTACAGAGATCGATTAACACCTGTAATATGCGCGATATTCCACAGCATGTCCTATTTTGTACAAGTATTGTACATAACCAATCAGGAGACATCTGTATTCATGGATATTTAAGGATCCTATGAATAGGAAAGGCAATATTTGTAAAAATAGACAATATTTTTAAACGTTATGTTTTATGTTTAAAATTGGAGTATTTCTTTAAAAGTTGTTAAACTTAACTCCTGAATGCAAGAAGTGAACGTGAGATATCAGTCAAAAAACATTAAATGGAACCGTAGCATCGCGTGCCGGGACACTATAGGCCTGCTCAGCCTATCCAGGTAGAGTATATGAGCAGTCTGTGTAGTCTGTGGGGGGATCACTTTAAATTATTTTTACATTATAAATGAAAATGAAAGTTTCTAAAATAAAGTAATAGCTGAATTATTGTACAGTGGTTTATCAATACAATGAAGACAACTTTCGATTTTAATTTTCATTTTTATCAAGCTGTTAGCCTGTTAAACAGCATGAAATCAAAGAATTCAAGATAGCCTGGGAATTAAAAAAGCTTCTCTGTGATTACTAACCCCCTTCAAGATAAATGAATTATCTAAAAGAAATTTTTGTTCAACACTTTCATACGGTTTGTGTGCTTCTGCTTTTGCTATCCAACATGTTTGTATCCTTTGAGTTTCCTCTATGTAGTATACCGCAATTTTTTTAAAAATAAGAAAGATTTAGGCTGCAATTTTTCAAGGAGCTTTAAAAATAATTCTTTGTACAAATTGGGACACGGCTGAAAAAATTACGTTTATATAAACAATTCCGGTTCTTTTAGTAAACTATACTGTATATATGTCCCCCAGCATATCCTGGTTTTCAAGTACCCCAGCAGGGATAGGGTTAAGGTAAGTCAGCGAGGGTAAACAGCAGGAGGAACTATGACATAATGAATAATAGTATAAACCTGGGCAACGTCGAGTACTCCAGCAATTTTACATATTTTTGTATTTCCTTCTTAAACGATGCAATAAATAAATATAGAAAAAAAGAATGAATGGTTGAACATATCTTTATAAAATTTAAAATAATGTTGAAAAGTTTCCCGATCCAGGCTCAAATTTACATATTTGTATAGAAAATAGTAAATATCTACCTTATACTTACAAATGCATATACATCGTCATTTGTTAGAATAAGATAATGCAGAAGGGGTGGGGGCGAGGGGGGCGACTTACTCTTTGTATTTGGTTTTTATCCTTGGGGCTTTCCTTTTTAAATTTATGTATTGAGACTTCTAAACTTTTATAAAACTAGTTCTTCTTTTTAGATCCTTTCCTAGTACCAATATTTTAACTATCTTTTATCGTTAAACTAAAAGAAACAAAAAATGTTGTGGATATTTTTGTTTAAAAATTGGTGCATTTTCAAATAAAACGTCGACATTTTCTTCAATTTTTCTCAATTGACCGTACCTAAAACTTCCTTAATTTGTGTGAAAATGCACTTACCTCATGAGTATTTTTACACAAAATTTGGGCTCTCTCGGTTTAGCCATTTTGACATTTTTGGATTCAAACAAGCCAAAATTGAGAATGAAATGGATGAAAAGATATGAGAGCTAGAGCTGCAAAATACATCGAAAGTTTTAACAAAAATCTGATAAAAATAACAAGAAGAGCCAATGGAATTCATTTATGTCAATTTTTTTAATACTTTTTTAACTTGGTATCTTTTATCCCAACATTTGATGTGGAAGCAAATAAGTTTTAAAATAAGTTTTGCTTCTGCTTTTAATCTCGATATTGAATTATTTATTTATTATTTTATATATTTGTTTATTGTTGGCAAAAACAACTGGACCAAATTTGCTGAATTTTTTTATAAGTAAATTTGACTATTTATAATATTAATAAACCTGAGCAAAGCCAAGTATAGAACTCCAGCAAGTATAGAATATAGATGGTAATATCAAAAATGTTGGTATTTTTTTCTAGGTTAAAATACAGCTTTGTTAGAAAGTCGATGGTTGTCCGAAATTGTGTGGACTGCAGATCTTTTCATTAACACATTAATTGAACAAATTGTATGTACTGCAGAGCTTTTCATTAACACATTAATTGAACAAATTGTGTATAAAATACAGAGCTTTTCATTAACACATTAATTGAACAAATTGTATGTATACTGCAGAACTTTTTATAAACACATTAATTGAAAAAATTGTATATACTGCAGAGCTTTTCATTAACACATTAATTGAAAAAATTGTGTATAAAATACAGAGCTTTTCATTAACACATTAATTGAACAAATTGTGTATAAAATACAGAGCTTTTCATTAATACATTAATTGAACAAATTGTATGTATACTGCAGAGCTTTTTATAAACACATTAATTGAACAAATTGTGTATGTACTGCAGAGCTTTTGCAGAGCTTTGCAGAGCTTTGTAGAGCTTTTGCAGAGCTTTTGCAGAGCTTTTGCAGAGCTTTGCAGAGCTTTGCAGAGCTTTTGCAGAGCTTTGCAGAGCTTATGTACTGCAGAGCTTTTGAAAAATTGTGTATGTACTGCAGAGCTTTTCGGGACACACTGTATTTCCTTTATTACAATTTTTAAAAAGTTCAGACTTTTTAAAAATTGCCGAAGGTTTAATACCAAGGTTTGTAGGACAAACAAACTTTGTTTATATTATCAGAATTCTAAAAGATAAACAAAACAGAGAATAGAGAAAAGAGAAAAAAGTACAGAAAACAGAGAAAAGAGAACAGAGAAGAGAGAATAGAGAACAGAGAACTGAGTACAGAGAATAGCGAATAGAGAAAAGAGAACAGAGAACAGAGAACAGAGAACAGAGAACAGAGAACAGAGAACAGAGAACAGAGAACAGAGAACAGAGATCAGAGAACAGAGAACAGAGAACAGAGAACAGAGAACAGAGAATAGAGAACGAGAACAGAGAACAGAGATCAGAGAACAGAGAACAGAGAATAGAGAACAGAGAACAAAGAACAAAGAATAGAGAACAGAGAACAGAGAACAGAGGACAGAGGACAGAGAACAGAGAATAGAGAACAGAGAACAGAGTATAGACAATAGAGAACAAAGAACAGAGAACAGAGAACAAAGAACAGAGAACAGAGAACAGAGAACAGAGAAAAGAGAATTGAGTACATAGAATAGAGAATAAAGAACAGAGAACAGAGAACAGAGAATAGAGAAAAGAGAATAGAGAATTGAGAACAAAGAACCAAAAACAGAACACAGAGAACAGAGAACAGAAAACAGAGAACAGAGAATAGAGAACAGAGAACAGAGTATAGAAAATAGAGAACAAAGAACAGAGAGCAAAATAGTGTATTTCTCATGTAGTCTAAACCTAACATAGTCAATAAAAATAACGTCAGCTAGTTGGCAGAGAATTCCAAGAATTTAAATTAGGAAAAACTGCTTCTATTTCCCCCTCAACTCTAGCGTTAAAAGAACATTAGAAAATAAAGAATATCCGGGTTTTAAACAAGAAAACAGGAGTTTATTGTTTTATGTTTAACATTATAAAGGGGGATTCTTAAAAAACACCAAAATGCAAATGTTTATTTACTTGGGCTAAAATTGTAAATTCAAAGATAAAAATATACCAATCTAATGATTTGCCTATTCCCTTTTCGTTTATCGATCAGACTCCCATTTTTATCTAAAACAAACTGTAGTTGACATGGTATAAAAGCCAGTGAAGTAAATGCTTACCAAAACAATTTCTCTTTGTAACGTTATTTAGAGTTAATCACGCTTTTTTATAATTTGCTTATCATTTAATGTTTTCTCTGGGCAGCCAAGTCCTTAAGAATACTCAGAAAGTTCTGAAAGCCAAACATTTGCCATTTGGGGGTTGGAAGACCTTAATTCAGCAAGAAGTTGAAAATCTCTTTTTTGCTTAAATCTATATTTTTTAATTGAAAATACATGCTCACAGCCTTCATATCGTTGCTTCATACTCATGCGCGCATGTTATTGATTATGAAATTCATCACCCAGCCAATCCTTCTTTTTGCAGTTATTGGTTTTCAATGCCCTTCAGGTTGTTAGAAAAATATACTTTCCATATGGTTTAAGTTTTTATGTATTAAATATGATACATGAAGTTTAAGAAAAATTGTTTGTTTAATGGGAATTTTCGACTAGAAAGATGGCATCACTTTCTAATATCTTCATCACTGTCTTTTCAATGTGGGGTGAGATGTTTTTGTCCTTATTTTTTCCATCAATTGATCTTGTAGGATCATGTTCTTAACATTTATTGGGTTTCTGGCCATCTTCTATCTGGCTTTGTTGGTTAATTCATAGTTTTACTATCGTTTGTAGTTTTTTATAATCGCACTTTATACAGATTTAATAAAAAGGATTTCAGAAACGACGGTACGGACTTAGTTCAGTCTTTTTACTATAATATTTTTAGAATTGGAACATTCTCAAATTAATGTTATTTTTTTATTTGGCTATGAGTAAAAACATAAAGATAACATTATGATAACCAAAATGCGAATATCAGATTTTATTATCTTTTTTATGGCTCTATAGATCCTTAAAGTTGTAATTAAATTTTTTTTTAAATATTCGATCATAGATTTACGTTAAAGCAGCAAAAAAAATCAGAAAACTCATTTTGTATTATTAGCTTATGCTAATTTGGCGCAAATTGTATATTTGCTTGCAGTACACACTCAAACTGCTCATGGTCATACCATCTTATTGATTAATTACATTTAAATCTGTATTGTACTGCAATTGCATGTAAAGGTTCGCTGTAACATTTTTTAATGCAATTTTGTTGCGCCGATTTTGCATAAGTAAGTGAGCAAGATTGCGTATAATGTATATACTTGCCAACCCGAGTTGATAAAGGGAAAAAAGTAAAAAAATAATCTGAAAGATCAAAAAGTGTTTGTAAAAAATATTGCATAAGTATTAAATCTGTGCAAATTTTCTAATCCATTATATTGGATATGGTCGAAACCTATAATATGCATGCATATTAAACGACGAATCCAATCTTTCTATTTCCGCTGCAGAATTCGTTCACACTCAGCGATCTAAGAATTTTAAATTTGGTTCTACATATACTAGACATTTATTATTGTTTAGGAAAACCCTTTATAGAATGTACAGTGCAACAAAAGAAATGTTTGCAAAAAAAATTCCAACATTTTTTTCTACAAATGACCGTGCATCTGATTCCGTTTGAAATCGAATGATATTAAATAACAGGAAACCTTTCCAGTGAAAACTATGGTAGGCGAATATATTAATACGATGAGGACAACTTTTGAGATGGCTTTTACTGTAAATTCCGGTTAAAGTAAAGTTCGGGACAGCGACTTGTAACCAGGCAGAGAAAGCTGTACAGTTCGTACAGTACAACTACAGACTATGAAAGGAAAACCAGGAAAGTACACTACATTTATGATACCCTTCTTGTGAAATTTTTTTATCCCTAATTTTCAATTACAAATTTTCAGGTGAACATAGAGAAGCTAAGCTGTTAATTGACGTTTGTTCATAGAGAATAGAATATATAGAGAGGAATTTACTAGAAAAAAGTGTAAAACGGCCATTTTGTTGTACTGTTTCCATACTGCAGGTGTACTTCACATATTTATGCTTTATAACCTGTTGGGCCCTGGAATATCATTTTATAGAAAATCTAAAATTAATAATAAAAGAAACCAAATTATGAAATAGGCTGGTTTCATAATTGACCAATGATCATTTCACATAGACTCTATGCCTTCCACTTTACAAACAATGATTTTCTATAATCAAATAATATAAATCAAATGATGTTTTTTATTCACCTAATTCATTATAAAGTTTATTTAACAGTTTAAAAATTCGAAATTGAAATGAATAGTCTGGGAACATACTGTATTAATGTACTCTACTGCATATAATTTGTGAACATTTACATGATTTGTACACTTTGAACTCCCTTTCAGGCTGAAAGGGACTGAAAAAATTCATACCGAGAGATTCTTTTAATTCCTCTCTATATATTCTATTCTCTATGCGTTTGTTTTTGATATTCGTGACAGAAACAATCTCAAAAAGTGACGAGGGTCAACCCAGACCGAAATATATTTTCAATAAATGTGGAACTAACATCTACTTTTTTACTCTACAAAGGTTTGGTCCATCACCATCACGAAATTTTAGATATTCTCTTGTTTCATGTTTTTATGTGTCTCTTTTTTCCGATATTGGCAGTCAAATAAGAAATAGGGCCAGGGTTAAAAGACTACAACCCTCCCCCACCCCCATTACCTGGTCATGCCCGGGATGATATATAAAAACTGCTGATGGGATGAAAACTGATCCATGTACGCAGAGAAGGAAAGCAGAGAAGAAACCTAAAAAAAATGACCTGTGTCCGAATTTAATGAATTTAAGCCACGTCTCAAATCCCTCAAAAACCGGTTTTAATTGACCGCCGGCTTATATCTTGAAAAATATAATACAAATTTAAGTGAAACAAAGCATATTTGATCCGCGGCTTAAATTTAAACCGCGGCTCAAATTCTTAAAATTCGGCCTCTGGTACAATATATTTTATAAACTCCATTGGCCAGAGTCAAAAACTAATGAACGAAAAATTACCGCTTAAATATCAAGTGTTAGCTTCAAAAAAACTTAAATCTTAACTTCAAGATATAGTTTAAATATTGAACTCATCTAAATCTGGAATTGATTATTCAACCCCGTGAAATCCCCGCAGTCTCTCATTATTTTCCATCAATCTTGATTCTTTGAGAAAGTTTTCAAGGCTTGCAGATTCATATAAACAATTTTTATCAAAAAATAAATGACACTGAGATTTAATCCAATTTAACCCTGAAAAACTTGCGAATTATATAGTTTTGTGAATTTTCAAAAGCTCTATATAATCTATCAAGACCCATAAAACTTTGTAATAGGAAGACGGCTTTTTTAGTACGAACAACATGAAACCAGCAATTGTGCAGTGTACACAGACCATTTTACTTAATAATTTGAGTGTTAAGATAATAGTAAAACTATTATTTAGATTTGGAGCAACATGAAATCCTCATGAGAATGCTAAAATATTGTTTTACAATTTCAGGTTTTATGGGTCTAACTGCAAATAAAGAAACTCAGGTTATTGTTTTTTATTGTAAGAATTAAAAAATTAATACGGCCCAATCAAAATTCAATTCAGTAATTCATAAAATTCTAGAAGAGAGATCATTGTGTTGTTTAGAAGATTATTAGTTTACCTCTGATGAAAGGAATGAAATAAGTGCCAGGAGTAGAGACCAATTATATGTATATCTGTCAGGATTACTGTCCTATGAGTAGAGACCAATTATATGTAGGATTACTGTCCTATGAGTAGAGACCAATTATATGTATATCTGTCAGGATTACTGTCCTATGAGTAGAGACCAATTATATGTATATCTGTCAGGATTGCTGTCCAATGAGTAGAAACCAATTATATGTATATCTGTCAGGATTACTGTTCTATGAGTAGAGACCAATCATATGTATATCTGTCAGGATTACTGTCCTATGAGTAGAGACCAATTATATGTATATCTGTCAGGATTACTGTCCTATGAGTAGAGACCAATTGTATGTATATCTGTCAGGATTAATGTCCTATGAGTAGAGACCAATTATATGTATATCTGTCAGGATTGCTGTCCAATGAGTAGAAACCAATTATATGTATATCTGTCAGGATTACTGTCCTATGAGTAGAGACCAATTATATGTATATCTGTCAGGATTACTGTCCTATGAGTAGAGACCAATTATATGTATATCTGTCAGGATTACTGTCCTATGAGTAGAGACCAATTATATGTATATCTGTCAGGATTACTGTCCTATGAGTAGAGACCAATTATATGTATATCTGTCAGGATTGCTGTCCTATGAGTAGAGACCAATTTTATGTATATCTGTCAGGGTTACTGTCCTATAATCATAGGAACATTTAGAAATAATTTTCAAGGATCAAAATTGTATTGCAGAAACCGGTTTTGTGATTAATAAAGTTGTTATGTTGATAAATAACGTCTAAAGGTTAAAAAACACTGAATTTAGAAATCCGTTCAAAAGTAGTAAAGTCATTGCCACAAACTAAAATTTTCGCATCCCTATATATTTGCAACTTAATGGTGTAAACCTTTGATTTTTCAAACTTAGATTATTTGATTTAACAGAATTCATAGTTTGAAATATCTTACAAAGATATTGGGATTAGGATTTTTAAAACTAACTAACCTTGGTTTTTATATTTTTAAAACTAACTGATCTAGGTTTTTACATTTTTAAGACTAACTAACCTCGGTTTTTATATTTTTAAGACTAACTAACCTCGGTTTTTACATTTTTAAGACTATCTAACCTCGGTGATTATATTTTTAAGACTAACTAACCTCGGTTTTTACATTTTTAAAACTAACTAACCTCGGTGATTATATTTTTAAAACTAACTAACCACGGTTTTTATATTTTTAAAACTAACTAACCTCGGTGTTATATTTTTAAAACTAACTAACCTCGGTGTTTATATTTTTAAAACTAACTAACCTCGGTGTTTATATTTTTAAAACTAACTTACCTCGGTGTTAATATTTTTAAAACTAAATAACCTTGGTTTTTATATTTTTAAAACTAACTAACCTCGGTTTTTATATTTTTAAAACTTAATAACCTAGGTTTTTATATTTTTAAAACTATATAAACCTCGGTTTAAGAAAAGAAAAAAACGAAGAGCTAATTAATGTTAACGATCAGTTTGTGTTTTCGGAAAAGTAAAAACATCGCATCAAATAGTAATGCTACTTTTTTTTAAATAACAAAAAATAAACGTAATTTTGTTTGTATTACCTCTGACTGGTAGATGCTGAATTCATCTGATACAGCTGAAACCAGGATTATAAGACAACACCCGAGCATTAAGCCTTAACATAATATATTTTAAGTATCATAAAATTTGGTCCAGATTTTATTCAAAATACGTTTGGATTTTTATGATGACTTTTTTGTGAAATGTGTCCAAACATTATGCGCAGGTGAAAACTGTGTGCACTATTTTAGTCATACTCCTTACGGTCGCAAATGCAGACACGAATTCTTAAATTGTAAATATGTAAAGCAAAAATTTTTTAAATATTTTTGAAAAGTTGCGTAATATTAATGTGTGTCAAAATAAGATCAAGAATAAATTAGAAATGCGTTTTTTTAAATCAGATTATCTCCGTTAATGGGTTCTCCTAAAATTTATGATTGGAACCAGGATAGAAAGACGACATTTCATTAATCTTATATGTATTTGTTGTTCTTATCAACCAAAAAGGTATTCCAATAGCTTCAAAATCAATTTACTAAAATGGATCTATGTACACTACACATTTAAAATCATAAATTTATTCTAACAGTCGTCTTCCTATTCCACAGTTTATTGGGTTCCACTGTATTACCTCCGAACGCATAGAGCAGTGCAGCAACAAGCAGACTATGCTTTCTAACAAACTGAGCAACAAGGGTTAAAACCACGGAGATGAGGATAGAAACAAATCCCAGTAGGACAAACACTCGACATACCCTAGAATAAAACAAGACATTCGTATATATGTTGCGTATAGCCGGCCAAACGGCTGGACCGATTGGGCTGAAATTTTTATGGACACTCAAGGGTGGCCGGGGAGTGTTATAGTATCAAAATTATTTCAATTTTTTTCACGGGCAACGCCGGGCCCTTCAGCTAGCAACAAAATAAAAATGTACGTACGTACAGGGTGTCCCACATCATATTAGACCGAGAACGGGTCTAAATTACGATTTTCAGGACTAATTAGAACATTTAAATAGAATGAATCATTTTGAAAAATAATATAAGGCCTATATAAGGATTTTCTTGCGGAAAATGATAAGTTTTTCGAGTATTAAGGGTTTATTTGGGTGTTAAAGATTGGAGATAATCTTATATGATATGGGACGCTCTGTATATATTAGAAAGTCACGCTTTCCTTTTCTTATTCAACTTTAAAAGTTTTTCTTTTTTGTAAAACATAAAAACACTAAGTATATTAACAACAAAAAAAGCAACTTAGAAAAAAGAAATGTTGAGTTTTCATAAAAAAAAATTTCTTCGTCAATTTTTTTCTTGATTCATTGCGGGAGGCAAACAATAAAACAAAAGAAGAATGCAAAAAAAGGTCATTAAAGTTGTCTTTAAAGTCCTTTATTTGTAACCCCGTGTTTCTTTTAGTATCTTTCTCTCCGAGCTTGATAGAGTTTCATTTGATTGTTTTCTATTTCTAAAATGAAAGTGTTTGATTCCCTGGCGGGCACAGGGATCCCAAAGTTGCAAGAACTCACGCAAAAAACTTTGAGAATTTTTACAACAACCTTTTAAAAACAAATGCTACGATTTCAAAAGTAAATGTTTAGGGCTACAAAAAGTATAAGTAAGTGAAAGAGGTAAGTTCAAAAGCCAAGGGGTTGCGACACTTTGAAGGCGACCCAGTGTTTAAAAAATGTTTTCATAGAAGTCTAGATCTATGTGCTCCGGGGTATCCAACTATGAACAGATTTAAGGATCAAGAGATTTTATAGTCTTTGCTTTCTGATCTCGGAATTCAAGTTTATAGTCTTATCTTTTTTTAGACATCAGGTAATATAAATGGACTGTAGACCTCAGGTAATATAAAGGGATTGTAGACATCAGGTAATATACAGGGACTGTAGACATCAGGTAATATAAAGGAACTGAAAACCTCAGGTAATATAAAGGGACTGTAGACCTCAGGTAATATAAAGGGACTGTAGACCTCAGGTAATATAAAGGGACAGTAGACCTCAGGTAATATAAAGGGACTGTAGACCTCAGGTAATATAAAGGGACTGTAGACCTCAGGTAATATAAAGGGACTGTAGACATCAGGCAATATGAAGGGACTGTAGGCGTAATTTCAGGTGACCCGACATGTTCAATTCACATCGATACCCCTTATAGGGTAGGGTAGTTTAGCTGAGAGAGCAGTATTACTGCAAGTAAAATAATAGGATTCATTTTATATAAACTATCATAATGTTATTAAGTCTTATAATTTCTGAGAAAAGGGCAAATCTGTTTTTCAAAATATCATGACCCATTTTTGTACAATATATTAATAACCTTGACGAAATACGTAACAAAATTTTTTTTTGAACTTATTCGGTTTAAGAACAAATGGAGAAAAAAAATTGGGTTTTTCATTAAAGATAAGTTATTATGTTAAATCCGATTAAATTGACTGTATAAGCGTAGTTTTAAGTTACCCATAATGCCAAAATGGACGTGCCCGATTCACAGCAGTACACTTGAAACATGTATCTACTCGATAAGTGTTTAAATTTGATAATTCTTTTATTTTAATGATAAATTTTATGATTTTTTATCCAAAACAGAATGATGATATTTCTTAAGTTTGGAGGAAAGTTCTGCGGTGAATAATATCAACATTAATATTCGAAACTGATTCCAGCATAGTTCTACATAAATCAGAACCAATATAAGAAACCACGGAGTAGGTATAAATAAAGATATAAGAAACCACGGAGTAGGTATAAATAGAGATATAAGAAACCACAGAGTAGGTATAATTAGAGATATAAGAAACCACGGAGTAGGTATTAATAGAGATATAAGAAACCACGGAGTAGGTATAAATAGAGATATAAGAAACCACAGAGTAGGTATAAATAGAGATATAAGAAACCACGGAGTAGGTATAGATAGAGATGTAAGAAACCACGGAGTAGGTAAAAATAGAGATATAAGAAACCACGGAGTAGGTATTAATAGAGATATAAGAAACCACGGAGTAGGTATTAATAGAGATATAAGAAACCACGGAGTAGGTTCAAATAGAAATATAAGAAACCACGGAATAGGTTCAAATGGAAATATAAGAAACCACGGAGAAGGTAAAAATAGAAATATAAGAAACCACGGAGTAGGTACTAATAGAGATATAAGAAACCACGGAATAGTTAAAAATAGAAATATAAGAAACCGCGGAGTAGGTACTAATATAGATATAAGAAACCACGGAGTAGTTACAAATAGAGCTATAAGAAACCACGGAGTAGGTACAAATAGAGATATAAGAAACCACGGAGTAGGTACAAATAGAGATATAAGAAACCACAGAGTAGGTACAAATAGAGAACTAAGAAACCACGGAGTAGGTTCAAATAGAGATATAAGAAAACACGGAGTAGGTATTAATAGAGATATAAGAAACCACAGAGTAGGTATAAATAGAGATATAAGAAACCACGGAGCAGGTATTAATAGAGATAAAAGAAACCACGGAGTAGGTAAAAATAGAGATAAAAGAAACCACGGAGTAGGTAAAAATAGAGATTTAAGAAACTACGGAGTAGGTATTAATAGAGATATAAGAAACCATGGAGTAGGTATAAATAGAGATAAAAGAAACCACGGAGTAGGTATTAATAGAGATATAAGAAACCACAGAGTAGGTACAAATAGAGATATAAGAAACCACGAAGTAGGTATTAATAGAGATGTAGGTACAAATAGAGATATAAGAAAACACGGAGTAGGTATTAATAGAGATATAAGAAACCACGGAGTAGGTACAAATAGAGATATAAGAAAACACGGAGTAGGTTCAAATAGAGATATAAGAAACCACGGAGTAGGTTCAAATAGTGAAAAAAAGAAACCACGGAGTAGGTATAAATAGAGATATAAGAAACCACGGAGTAGGTACAAATAGAAATATAAGAAACCACGGAGTAGGTACAAATAGAGATATAAGAAACCACGGAGTAGTTACAAATAGAGCTATAAGAAACCACGGAGTAGGTACAAATAAAGATATAAGAAACCACGGAGTAGGTATAAATAGAGATATAAGAAACCAAAGAGTAGGTACAAATAAAGATATAAGTAACCACGGAGTAGGTATAAATATAAATATAAGAAACCACGGAGTAGGTACAAATAGAGATATAAGAAAACACGGGGTAGGTTCAAATAGAGATATAAGAAACCACGGAGTAGGTTCATATAGTGATATAAGAAACCACGGAGTAGGTACAAATAAAAATATAAGAAACCACGGAGTAGGTACAAATAGAAATGTAAGAAACCACGGAGTAGGTACAAATAGAGATATAAGAAAATACGGAGTAGGTTCAAATAATGATATAAGAAACCACGGAGTAGGACCAAATAGAGATATAAGAAACCACGGAGTAGGTACGAATAGAGATATGATTAAGATATGTATCTCTATAATTCCCTACTCCGTGAAGGAAACCCCATTATTACATTAACCATTTTATTCATATAGTAGAAATTACATTTAATTTCGTACAATTACATATGAATTTTGTACAATTACATATTAATTTTGTAAAATTACATATGAATTTTGTACAATTACATATGAATTTTGTACAACTACATATGAATTTTGTACACTTACATATGAATCATCAGTACACCTAATGAATCATCACTTTCTAGTAAGATTGATGTGACATATACAGTATACACTGTTAAAAGTAATCAAATCGTTGTAATTGTCCAAAGATAAAATCATTGTGAACGGTTCCACCTTTCAGCAATCTCACAAACCTTTGATACTGCAGTGAGTAGAAAAAGTGGAATGGTTTTAGTTTTTGTTTTCTAGATCGGTAAATGCAGTACAGGTGTTTTGTATTGATTAAACTGTTTTAAACAATATTTCTATTACAAATAAAAAAGATCTTAGCAATATTTTCATTGCAAAGATGGCAATTCTAGATTCACAATGTTGAATGATATAAATAATATATCAATTTTAATTATCAAAATATATTTTTTAATTGAATTTTCTTTACAAAAGTGATTTGTGCACTTCTACTGCAGGAAAATTCACTGGAATTATCAAAATTTTAAACCCTTTTATATCTTGGAAAACGACAATATCTTCCACTTTATTTATTATATACATGTTTTAGATTACAGTTGTGAGAACTTTACAAGAAACTTTCAATTTTTTTTATTTCACAAGAAACAATTATTTTATTTAAAATACAGTTTGTAAAGTGTACACTAGTGAAAAGACCTTGTGTTTATTCAAAAATGTTGAAAATAAAATACAGAATTTCAATTTGTTTGAAGTTTGTTCAAACAATTTTAAAGCCTAATATTTATATCTATACACCCTTGAGGTACAAGGACCCCTAGGAGTGGTATCACAGACAATATTAAATTTTGAAAAAGATAAAAAAGAAAATATTTACCTTTTAAAAATGATTTTACATTTATGACTGATATGTTTTATCTTGATTTAGCCTTAGCTTATGCATGGTTGGGCTCACATGTACTTAAGTATTGAATTCGTTAAAAGATGTATGTTTTTTATTAAGTTCAACCTTGCTTTATATATAGGGATCGGTCGGAGGAGGGGTGCAGGATTAACACTCAACAGGCTTATGTAGCCTTGAATTCATATACAATAAATAAAAATATATTTGAAAGATAATATTTTATTTTTACCCCCCCCCCCCTTCATTTTTAGAAGCTACATTAAACCCTAATATCATACATGTGAAAAGCTTGATTTTTGATAAAGAGTTTCGACAAAATTAATTTATTTTCTATATATATCTCTTCTAGAATTATTATATCAAAGAAAAAGAGAAAACGTTATTAAAAGTTTTTAATTATTTTAATTTGATTTTCTTTCTTTCATCACTAAAAAATATTTTAATACCAGTAACTTGTAGCTAGAGACTTATACAAGATGTAATGAACCCCTCAAAAAGATTTTTTTGATAAAAATAAGTAAAGAGCGTCCCATACAATATTAGATTATCTTCAATATTTAACGCCAAAATACGCACATAATACTCGAAAAATCTAGCATTTTCTGCCAAAAAAAAATTCTATGCGCCTTATTAAATTTTTCAAAATGATCCATTTTCTTAAATTTTCCGATTTGTCCCCCAAATCTTAAATTTAGTCTAATTTGATGTGGGACACCCTATATAAAGTTGTAATCTGTGTCTCTTTGTTTTTCCGATCATAACTCCGCAACCCCTTGACCGATTTGGCTAAAAAATGTATTATAAAATCGTCCAGGCGCGGTTACATGGCGGGACTAACTGTAAGTACCTTGGACAACGCTGGGTTCCAAACCTAGTTAAATATATTGTGCAATATGCATGTATTTGACTTTATAAACCTTTATAAACCTTGCATTTTAAGTGTTTTATTTTTTTAAGGAATGTTTGATGTTGTAAATGTTTATCTTATATCTATGCATTATGTCGTTTTAAACTTTAAACTTTAGGAAATTAGAAAAGTTAAGGATTCATCTATTCATCAGTTAGTTTTAAACATGTACAACACATCCTCATCAGTTAGTTTTAAACATGTACAACACATCCGACATAAGTTTATTCTGAGGCAAAACATTTCTGTTGGACGTACATTTAAGCTCACTATTATTCTGTTCTATAAGGTAGTAAACTCTTAACCTTAAAAATCAATTATTTTGTAATGCTGAACCTCGATCTTTCTAAATTAAACCAGTAATCCCTGACTACTTGTAAACTTTCAAAGCCTAAATATTCATCATACTTTAAACGTTTTAATATTTATTAGGTTGGGATAATACCCAAAACAGCGAATGCTAATCTCCCCTAATTGCTTTAATAGATACATGGATAGATAACTCATTCATTCTTGATCAGCAAAACGTTGAAAGATATTGACAATGGCACGCCAGTCTATAAATAAAATTTGAAATGACATCTCCAGCTGTCTACAGTATTTTATTTATATAAAAAAAGGGTTTTTAACATTTACCAAATCTATTTGAACAATAGCTATTGTTTTTCCAAAATCATTTATCCAGGTTTACTGAAGTATAAAATTGGTCTTTTAGAAACAATAAGAAGAGATGATGAGCAATATTTCACCAAGAAAGAAAGAAGGAGAAATAAAAATTGGTATATTAAAAAGAAATTAAAAAGATGAAAAAAGAAAACTCCAAAAAGATTTCTTCCGAAGGGGTGTTATAATATTTAATTTTTAGACAAGAAAATTTTCAAAGTTAGAGACTAAATAATTGTTTCATACAATTAAAATATAAAATAAAATAGATTCTGATTGAAAATTTTCATTTATAATTGTCATTCTTTCTGAAATCCTATGATGAAACCAATCAAGTTTTTTTTTACAGAACCAAAACTCAAGCCGTACCAATTATTTTACGAAATTAAACTGATTACTCGCCTAAAACTCAGTTTTTCTTTAAATCCTTAGATTTCCTTGTTTTTATATCTTTAAATCCTGAGATTTTCTAGTCTTTATATCTTTAAATCCTTAGATTTTCTAGTTTTTATATCTTTAAATCCTTAAGTTTTCTAGTTTTTATATCTTTAAATCCATAGATTTTCTAGTCTTTATTTCCTTAAATCCTTAGATTTTCTAGTCTTTATATTTTTGAATCCTTTAGAATTTCTAGTCTTTATATCTTTAAATCCTTTAGATTGTCTAGTCTTTATATCTTTAAATCCATAGATTTTCTAGTCTTTATATCTTTAAATCCTAAGATTTTCTAGTCTTTATATCTTTAAATCCTAAGATTTCCTTGTCTTAATATCTTCAAAATAACTATGAATTCTGCTAGATAAAAATATCTGATAAAGTTTAAAATGCTAATTATCAGGTTGCAAAGATATAGGAAATAAGAAATACCTGACACCGTAGATAACATTCGTGGAGTTAGATATCTTTGTCCATAGTCCCAGTTTACTATGCTCTATCCCGCTCCAATCACTGAGTATAAAAATGGTGGCTCTGCTCTAGAAGTTAATAAATAGTTTTTTGATTTATACATTTGAGAAATATTTGCATTCATTGGCCATAATTTTCACGCAGTTACGCAACGCAACCTAGGAATGAGCAAATATCCTATTGAACAATTCTTAAAGAACGTCCTTTCCCCAACATATATTTATATTTCTTGCAAAAAAGCGAAATTAGAAAGTTTAGGTATTGATGAAGCAAAAGTTTTCCTCCTTCTCCATCTTGTGAATTCTAACTTTCTAAACTGGTGCTGCTAACAATTATATTCCAGAAGGATATATAAAACATCCATGATTTATAAAAAGTGTAAAGGGTTCTGTTAGGTTGTGAATCGACATGTAACCCGTTGAAAAAGGGGCCTTTTGAAATTGCGTAGGAAAAAAGTACATTTACTCTGAGAAAAGGGTTGGAGGTGAAAACCGAATCGTTTTATCTTTAAGATTACCCCCCTGTTTCCCCTCTTCCAGCAATTTGAGGGTTAATGTGATAATATGAACCATTGCCTACTTATGAGTTATGACCTTTGTTTTAACTTTTTATTTTTGAGATTCAATATATGAGACTTTAGAGACCATGTTAGATATATGAGGCTTGAGACATGTTAGATATGTGAGACTTGAGAGTTCATGTTAGATATGTGAGACTTGAGAGTCCATGTTAGATATGTGAGACTTGAGAGTTCATGTTAGATATTTGAGACTTGAGAGTCCATGTTAGATATGTGAGACTTGAAAGTCCATGTTAGATATATGAGGCTTGAGAGTTCATGTTAGATATGTAAGACTTGAGAGTCCATGTTAGATATATGAGACTTGAGAGTTCATGTTAGATATGTAAGACTTGAGAGTCCATGTTAGATATGTAAGACTTGAGAGTCCATGTTAGATATGTGAGACTTGAGAGTTCATGTTAGATATATGAGGCTTGAGAGTTCATGTTAGAAATGTAAGACTTGAGAGTCCATGTTAGATATGTAAGACTTGAGAGTCCATGTCAAATATGTGAGACTTTAGAGTCCATGTTAGATATGTGAAACTTGAGAGTCTAGTTAGATATGTGAGACTTAAGATTTCATGTTAGATATGTGAAACTTGAGCGTCTAGTTAGATATGTGAGACTTGAGAGTTCATGTTAGATATGTGAGACTTGAGAGTCCATGTTAGATATATGAGACTTGAGAGTCCATGTTAGATATATCAGACTTGAGAGTTCATGTTAGATATGTAAGACTTGAGAGTCCATGTTAGATATGTTAGATATGTAAGACTTGAGAGTTCATGTTAGATATGTGAGGCTTGAGAGTCCATGTTAGATATATGAGACTTGAGAGTCCATGTTAGATTGTGAGACTTGAGAGTCCATGTTTTCCTGAAAATATGAATAGAAGTGCAGTTTAGTGTATTCTCTTTCTCAGGATCATCTAAACAAAAATTTATAAATATCATTTATTTATTATTTTCATTATTTGTTATTTATTTTAGATTTTGAACTTGCAAGGCCAGGGTAGCGTCGGGGTTGTCAGAAAATGAAAAAATTAAAATAATAAAATGTTATTTAGTTCTTTGTCATTTTGATTTTTTATCGTCTTAAAACTGCATTAATCTTTATTTCTTTATATTTATCTTATCTCGCTCGCAGTCTGTATTTTTGCCCGGAGGGAATACACTTTTCTACAGTTCTTAGACCTTTATCTTTACTCTACAGTTGGAATACACTTTTCTACAGTTCTTAGACCTTTATCTTTACTCTACAGTTGGAATACACTTTTCTACAGTTCTTAGACCTTTATCTTTACTCTACAGTTGGAATACACTTTTCTACAGTTCTTA